GTTCTGGGGGCCTCTGGATGTCTGGAGTTTTGATCTCCTCCATACCCGCTTCACACCCTGGAGGACGGGGCTGTGGCCCCCCCACACTCCCTAGCAGATCATTACATGGAGAAACCTTTGGAATGCAAGCATGCTGATCCACACAGGTATGCACACATGGGTATTCACAGACGCGGACTAAAGCTTTCTTGGCTGCTGCCTCAAAGCACACTGTGCGCTGTCTATCTTGCGTGCTGCACAATATCGTTTATTACTTAGTAAATACTGATATCTATGACTAGCTAGTTTATTGTGATGGTGCTTTGTTTTCTCTATTATTATGTTGCTCTTTGTCGTTTGCTGTCTCCTCTGTTTGTTTTTGTTTGTTTGTTTTTTTTTGTTTTTTTTTCTCCATACAGGTGACCCAGGAGGTTTTTTTTTTTTTTTTCTCTCTCTTCCCCCCCCCTTCTCACCGTCTCTTCTCCCCTTTGGTTTTCTTTCTTTCTCTCCCCCTCTCTCTCTCATTCATTCCCCCTGTCCTATTTATTAAAAAAAAAAAAAAAAAAAAATGACAAAGGATGAACTGAAGCTCTGCCATCACGTAATGTCGCATACTGCTGTTTCTGATGTCATTTAAAAAAAAAAAAAAAAAGAAAATACGGGTTTCTTTTCATGAACATCTCAAATAAAAGCTATGAAAATATTTAAAGATTATATTAAAAAAATGTTTTGGCATCTGTCTTCATCTTGATTACCTGCCATGCAGCAGACAGTCACAGCAGTGACGTGGTTATTTTCAGTGTCGTGTGCTGACCAAACTGGGAAGTCCTGAGCTGGACTGGTGTTGCTCTTTGACCAGAGTACTTTTCCAGAGGATGCCGCTTTGAACTGGAACTCTGATAATGCCCTGAATTCTAAGCAGCCCAGGCTGCCCCCACATTAAATTTGAAAGGCTTGGCACCAGGCCTTACAATCCGTCTCTGGGTTTTAAAAATTTCCACGGCGCACTGTTTCCAGACTGGTAGAAAGAACTCTTAGTAAATATTTTATTTTGAAATATGCAATTGCAAGAAAATATCCTTTTATTTTACAGAAATAATATGGGGACACTATTATATGTTTCGTTTTTACATTTGCACTGTTGATGATAAAAACTGAATTATGTCAGGGCCAACTCTGGCAAACAGGATAGTCTTACTACTAGAGTGTTTTATATTAGTTGGGACAGTTTACTAGATCAGTGTTATTGATATGGTTTCTATTTTGTTTCAGGTTGAGTTACATGTTACAGCAAGGTCAGGCAAAAAAGTATGCAGGTATGCATCTCCATAGAGGTCTAAATAATGACAAGAATCTGTAACCTTTACAAAAGCTGCAATGCAGTACTTTCACTAAAAGTAATGTTAAACTCCATTAGAGAGGTTACTTGCAGTATCAGTCATCCAGGAAACTCCTGTGTTTGACATCCTGTAAGCTCTCCTGTGTGTTTGCGTATATGTGATGATGACCTTAGGTAAGATCTATTCACTGAGTGGGAAATGACCTCAGCAAATAACACAGCTCATGGTGCAATGAGCTTGACTTGATTGTTCATATCACTGTAGAGATTTTTACATTGCGCAAAGACTGATTGTGAAATACACAATACAGTTTAAAGCAATAGCCCAGTTTATTCAGTTCAATTATGCTTTTAATGAAAACATTAAGGCTGCTATAATCTGTATTTTTACAGGAACAATGCATCAAAGGCAAAGTTGAAAGATGTAACTTGATTCAAAGTGAATTCCAGCTTTGCTGCTTCAGTTCATTGTCATTGGTCTTTTGTGATAGCAGGCAGCAACTACAGTTCCTGCTCCATAACAGAGAAATGTAGCTGGAGACTAGCTGGTGAGCACAGCATAGCATTTAGCAGGGAATGTAGCTGTGTTGTTCAAGTATTTGGAGGTTTTGTTGATGAGTGCAGAAAAGGTGGAGTTGATGTACCGTTGTGGTGAAAGCAGAGCCAAGTGTTAAGCAAAGCTGTTGATATACTGGTTTTTGCTTTCATGTATGACCATCAACTGTGTGTAGTGATTGAAAGAACAGGATCAGAAATACAAGTGGCAGAAATTATTTTCCTCTAAAGGCTGTCTGGGCTCAGTCTTAGAGATCAGTGAGTTCAGTTATTTTGTCAGAGCTCAGAGTAGAGCCACTGTTCCTCCAAACATCAAAGTAAAAAGGAAAAGAGCACCCCGAAGTGTTCTGATTAGCATCCCTCCTGGACACCTCCTAGCTCAGGTGTTCTACCCCAGACACACACACTGTGCCTCTTGACTGGCTTGGGATCACCTAGCCAGAACAGCTTGAGGAGGTGCATAGGGAGAAGGGAAATTTTAAGAAATCACACTCTTCTCTTTTTTAAACTACTTTAAAGCTGCAGTTTAGCATTTGCCATCATCCATGTCATGGTAAACAAATTCTTCTGTAACCATTCTCAGTGATGCTTGAAAGTAAGACAAGTGAATTAAATTGTCTTTAATGAAGTGAATTCTGTATCAAACACTATGTGAAAATGGGTTTGTGAATGATCCCAGATGTGAAATTAAGATAATCTCCTGGAATGATAGGATCTGCCTGATGCTAACTTTAAATCCTTTCATCTACTTTGTTGAGAATAATGCAGGTTAATGGGCACATGAGCAAACAGTAATTTGAGAGTGCCTATCCTGTGCACTGTGTGGGCATCCATTCAACTACATGGGTGTGGTAGGCTGAAGAATCACAGCACTGCAATCATGAAATCAGATACACACACACACACACACACTGACTATCTGCCATCTTTTCAACCTTTCTGCTGTCACAGCGTGCTCAAATTCAGCCTGTTTCTGCTCTGCCTACATAGGCCACACCCTGAAATCCTGGCACACAGGGACAGATATAAACATGTGCACATACAGCATGTTCACTTCCCTCTTTCAGAATCCTCAGCTCAGCTTGATAATGACACATGTTTGCAGCTGTGACAGGTTAACTGCAAATAGCTCTTCAGCTGCTGCTACTGCTCCCCATGGAGACACAGTTAGTCATCAGGGGTGCTCGCAGTAGATGTTAGGGTTGACTGTGTGTGTTTGGTATAATTATACTCCCTTTGCAAAAAAATACACTTTACTTTTCAAAAACAATAATTTTGGATGCTCCCAGCATCAAATGCAGGTTTGACAGGTTTGTGAGTGTACACTTTATTCAAAACCTAGTGAGGGTTTAATCATGTTTACTACTGGGTAGCTGTAGCTCAGGAGGTAGAGCAGGTCACTTACTGATCACAAGGTTAGTGGTTTGATCCCTGGCTCCTCCAGTCTGAGTGTGAATGTGTATGAATGTAGTTAGGAAGCAGTCAGTTTAGAGAAAGTGTGTGATTGACTGAATATGGCCAGCACAGGACCACCAGTGTGTCTGCAACTGCCTTTGTACTGGCCCATGTGTGGGCCACATCTGGCAAACCTGGTCTGGACCACCAAAGGGCCGTCATTCTTTGCAGTATGTGGGCATGTGTAAGCACATTCTGTGGGCCAGATCCTGGCCATACCAATTTTGCTGTGTGGGTCAGTAGTCAGTCCCGTGTCTAGCCAGCTTTAAAAAATATTTGTTTTTATGTGTTGATAAGATGGATGTGATCATTTTGTACTAGTATAGTGTTTAGTATAGTGTTAAATCTATGCTCTAACCTGATGTGCATCTTCTCAGAAATGTTGCTACATGTTGTAGTTTTATAGATGCCAACAGCTGTGATAGGCCTGCTTGATAGAAATATTGGTTAACAGAAAGATTAATACCTCTGTAAAAAAAAATGCAATAGGCTGAAATAAATGTAGCATGCTCATTATGCTAATATATAATACTCTGCCAGGTTAGACATGCCATTTTTCACATTTTCATAGTGCTGACAATGCATTTACAGATTAATTTGGTACTGATCTTCTCTTCTTCCTGCATCCAAGACATATTACCTCACTGCAGAGCGTTGTAAGCACACCAGCAGATGAGTGTAAATGAAAATAATGAGCTGCAGTCTTAAAAATGTGGTGTCTTGTGTTCCTAAAGTTGCACAGGTACCACTATGCTTGTTTGTGATGTAATGCTTCCCAAAAGAAAGGCTGCATTAGTGACAAAGTACTTCTACTTCATCTGATTGTGATCAAATGTTATTGATTCTTTATTTAGTTACGTTGATTAGTTTCCTGAAATGTGCCTGAATAGAATATCAGTCAAAACAGGATAGTGAGTTAAATTTCTTAAGATGCAAATGCAAAAATATCTTCTTGCAAGTATCACGATAAATAACTTACTTCTACATATTTAATTTTAAGTCGGGGTTGTCAAATTCAATTAACTCAGTGCAGTTTGATGTTTAGCTTAATCCAGATGTGTCATTGAATCTGTAAAAAAATGTCCCATGCTGGCACCAATCAAACTTGAAAAAATGTATCAAGCAGAATAAATCCTGTGGTTTTTGGCTTGGATTTGGCAGGCTGTTTTTTCTTGGCTGGGTTTTAGGGTGTTTAACCCAGCAGGCATGTTGAAGACCACTTTATTTCTCTCAGACCCACTCTTATAAATGTTTTCCTATTTTGGCTCTTATTCAGCTTCTTTGAGCCCTCAAAGGGTTTACCACACACATTCTAATCTGTTCATTTTGGCTAATAACATACAAGCTTTGGGGGATTTACTCAACTTATCTCCTGTTGCAAGGATTCATAAGTAAGCTTTGACACAAAAATAATAGCCTCCAAGTTGTTTTTCTCAACATATTTCCAAAGTATTAAATAGTCTAAAATAAGCTTCGAACATTAAATATTACTGCTGTTTTAGGATAATAAATACTTTTCTTTTTACATAGGAAAAGTTTATTTTAGCAGCATTCGAAGATTCTAATTGTTTGTGCATTCATTTTTTCCTGTGTGTGTCTTTTGTTCAGCTCATTGTAATACATTGTATGTTTAGGATAATAATCATTTTCTCCTGTCTCTGTCTTCCTGCAGACAGACGTAAACGCTTGTTATCTGCGGGCTGCTCGGGCTGGCAACCTTGAGAAAGCGTTGGATTACCTGAAAAATGGGGTTGACATTAATATTTGCAATCAGGTAAGCTTGCTAATAAGACTGCACCATTGTAGAGTTTTTTAAAGTAAAATTTCCATATAAACAACTCAAACCATGTATCCAGTCTTTTTATCGCAGAAAACTCCAAACTCAGCTTTAAATTGTAGGAATAGTTCTTCTAGTTATTTATATAATTTGTGAAGCAGGCGCAACCTTAGACTATTGCCATGCCTGCATGGTCACCAATTCAGCCTATGGTTTGTTGTGTTACATTCCCTAAATGCACGACTTACAGGAACTAAACTAAATTAGTTCAAGTATACCAAATGGTTTGGATTCAAAATCACACATAAAGAGTTTATATGTTGAATGTTAGTCTCAATAGAGACCAGATTTGCAGGGGAAAAAGCAAAACAATAAAGATTATTTTAATTTAATCTCCATTCCTCTTCCTCTCTTTTCTTTCTCTCCAGAATGGCCTCAATGCTCTCCATCTGGCTTCGAAGGAGGGCCATGTGGAAGTGGTGGCTGAGCTCATCAAACAGGGTGCCAATGTGGATGCTGCTACTAAGGTGTGTGCCACCCAGGAGTCGCATAAACATACAATCACTCACACAGGCACACTGTGTATGCATGAATTCACAGACACACACACACGCAAAGTTTGCTGAGTCTGCACCTTCCCAAAGTCACATTGATTAAGCAGCAGGAGAGGAGATGAATGGCTGCATGTGAGTAGAGAGGTCAAGTACTGATTTAGTATAAGTCCTGTCACGGACATTCCGGTATTTCACCACATAGGGCTTGTTGGTCTGGTAGTGTATGTAAAGTGTTTGACAGTGAAATGCTCCACTGCATTAAATTTATCCATTAGAAGAAAGGCGATTAAATTCACGATGATTGGATTTTCTGCCATGATGCTGACATCACCACACTAAACTAGGTTAGTGGGAGTAATTAGGTAATAACTCACAATTCTTACAGATGTTTCCCAGCACTGAAGCAGTCTCCTTACAACAATGTTTTTAAAAATACTAATACAGGGTCGTGGTATTAACACCAGAGACTTGCAGCTGATGCTATTTGTGCCCATGTGCCATGCACTATTAGTTTACTTTGTCTGCTTTTTCATTATATTGTTCAAGATAGTTGATGGAGTCCCTCAAACCCTTCTGTAACACATCTGTGCGCATGAAAACTCCAAAATACTGGGTATAAATGTGTAAGCATTTGGTTAGGCTTGATAGTGACTTATTAATACTATCTGAGCATGCTGGAAGTGAGTGAAAAGGCAGATGTAAAAACAGCTCAACAATTAATAAACAAAATTGCAAAAAGCAGCTTAACAGGTGTAACAAGCAAACTGAAGTTGAGGTACCCTGCTACACCAGCTGACAATGTGATCCGATCAGCTAAAACTCTTTAGCAGTTTAAGTAATTTTAGCCTATGAGCAGTTACTGTTGCCCCTGCGAGCTGCTGTGCAACCCCTCTCCACCTGAGCTTCCCCTTTTCATGCTAGTTTTTCATACCTTTATAGAAAAGGCAGATCTGATATTAAAACATAATAGTGCACATTTGCAGACAGTCTCTCCAGTAAGAACTTCACAGTGCTGCAAGTAGTTATTCACATAAAACACGATAGGCATGGTTACAGAAACCTAACTTGGTTACTCACATGGGAATTTTGTGTGACTATTCTGTTCTAATCTTTGAAAAGTCAACTTTCTAACTAGAATATCTGTCAGAAATGCTTCCAGAAGGTCAGATACCTTAGGAAACTCCATTATCTGTAACATACAAAAGCTGATAATCCATTATTGTCCAGCTGCATATACAGGTGACATTTAATTGCACAGGGCAGAAAAAACACAAGAACAAGAGAAGAAAGGAGAGGCCTTTGTAGCCCTGCAGGTGTGAGCATTGTAATATATCAATAGTTCTCTGGGACTGTAACCTGAATCCTTCCAGAAGAAGACAAATTCTGGTTTTAATATGTGCTTATATAGTAATTATGCAAGTTTTTAAAGTGTGGCTGTAATGGCAGCCCTTGTAAGTGTTTTATGTGCGACATAAGTGAGCCAAGGAAAGAATACACTACTGTACATTTCATTCAGTCACAATTTATGTTATGCTGTGATGGGGGAAGCACTTCTATTCATATTTAGCTTGAATAGCAAACTAAAACTACAACATTAACAAAAACAACTATGTCAAGGAATGCTACAAAACTAGTCAGAAAATGTCCAATAACAGGTTTTCTCTGAACAGACATGTTACAAAAGCAGTTTAAAGGTGTCTGATGTGTATCCCTCACTCATACAATGGCTCCCAAATGAGCCATGAAAACTTCAAGAATCCCAAATTAATGTCAGAATCAAACCGTTGTATCTTGTTCTAAACTAGATTCAACAGCAGTAGGAAGGAGAGGCGAAGCATGTGAGGAACGAAGCGAGGTGTATGTGCAGAGGGTTTAGTGGCAGTAAGAATGACAGCATGGCGACAGCTGCTGCTTGCTATGGCTCACACACATATAACAGGTGCATCCATTAGAGCTGCGTATGAGTAATGCACATATCAGACTAGCTCTGCTAGTCTTTTCAGTATGTAGTAGTTTTCTTCTTTGTATTTCCATTTTTTTTCTCTTTCTGTGACTCTTGAACGTTTATCTTCCCATTGCACAGTCTGTATCTGTTATTCAAGTTGAACCAGTGTTCAGAAGTAATGCTATAACCTTAATTTTCACCCTTAACATGTGCATATGTGTTGTTCAGGGTTATGTATATTTAATCTGTATATATCTGTATATGAATATGCTGGGTCTATGGACAAAGGGAAACAGGCAAAGTTTCTTTTGGTTGCACACAGTTAAACACTTGATGTGAAGTGCAAAAGATGCAGTCTTATAATTAGCTAGCTACTGACAACAATTTAGCTGTTTATGTTTTCAAATGAACAGTATCTGACAGTTACCGTAGACTGTGTTAGGGGCCTAACAAGTTATAAATAATGTGGCATCACCAACAACAACAGTCCTATAAAAGGACAGGTAAAGCATTGCTCTAGAAATGCTGTTTATTTTGGTAACAAAGCGCAAGACCAAGTTGACTGGTTATGAAGTATTAGTGCTTGCAAGTTAAGGCTAATAGGCTAACTGCTGGTGTCCTGACTGTTGGGCTAGTGCACTTGACTCAGTCGTGTCATAGTTAGCAGAGCTGGACACATCAGGATGCTCTAGTACTTGATAAGTTAACTACTGTTAAATGCCAAAGTAAACAAAGAATAAAATTCATGCTAGTAAAGTTAGCATCAGTTTCTAGCATCAATCAGCAGACCAGCTAATGGATTCAGATTGTGTGCTCATTTTCATTCAGTGGGCAGCCCTTTAATCTGTGCTCGCCAACAGAACAAAAGACAGTGAAAATGAATGATATTCATGAACAGATATGAACAGATTTTGATTTGTAGACTTATTCAGTTTGTCAGTCTTCTGTTTTTGGGGGAATATGCTCTCTCCAAGCTTTACATTATAAATTATATAAATTATATTACAAGGTGCAACTATTATTTTGTTAGCCTAATTTTATTTATAGTTTTTGAGATTAGCGCTAATCATAGTTTGCATATACACACACAGTCCCAAAGTTATATTAATTGTCCTTTCCTGTGAATTCTAATTTATGATTTACAGACATCACAGACAATGATATCATATTGCAGCAAATATTAAGGTTTGATTGAGATAGGACTTTAATAAAAAGTGATATTTTTCACTCAATTTGCAGCAATCAGACACTGAAGCTTGTAAAAGTGCTTTAAAAGCTTCCATAGCATTAAGTCAATCCATGCTGCTTTTAACTCTCCTGCATTCCCCCAGAGAGATATGTGTGCAGTTTGCACTTCTGCTGTAAACAAGCAATATGCAAAACATTTCTCCTGTGTGACTCATAAACATCCACATAGCCCAGGCCTTTACATGCATCCAAAAAGCTAAAAATAATTCTTCCTAAGTTTTCCTAAAATTTTAAATGTTTGTTTTGTTTCTGTTCTTTAGAAAGGAAACACTGCCCTCCACATAGCTTCTCTTGCTGGACAGACAGAGGTGGTGAAGGAGCTTGTCACCCACAGTGCCAACGTCAATGCTCAGTCTCAGGTAAGGCATCCCCTCTCGAAAACACAGACACATGAACTCACAAGGCTGTACGGCGAAATCATCTCTTTTGGAAGACCATGTTTGAATTCGTGCATTCATCCAGAAGAATGTGTACATACAGGGTCCATTTGTGTGTGTGTTAGCTTAGCCCACATTCGATAGTCAGCATGCGCACACACTCACAGTGGACTTGTCACCACAGCAACTATAACGATGTCACTGTGAAGGCTTTGGCTGCAGCTGATGAGAGGAAGAAAATGACATCAGTATTGATGACCTTTAATCTTTAGTGCTGACCTAAACTTCTTTCCATCTCCGATTTTACTTGAAGAGTAGGAGAAGGTCAATTGATTTTAATGCAAATTCTAGTAGTTACCAGTGTACATCACCAATGTCCATCACTGTACCAGATTTATTCATTACAATGCAGTTGCAGTACTTGGGTTAAAAAGTATCTTTAGCTATCTGCACAGTGCCACGTTCTTTTTCCCAGTGTGAACTTCAGCATTTTGTCCTTTCTTTTTCTACTGACACTTGATTCCACAGTAGAATTACAGTAACAGGCAATGTGAAGCTTTAGTTTTTAACCATGCAGTCAAATTTGTGTCATTTAAACACTAAAAGAAAGAGTTAGTTTTGTATGACAGTATGTTTATGTGGGACTGTAGCCTCAGGTTTACGCTGTTAGCTGGTAATTATGAGACAGTGCATTTCAGCACTTCTCATGGAGTAACATGAAAATAATCTAACAAGCAGTGTAACGAAATTGCTCTCTTCAAGGAATAATTAAGTAACAAATAATTTGTAATACGTTACTGTGTTCACGGCGTCTGAGGAGTAAATGTTTAGGATCTCTCCAACAGTAATGGGTGGTGCTTATTCTCTTCTCACATTAAAAGGAGCTTATAAACCAGAGTGTCACTATAGCTTAGTTTTTTGAACAGGCAACCCATATGCTGAAGGCTGCAGGGGCCTTGTTTCAAAAATGACCCAGTCTATTTCCTCCATGTTAATCCCCATTAGTCTCTCTCTACTTTTCTGTCTATGCTTTACTGTCCCTGTCCAATAAAGGATAAAAATGATTGTTCTGAAAAATGCTTTATGGAGACAGGAGGGGGTCTTCTTCTCTTATACTTTCTGGGTCACTAGACACACCGGGGACATATAATTACGATTCAAAAGAATGAAAAAGTGGATTTCGCATAATTTGCCCCCTTTAAATTATGCGTATAACGAGGAAAGCATTTGGTGCAGTGACACTAGAATAACTACAAAGAATGGAAGAGGAGGATGAAGAGGAGTTTTTTTGCATGCTGAAATGGTTTTTGGATGCCTGTGTTGCTATGGAGATATGTTTTCTTATATCTAGTGTGGTAACACACACACACACACTTGTCAGATTCAGCCCCACACTGACTTTTATCTACACTCTTATTAGGTGTGAGGTATGTGTTGAGGTGACGGTATGTACACTATGATAACGCTGCTAGAATATAACATTTGTGTGGGGTGGTGGAAGTCAGGTAAAAATAATCTCCCTGCTTTCAAGTATGATTGGGTCATCATAGTTTTAGTGTATAATAGCATGTGTGGCAATCAAGTTTTCTGAAAATTAAATTAAGAAATCTTTTATAGAATAAAAACCTGTTCTGCAGTCAATTTCACGCCTGACACATCAAGGTGCTTTATCACATTAATGCAGAAATCCTATAAACCCAATATTGCCAAAAAGCAGTACTGCTTATTGATGTTTCAGCACTGCCCACAATGACCTAATGTAAGCAGAGATATTAACAGGATTAATCACCTTATCACCTGACTCCTTGATATCAGTCTGGCCAACATTTGTTGTGTTTTTATTTTATTAACACTAGTTTTCTTAATCATTTGTATTGTAACTTCATTTAGTTTATTTTGTCAAATGTGTTTTACTGTACAGGTTCTATATCTTTCTTTAGAAAGAAGGTATAGATGTCTACATAATGTCTTTTAGTCCACATGCGGAATTTTATTCATATTTCTCTTTTTTCCGATATACGATAATTTCTTTGGGGTGAGAAATGACAATCACATCCTACCCAAGTCCGTCTTTCTGTAAGGGTCATTATTTTATATAACTGGAATTTAACTGAGACACTATTATTTGGTACTAATAGAAGTAATTTTTTTCTACAAGCACGCAAACACTTTATCAATATATACAAAATAAAGCATGCATCGGTGTCCTTGCGCTGTTTTTGTCTTGGTAAAGTTTCATTAATTACCTCTAATGTTTAAATTCCCTATCCTTGTGACACATAGATCGAGAATGTGTCAGTCTTTAAACATTAACAGCATCATTTCTTCTTTTGTTTCTCTGCAGAATGGCTTCACTCCGCTGTATATGGCAGCGCAGGAGAATCACTTGGATGTGGTGCAGTTCTTATTGGACAATGGCTCCAGCCAGAGCATCGCCACTGAGGTAAAGGCAGTCTCTCATACACATACACAAAACACAAAGACACAACCTAACATGTGTTTGCACATGCTCACAAACCCATAAAATCTTCTAACAGCTACCAACCCCCTCTGTAATTACACTGCAACATTATCACCATCGGTTTCTTTGTTTCAAATGTTAGATTAGTGCCTGCACCCGCTAGCTCATTTAGTAGACGACCGGTGTAACATATGAGGTCACTGTTTATTAGGGTTAGAAAAAATAATTATTTTTCAGAGATTAATCTGTTGCCTAGAGGGAGTAAAGAGGCAGAGTGATTAGAGTGAAGGAGGTAGAGACGGGAGCAGCAGCATGTGTTCGTTCAGAGTGACCTTGACTGTCTTCAGCTGCCAGCAGAGGGAGGAACCGGTGACGTTAACAGGAGAAAAAGCATGAGTGGCGAGACCAAATGCTACGCTGTGAGTGTGACACAGCGATCCATCATCTGCAGTAGTAAAGCAGACGGCCGACTGCCACCACTGCAAGACTAAAGTGTGACGATCGTTTTTCATTTTAGTCACATCTTTCTGATGCATAATCATTCTAACTGACACATGAAAAAACTTTAGAATTTCTTCCAAACAAGTTAATTGTCCTTTCATACAAAATGTAGGGTTAGGCTAAGGTTAGCACCAATGACGATGTAGACCTCAGAGCGTTAACAAGAAGAACTCATTCTGAGTATGAATCATTTAAATACAAGCATCTGTACATTTTAAATTTTGGCTATGTTGTTGGGAATATTAAAGTCTAGATCACACGTGGGCAAAGGAGGGCCAGGAGGTCCCTGAAGTATCTCGATCCAGTCCACCACATGTTCAAAGGAGAATAAAATGAGCATCTAGCGATATATACATATACAGATGCAGTTATAAATTGTAAACTGAAGCAGCGTGCAGAACACATAAAGGTTATACTGTCATGATGTTATTCTATACGTGCTGTCCATTTAGTTTTTGGCTTCTGTACCTTAAATGTTGCATTCAGTCCTAACAGGTCATTTAATTTCTGCTAGTGATGCAGAAACATCTCATAAATATAGTTCTTTTTTCAGCTTTTATTCTGTATAAAACAGCTGTTATTTGAGCAAACATTATTTAAAAAGTTTTTAGATAGGGATTAATACACACGTTGTGCTCTAGTGAAAAATAATGACAGGATAGGAAACAATGAAGCTCCAAAGTGTACAAAGATAAAAAATACCAGGTATCAGATACCCGCACAATGTTGTAAGTGGGATCAATCAGACTAAAATATACTTTAAAGCTTTAGTTTGAAGGTAATTAGAGAGGTGCCTTTTATGTTCTGCTGATGTGTTCTGCAAATGCACATTTGATGCTGCTTTTATCTTATTAGTATTAGTATTAGTGCGGTGTTTACAGAACTGTGTCTGAGACATTTCACTCAGGCCTTCGTGGCACCTCATTTTTCCTCCTCGTCTTTCTTCCTTTTCTCTCCTCCTTATTTCTTTTTCATGCCCTCCATCATTCTTTTGTCTGCCTCCGACTCCTCCTGCTCGCCCTCTTATTCCACCACATCTCACTCTTCCCCTCTTTTCACCCTTTTTGTGACTACTCCAGTGGGGTGAGACCAATGTGAATTATTCATGTGAGGAAATATATCTATGAAGCAACTCCTGCTGTTTAATAATTCATGTTTAAGCATTTAATTAGAGAACAAAGCTTTTATAAGAAATATTTGTCTATATTTGAGCATATTAGAATCATCTTTTTTGCCATCACTTTATAAGGGGCTTTACAAAATCTCTTTATTTTTAGTGTGCAACTTTGCTGATACCCCATCAGAATAACTTGATTTTTTTAATAACTCGCTTTGTATTGTTCAAAAACTGGCTTGTGCTATTTTGGTAAGAAGGAAATTGTGCTCTGTCACTTTCCATTTTTAAGCTTTTAAAGGAAGATCAAAACCCTGTCTTTGCCTTTTTGTTTGCAGCTGCTGATGCTGTTGTTTGAGTCCCAAAGTATTTTTAGGACATTAGACTAGTTTTTTTTCTCTTTTCCTGATTCCTAAATCAGATGAAACGGGAGCTAGTGCTTAGGGATGGATTGTGACCTTTAAAATTCTTACAAAGCCTAAATTTATGCATTTGAATGTGTTTGTGTGCCCAGGGGTATGCGCATGTGTGGGTGTGTTTTGCAAACATGTTTTTGGATCACATTATGAATGTGTGTCAGCCTGTTTATGCACGTGCCTCTGTGTGTGTGTGCGTGTCTGTGCAGGCGAGGGTGTGTTTGTTTCTCGCCCTCACTGATTATTTGTGTGAGCGGCGTTGGATCTCTGAGGGAGGAGTTTCGGCTTTAATGTGTGGGTGTCTAGTGATGCAGAGTTGGTTTTATCTAGACAGTTGGTGTCCTGTATAAACATACAAGTGTGCACACAGACACACATAAACACACAAAGACACACATACGTGCAGAGTATATTGTTTTCCTTGCAAGGAATCTTTCCTTTGATGAGTCATAGACGCTCTCCTAGTAGCATCTTACGTTTATCTTACTGCCTGCGTGAGTCAGTGTCTACATATAGTGTGTGTGTGTGTGTGTGTGTGTGTGTGTGTGTGTGTGTGTGTGTGTGTGTGTGTTTGTTTGTGGGCAGTATGCAATCTCATCTTGTCTGCATCCTAGTATGTGTCCATTCGCAGCTTAATTTCCTTTCCGTTTGTTCTTAAGTGAGACACTGAACTTACTAAAGCACTTACAGTATCTAAAACTAAAATGCCTAAATTGTGTTTATGTTTGTCAGACAAACATGTTTATGCGAGAAAGGAGTTAACCTGAAAGATCTCCTTCACATGAACTGTTTTTATTGTCAGTTTGGGTGTTAACCATCTGCCTTTAAGGCTTGCTAGCTACGCAGCATTCTGTTAGCCACTGTTCACTGCAACTCTGACTCTAACATGCATAACATGCATCTTTCTCAGCCCTACTACAGTTAGTATCTTTCCTAATTTAGCTCTCAACAAGTTCCTAAGGAGTTCTGTTTTCTATGACAATGTCAGGCATTTTACTCATGGGGGCACCAACACAAAAACACCACCCACAGAAGATTATAGTTTTCGGTTTTTAATCATGCCAGCTGCCGACTGAATGGATGAATAGTTTGATAGCTGCCGAAATGTTTTAAATATAGAGCGCAATCTGTGAGTGCCAACTTAAGAATCTGTCATTTTATGCTTCTTCCGTGTTGGACGTCAGTAGACAGGCATCAGATTTAATGTGTGTAATCTGAAATTATGAACTTGAAGTGAAAATGTGTAATTGAATTCACTGAGAGTATTAGTCACATTCACAGCAGCAAGAAAATAAAAGTTCAGGCTCTGAGAGAACAAAGGAGACTTGATTAAGTCTCTCATTGTCTTATAAAAGCGACGTGCCTGAATCACGAACAGCTGTCACTTTACCAGCTAGAAGCAGCTACAAACGTATCATATGCCATCTCTGAAAGTGTGACTGTCAGCTGACATCAAGAAGAAAAGAGTGTCTGTGATTATTAAGATGACATTTTAGGATTCTTAGCTCTGATTAAGGTTGTGTTGAAACCTCCAAAAGGAGATACAAGCACACGCCTCTTCTTGCCCCATACTTACAGATGGCGTCCAAACTGCAGTGCTTCGGATGAGAAAAGAATACTAACGTGACTCTGGAGGCACACTGGCCCTGTGTCCCTCTCATCTGCTTTATAAGCCGACAGACCTTCTGATTTATATCATGCAATTTTACAGAGGATGGCCAGGCTGTAAGGACAGCAGGCAGACACCTCAAGGGAGTTTGATTCGATTTTTTTGGCTGATGATTTAAAGCACCAGCAGCCAAAAGAAGTCATGTATAAAACATGTTTAATTCCCACTGCAGGACTTTAAATCACATCAGGTGAGCTTTGGAAAATGTGACCTGGTGTGCTTAAATACTTTATATCTTTATATGTAGGTTTTATCCACCACTTTTTTCCAGACTTAAATATATTATTATATATAAGGCTGATATTTTTGCTGATTTTCATGGACTTTACAACTTTTAATAGAAAGAAAATGAAAGTAGAAGCAGCTGGTGGTCAACACATTTTTGCTTTACATGCAAAATATTCCCAGTTTGATTCCGGGTGGAGACACAAATCCAGTGTCAGGGGTTTCACAAGTCAGTTTAATCCTAGTGATGGTCCCAAGCTCAGATAAAGGGGAGGATTCCTTCAGGAAAGGTATTTAGTAAAAAAAAAAATCTGTGCCGAATCAAATATGCAGAGCCGTCTGCTGTGGTGATCTATTGGGAAATAAGAGAGCAGTTAAAATGACTTCGTAGTAGTGTAAGCAGCAGTTCCTGAACTCAGATGAGTTTCTTGAAAGTTCTTCTAAAGATAGTCATGTTTAAGACATTTGCTCTTTTCTACCAATTTTACCATTGTTATTATTTTATTATTATTATTATGATGCTTCCGATTTGGCCCAAATACCTGAAAAACTATTGACATTCACCTTCAGGCTTAGTTATAATTTCTAGTGCAATAGCAAGTGTTAGCTTGCTAAGCTAAGAGGTTTTACGTAATAAAATATGTGCATTACATTAGCATGTATTCACTGCCATTATACCGTATGTTTGCATGCTGTTGTTAAAGAGTGTCATACTTTGGGAAAACACATTTATATCTTACAGTTGACTTTTTCTGGTTTGCAGGATGGTTTCACTCCGCTGGCGGTTGCACTGCAGCAAGGCCATGACCAGGTAGTTTCCCTTTTGCTGGAAAATGACACCAAGGGGAAGGTCCGCCTCCCAGCGTTGCACATCGCTGCACGTAAAGATGACACCAAGGCTGCCGCCCTCCTCCTCCAGAACGACCACAATGCTGATGTGGAGTCTAAGGTATGAGCTATGAGCTGGACTACACTTCTCACAATGACCTGCTGTTTTGTTGTGTCTGAGATCTGGTCTTACTCATTCATAGTCCCATGACACCTTTCATGTATTATGGGTGCGATTCCTGTTACGTCTTTCTGTACGAAGGTACCTGCCAGGGTTAGCGGTGGTTAGATAACTGCTGACCGTAGCATACAAACATCAAGGTGGGCTACATCTTCTCACTTTACTTCAGTCATGAGAGGGAATAAGGATATTTCCAAACTATTACACCTATTTCTTTTTTTCCAACCATGTCTAAAGACTTTATTTCCATTGGTGATGTAGAAAACAGAACTATTTGTCTTTTAAAAATCCCATTTTCTGTTTCCTTTACTTTCGGTCTGAGATTTAGTGACTGAAGTCTCACAAAACAATAAACTGTCCATATATCAAACTACATTTAATATAATGTACATAATTCAATTATTTCTGTATATTAATGACAAAAACTCCAATCTCAAAACCAGTGATATAACTGAAATGTAATGTAATGGGATAAACCCCCAAAACATCAAAAATATTTACAAGTAACATAGGTTAAAATGTCATTTGTACTTTATTTGCATGGAACCGACCGTCAATCACATATTACATATCATAGGATAGGGCAGAAAAGAGATTGTCTTTGCTAAAGACTAAGATGCTTTTAAAAATCTATATGAAAACTAAGAATAGTCTACTAACAACACAATCGTTCAAGACTTCCATTAATATGGAATACATTTTGAATTATGTGATTCTCTGGATTAATTAAGGGTACACCTTAAGCTGTGGCCTTGACTACCCTCCCCCCAATACACCTGTATACTTGTGGTGTGTGTGTATAATCCCCACAGGGTATCATTGGGCTATGAATATTTATAAGTTCCTTCTGTTGTTCTGTGTTGATAGTTCTATTAGTCATTTAAGTCCCAGACAAGTTTTCTGTGGGACAAAAATTGAGCAAGTGTTCATATTTTGGATTTTTAGAGGCACTCAGGGCAAGAAACAATATCATCAAAAACAACATTACAGCTACATTTACCCCAAGGACCATTCTCATTGTAGAATAAATACACACTGTAAGGGAGAGTTGCAGTCCATTCCCCAGTTTTGTGTACTTCTATGTGACTGCTTTTTGGTTCTTTTCGTTGTTTACAGCCACATTGTCACATACCCATCCTACAGCTTGATGCAACCATGATGTCGGTGTTGCAGTTGTTCTTGTTGTGGTGCACTAACCACCTCATTCTCTCCTCCTCCTTTTGTTCCTCCCTCTACTTGTTCCTTTTTCTTACAAATCCCCCCTTTTCCCTTCTAGATGATGGTGAATAGAACAACAGAGGTACATCTTCTCTTCTCTTCTCTTCTCTTCTCTCCTCTCCTCTTCTCTTCTCTTCTCTCCTCTTCTCTCCTCTCCTCTTCTCTTCTCTCCTCTTCTCTTCTCTTCTCTTCTCTCCTCTTCTCTTCATTGTTCACTCATGGTCACCATTGCAAAGCCTTCTGTCTGCTAGCATGAGCACTAGCACTAAATGCTGGCATGAAAGCTTTTGCTGCTGAACCCATGTGCCCATTTTTTTAAGCCTGCATGGCATTTTGACTTTTTTATTTCTGTGTACGCAGTTGCTCGCTGCTATAGTTTATAGCATTGTAAATTCAGCAGCGCAGTGCCTCTGGAGGATTCACAGCGTTTCACTTGCTCCTCATTTTGTCATGTTACAGCCTTATTCCAAAATGAATTAAATCCATTATTCACCTCAAAAATCTACATGCAATAGCCCATGATGACAAAATGAAAAAAACCTTCCTTGAAAATCTTAAAAAATTTATTAAAAGTAAAAAGCTGTCTATATAACATCCCATAGTTGACAGTGCATGTCTGAGTGCAAACCAGGCCATAAATTCCAAGAAATTGCCTCCGAGACAGGATTGTATTGTGACACAGTTCTTGAGAAGGGTACAGAAAAACTTCTGCAGCATTGCAATTACAGTCCAAAGTCTTTTTCAGTATGATGCTGCTGTACAATCTTGGCTGTTTTGGGGCAATTTCTCTCATCCTTCTCTGCAGAACCTCCCAAGCCCCATCAGGTTTGATGGGGGGCGTCGATGTATAGCTGTTTTCAGATCTCTCCAGAGACGTTAGTATGGTTTCAAGTCTGAGCTCTGACTTGGCCACTCACAGACATTCACAGAGTGCTCGCAAAGGCACTACTTTGTGTTCCTGGCTGTGTGCTTGCAGCCGTTGTACTGTTGAAAGATGAAGCAGGTTATCGTCAAGGATGTCCCTGTACATTTCTGCATTCATCTTTCCAATTGACCCTGACTAGCCTCACAGTTACTGCTGCTGAAAACATTCCCATAGCATGATGCTGCCACCACCATGTTTCACTGTAGGAATGGTATTGGCCAGGTGATGAGTGGTGCCTGGTTTCTTCCAGACATGATGCTTGGCATGCAGATCAAAGAGTTTGTGGTTTCACCAGACCAGAGAATTTTCATTTCTCATGGTCTAAGAGTCTTTCAGATGCCTTTTGGCAAACTCCAGTCCTGTGCCTTTTACTGTGGCGTGCCTTCCATCTGGCAACTCTACCATACGGGCTTGATTAGTGGAGTGCTTCAGAAACCTTTTTCATTAACGGATGTTGGAGGTCACTGTGCTCATTAGAATCTTTAATGCTGCAGACTTTTTCTGTACCCTTCCGCAGATCTGTACCACAGTACAATCCTGTGTCGTCGGCCTACAGACAGTTTCTTGGACTTTATAGCTTGGTTTGTGCTCTGACATGCACTGTTAACTATGCAACCTTATATAGGCAGTTTTTAACTTTTAATAAATTTGCAACAATTTGAAACAAGCCTTTTTCACTTTGTCATTATGGGGTATTTTGTAGAATTTTGAGGGGGAAATGAACATATTCATATTCCATTTTGGAATAAGGCTGTAATGTGACAAAATGTGGAACCAGTGAAGTGCTGCATATACTTTCCAGATGCACTGCATAATGTATTTCTACACTAGGGTAATACCATCAGTATATCATCACAGTCATATTACACATAGCACTTTGCAGAAAAATAATACCTACTTGATTTTAACTTAATGTAAATAAATGTATTTTATTTTTGTTTCATGGTTTATATAAGTGCAGTCCAAGATATATTCAACGTCTTCCAGTTCCAGTACAATACCAGTGTATAGCCTCCTGTTGTCCAAAGTTCCAGCTTTTTGAGTCCGAACCAGCCAATATCTGATATAAATATCTATAAGTTTATAGTCCCTGCATCTAAAATGATATCTGGTTTTAGATTACTGTGTAAAATGTTCTTGGGAACATCTACACCATGTGTCCAAATTATTATTACATACATTTAACCTATATTTGTAAAAGTGTAATGCAAAATGCCTCAAATTTTTTGCCCAGTCTCACAAGGTTAAAGGATCCTCAAAAAATTCCTAGATGAAAAATTCCAGATGTGGATTCAAAAGTAAAATTTTTCGAAGTTGTGCCAAGGTATGGTGGCTTTGAAAGGTCAAACGCACTTCAACCGAAGGAAACAGTAGAGACTAGAAATAGGCTCCAAAAGTGCACAAATCACAACAGGAGTTGAATAAAACACAATGAAAGTTGAATTATTATAACAGGAAAAAACTAAAACCTTAAAACAATCCTGAAGAGTTTCTGAGGAGACACTAATGTGACAGAACAGCTTCATAACAAACTAACAGTAAATAGAATAGGAAACGTGCATTATATGAATTATGCAATTAAAGTACACATTAGCTAGCATCTTTTTCGTCCTCACAACACAGATGAATCCTCCACTTCTTTTAAGCGTCTCCCAGTGCAATCCTTATTGTGTTTCGGTTTCCTTTATTTCAGGAGCTGTTCTGTCACGTTAATGTCTCCCCCAAAAATATTTCTGTTGTGTTTTTTCTGTATTTTTCCTACTTCTATTCTGTTTTTATTCAACTTCCATTGTGTTTTGTGTTGTTTTACTGCAAATCTGCCCAAAACTTTTGGAGTAATGCTGAAAACAAAGAGACAAACCAAACCATTACTAAAATGTCTTTGGTGGAGTTAATTGAGCTTCTATCAGTGAAATCCAGCAGGGTACCAACACAGGATTAGGGGGGAAAAAAGAGCTCAGCAGAGGCATCAAGGTGTAAGATTTGAGTTTGCATAACTTAAAAAAAGAACTTTATCTTTACCATAAATCCAGAGTTTATGGGATGCATGAAATCATCGTGGTCATCAGGAAGATAAACTGCTACAGCACAGCCTAATTTTTATTCAAATTAAATAAAATCAACAAAGAAAATTCTTTTGTTGATGTGATTTTTCTCATGCAAAAAGTAGCAGTAGGCAGTTCATGTGAATACTGCTGTGTTCGCATACTCTTCATCTTGACTTCATTACTGGGTACATTCTCATTTATTCTAAAATATGATGTTTAGAATTACAATGTAAAGTTTTAAATGTAACTACAATTTATGTAATATTTTTTATTCATTTTCTTGTCAAGAGTAAGATATTTTGCAATAACTGGGGAGCTAATGACAAGCTTCAGTTGACTTCAGCTTATCATACTGTAGCTTAAGGATTACAGATGGGGAAAATAGCTAGTTTGAGTGGTTTTGTTCATACAAAGAATTGTGATTTTACAGAAGTGAATGCCCTGAACCCTTACATGCTTGTAACATGTAACTGTATCCAGCAGTAATGGGCATTGGTTTATCAGACCATTGCACCCAGCTGACATGTGAAATGACGTGTTGGAAACCACATCAGTTAGCAAAGCAAAAACTCAAAAAGAACTTTGAAATTAAAAAAAAGCATTAGCTAGTCTTGTTGTCTTTTTAGAGTTGTATTTATGTGTGTTGTGTAATATCCTTGTGTTGTTGACATGTCTTTCTCCCTTCACAGTAGCATCTCTCTGTACTGTGATCCCACTTGAGTTACAATATTTTTATTTGTTATTTGATATAGAAACATAAATTTTTTGGCATGCACTGCTTGTTGCTGCAACAAATAATTTGGGGGAAAATAAGCTAAGAATGAACAGTTGGAAATGATCAAACTAAATGAATGATTTCTTTGTTTTTTTTAAGCCGTTCATGTTCAGTGAGCCGGTAACTTAAAAGTTTTCAAGAAATGGCAATAGTTTAGGCTTTTCAGTCACTGTTTCTTAAAAGCAGTCTTACAAACTCAACTAAAATAGATGCATGCTCACCTGCATGCTGCTTCCTGTCAGATAAAAGCATATAGCAAGGAGTTTTTTTTTTAGGAATGAAAGCAAAAGCTTAATGAGACACTAAGTATTTGCATTTGTTTTTTAATCTGCATGCTTGTTTTATTTGGTAGGTTCTTATTTTTGTTTGTATTGTGTCAGACATTGTTAAATGCTATATACTTACCACAATAATTTCGCAAAAAAGTTGAAATATGCAGTCAGTGGCCACTTTATTAGGTACATCTGCAAACCTTAATATAAACATACATGTTAGCATTCTCTTTTGATCGACATTGTCAGTCAGGTGGAAACAGAGATGTTACTGAGGTGGCAATTTGCATTGGACAAATTTATATTTGAATTTCAATCTGTCCAATAGAAAACCAGCATTAAGCAAACAGTTAAATTAATGCCAATTGCCCGTCATAAGAATAATTGGTAGTGCTGTTGGACTTTATCAGCTTGCCTAATAAAGTGGCTAGGGAGTTTGTGTTTCTTATGAAAGTCCACTCCTTTTATGCTGAAATTTTCAAAGCATGTCTGACTCCTGCTCAGCTCTGGTCTGCTGTGCTCTGTTAGTCTGCTTTTAGCAAGATGCTCTTACATGTAATGTCCAATCATGCTTTGCTTATGGCTCATTATTAGACAGTTGCTACTTCTTTTTCCTTCCTCTTTAATTGTTTCTCTTCCTGTGTGTCTTGTTTCTCTCGTCTCTCTCAGAGCGGGTTCACTCCTCTGCATATTGCGGCTCACTACGGCAACATCAACGTAGCAACACTGCTGCTTAACAGAGGGGCAGCTGTGGACTTCAAGGCGAGGGTAGGTCCTTCACTTCAAAGGCGACAAGCGCGCGTGCACACACACACACACACACACACTCACACTCATATCTACATGCAGAGTGCTGCTGCAAACCTTCATACCAAAACTTTTACTTTATGCAGGGAAGGATGTGCAGGAATTTTTGCTTGCCTGTGTATATAATTCCACAGCTGTACTTGTCACTCTCCTGGAGGAAACATGCACATGCAGTCCACGTTCTATCTGATCCCACAGACTGTAGGAATGGATGCAGCAGTTATGGATTTTGATAGCTGGTGGTTTGTGAGTGTGTAAGTGTTAGACCAAATAAGCACTTACCATGTGGAAACAACCTAAAACACACGTCTCATACCATAATTTACTCAGGAAAGTGGCCTCTTTTCTAATTTTCTCACCCAATGTGCCATTTATTTGATTTATTCATAAATGTTACAGTTATGCGTCCCTAAATATATGTTAAAAGTGGGCACATTCATGAGCAAATGAATCTATAACAGAATCCACTCAAACATTATCTTCTGCTTATCTGAAGTCGGGTTGCAGTGTCAGCAGGCTAAGCTGGGTTTTTCAGACTTTCCAATTCCTACAGGGAGATCCAAAGGCATTCCTAGACATGATGAGATAAATAATCTCCAGTATGATCTGGGTCTGTCCCAGGGTCTCCTCCAAGTTGGGCATCCCAGAAAACCCAGAAGGGAAGCTCCCAGTCGATTTCTGAATCACCTCAGTTGGCTTCTTTCCACATGAAGGATCAGTGGCTTTACTCTGAGCTCCTCTATGTCTGCAGCTGAGCCCACCCTTTTATATTTGCACCCTTATTTTTTTGCTAACTATGCACATTTCATCACCATAGGTGAGAAGTTGGGCAACACGAGCATTAATCCACATGTACACCACATGCTCCACCTTCCCATCACTCATGAACAGATTACAAAACATGAATAGAAGTTGTTTCTTTTCCATGTCTATAATGTCAGTCAAGTAACTTCTAATGTTCCAAGTTAGGATTAAAGGTGTTTGTCTTTTGATGTGTTTTGTCCAGATTCAATAAATGCATCACTTTACTCAAAACAGAGAATAGTCATGCCGGCCTCTGATTCCTTTGTGCCACAAAGAGCTTTATTTTTTTCCCCAAGAACCATTAAAAACACACCATTGAGCCACACCCTCACACTCAACCCTCACTGCAACCATGCACAGTAGGGGTGGGCCAGTAATTACATTTAAATTGTGATTTTTCTGCTAACAATATGAAAACAAGATATTGAGCTAAAGCAGTGAATGTGCCGCATTCTGTTTTATCAGGATGTTCTCTCTTCATCGTGTTTTTTGAATGCGGGATGTTCCTTTCCTCTACCGCACTTGCATTTATTGTTTCTGAAACGCCCAAATTCATGCTCTGAATGTCAAATTAGGTTCAGTTCATCTTTATTTTGTTCATTATTTCTATTTAATTATGTTTAAAGTTAAGGAAATCTGCTGAGAGATATTTGTTAGAATCTTCAAATGTTGCATGATGTTTTCAAAGCCAAGGAATCATTTTAATAATCACATTCAAAGCCTGGACCAGGTTTAGTACTTTACATATCATCTCTCTCTCCCACACACACACACGATTTTGCCTCTCTCACTACTGAAAATGTAGAACCCTGGCATATTTATTTACTCTTACATGAGTAACATTTGGATGAAACTCCAGTTACTCAACCTTAAAATAAATATTCAGTGGATGATGACTCTGGCAGTAAGGGCCTGTTCAAACACCGGATATAAGAAGGCTGAAATGTGTTGATGCTGAGAAAAGTCTAGATGAAAGCTAACATTTCCTTTTAAATAACTGTGAAAACTGTGTTCTTTGGTGGCAAAATATCAAACACATACTGGAAATACACACAATCTCTGGTGAACACATAGAGATATTAGAAGTCTCTGGCATTTTTAGAACAGAACCTCAAAGCTAAGGTCGCTCTGGCTGGAATGATCACTGTCCTCTAGAGGGGGGTATTTAGCCATTTCCCTCTGGCACTGTCAAATAGAGCCAATTTTCCCTAAAAGTGACGTATTAGCAGTGGTACTCCTTCTCTTTTCCTGAAATAAATGTTGATTTTTCTTTTCTCTTCGTCTGAATAGCTAAACAATGCATCTCTGTTTCCTGCAGAACGACATAACACCGCTGCACGTAGCATCCAAACGTGGGAACAGCAACATGGTGCGACTGCTGCTGGAGAGAGGGGCCAAGATAGATGCACGCACCAAGGTACAATCACATGCGCACAATGTTATTTGATGCAGTGTTCAGTTTAGATTTAAATATTGATATTTAAACGTGTATTCGTGTATTTAATGCTCATAGACGTTCAATATTTCAATATAATTTAGAAGTGCTTTACATCAAACTAACATAACTCCCGATAAAGTAAACATACAACCATACGTAGGCTGTTTACACAGGGTGGTATGTGAAATGAATATAATGGAAGGGTAAAAAACATTAATTAAAAATGAGAGGATAAAATCCATAATCACTAGGTGTAGGGTGCTTTACATTTGTCCATCATATAATTTTTTAGCTGAGAGATTTCCAAAAACCCTAAAATTATTATTATCTAATCCCACCCACAGCTGTGCGAGGATTAAGCATCACCTGCGGTGTCATGTCAAATCTTGTCTGTTGCTCAACGAGCTTGTTGATGATGGTATGAAGTTCACGGCTGAGCAGCAGGTGTTTGTTTTCACAGGACGGTCTAACTCCTCTTCACTGTGGCGCCAGAAGTGGCCATGAGCAAGTAGTGGAGATGCTGCTGAACAGAGGAGCTCCAATACTGTCAAAGACCAAGGTTTTTAAGAACAAGCCAACAAAATCACATTAGCAAACTGCATCCGTATTAACTTCACATCGCTGGACATCTTTCTCCTCCTTTTCCTTCCAGAACGGTCTGTCTCCTCTTCACATGGCGACGCAAGGCGACCACCTCAACTGTGTTCAGCTGCTGCTGCACCACGACGCGCCCGTGGATGACGTGACAAACGACTACCTGACGGCGCTGCACGTTGCTGCCCACTGTGGGCACTACAAGGTGGCGAAGGTCATCGTGGACAAGAAAGCCAATCCCAACGCCAAGGCGCTGGTGAGGGGATCTCAATTATTTATTGTGATAAAAATAAATAAAAATTGATGAAAAGTACAAAATAATGGAGAGGAATTAAAAGGGCTCATCATCTCAGAGCATCTCGTTGCTTGGGCTAATCAAGAGAAGCAGGAATTCTTTTATGTAAAGTTAAAAATGATAAGACATGTTGTGACTCTTATTGAAATCCTGTTCCTGTATAACAACAGTTTTGCTGAATATTTGAGCGCCTTCTTTTTAGCAATGACAATCTCAATGACAATTGCATTTAATTTGAATGTAGACAAAGCTATTAGCTGCAGATAAAAGCTCCATGATCTCATGCAGTTGTCTGTGGGCTCCCACGTTGAAACCTTAAGCTTAAAAATTTGGTGGATATTTGAAGAAGTAGTGAAGTTCTAACTTGCCAGCTACTGCTAGCTAACTTGGTTAGCAATGTGATAACATGTTAATCAAACGTGGCTTCACTTTCTATTGGTGGATTGCATAGCCACAGATACCATCTGATCAGTGCATCTTGCTAATAAATAGCAAATTTGCACTCCCCAAAACTGGAGCACAATATTCTTGGATGAGCTCCAGACTGCACCAGCACTACGAACTCAGCTGAGGTGACAACTAGTAGACAGCCACAGCCGCCTCTTGGCAGGCATCTGTCAACCACACCACAAAATATGAATAAGCGTAAGCCTCAAAACATTTTAAATTCAGTTTGAAAAAAAAAATCCCCCCTACAGTGTCACAGAACAAAGCTGTACTGTAAACTTGTAAATGTTTATTTCTGCTCGAAGGTTTTTACATTTTAACATGATAGTCTGTGGGGATTGACATGCTTTTGGAGTGAGCCTCAAGTGGCCATTTGAGGTATTGCAATTTCAACCACTTAACGTCTAGTGTATTATATTTACTACATATAGTTTTTGTGAGGTTTTGAGACTCCTGCATCATCAGTGAAAATATTTTTCTCCCCAGAAACCCTAAATAAATTCCACAATACATGTTTTAGCAATAAACTAAATCTTATTGCTGCTATAGTAAACATGATACAAATTAAAACTCATATATGCAAATTGATATGTAATTTTTTTTTTTTTTTAATTTGTCAAAAGGTTCAAATGTTCCATTTTCAAAATAATTTAATTTTTGGGCACTTATTTGAAGGTTCAGGTTTAAAGAGTTTTTATTCTAGCGCCAAAGTTTGGTGCTGTAAAAATGCTGCTAGACCGCTGCATCTGCATAATATGCAGCGACATAGAAAACTGATGAAAATGAAGTATTAGAGCACCTGCTGTGCTGCTCAGGGTTGTGACATTTCAGTCATTTCACTTTACAACTACCCAAAAATGTTTTTTCGTCTATTTAAGTTGTACCTCTCTGCCTTCTCTCATTTTTTCTTCTTTTATTACATTTTTTAATGAACCTTTCCTTTTTCCACTAACAAAAAAGAAAAAAGGCTGAGATGCAACATTTGATGGGGAACACAAAGAAACAAGTAGAATTAAAAAGACTTTAGTATCCCAGCCGATGTCTTGGCATAAGACGAGCATTGCTGCTCTGCAATGGGAGCAGTCTGGGTGTGGTTAGAGCACTGGGACTTTATAACCAGAGAGAATAAGTAAGACGGGGAAAAGGACATGGAGAGGAAAATGAAGTCATAGGACTGAGCCTGAAACCTCAAAGTCAGGAGAGTAAAGGAGGGGAGGGATGAAGGAGGGTGAGGAGAGAGAGAAAAGTGAGTTGTAAAGGAAAGTATCTATTTCAGTGTAGAGGAGTTTTTATTTTTTTTTGATAGCTTACAGTCCACTCGATTATTTCCACACATGCTTGTCTGGTTTGCAAGCAGAGGGTTTTAAGAAGCAGAGGGAGAGAAAGAGAGGGGATAAAAGAAAAAACAGTCCCCCCTTTGTGCTGTAGTTTCCACTCGGTGTTCCAGATTTGTCTGCAAGTCCTACAAAGCCAAACACAAAGACTGTTTGGACTATTTTTATACTTTTATTTATTTCTTTTTGTCTTTCATAGAATGGTTTCACTCCCCTGCACATTGCCTGCAAGAAAAACAGACTTAAGGTGATGGAGCTGCTTCTGAAGCATGGAGCGTCTATACAGGCTGTCACAGAGGTAAGTGTGTCTGGAGTGTGTGTGTCATTTAAGCACTAAGACATCAATTATTTTTGTGTAGTTTGTTAATTTAGTTGTTGGAGTGGGGAAATTCTACCTCTACTGCTACTCTACACCTGTAATCCACTACATTTCAGAAGAAATACTGTAATAGTTGGTCTTCTGTTGATTGATAGCAGACTGACTTTCTTAAAAGTTTGCACATTTGCATTTAATGACCTACAGAAATGTTCTCGTGCTTCTTTAGTGTTTCTTTAATTCATTGACTTTTTTTCTTTTCCTCTCTTCTTTGCGTTTCCATCTCTAGTCCGGTCTGACGCCGATCCACGTTGCAGCTTTTATGGGACATGAAAACATCGTCCACCAGCTAATCAACCACGGGGCTTCACCAAACACAAGCAATGTGGTGAGTTCAGGAAGTTCGTCATCATCATTACCGTGTGATAAGACAGGGGGCGTGAGAGGATATTCTTTCCTTTTCTTTTCCTTCCATGTGCTGGGTGGGCGGGCGGGGGGAAAGCAAAGTGAAATATATTTGCTTATAATATATTTTTAACCATAATATTTGAATATTTCCTCTTTACTGTATAACAGATGAAAATTTAGATCTTTTTGCTTCATTTCATTTAGTTCTCAGCATCTTCAAAAATTGTACAAACCATATGATTAGCTCATAACTTTATAAAACTTAAACCAGTGGTTCCCAAACTTGTTTTTGCTAGGCCCCCCTTTGTTTTTACAATAAAATCTTTTATCAAAGCTGATGAGCTCAGAGCTCAGATGGCAAAAACAGAATCAAAATCCATACAGGCACACGGGGAAAGATGCAGATAAGACTATTTATACACCGAGGGGTGACTGGGGATGAGAAACAGGTGAAGACGATCAATACGGTCAAAAACATAAAGCCGCAAAAGTGACACAAGACATGAAAGAAAACCGACATTTAAAATAAAACAGGAAATATCTCTAAACATAGAGACAAGACTATCAGTACACATGGCAGACACAGTAGAAGACTGGACAATGAAGGCATAAACAGAGAAAGATGAGACAGGAAGGAGCAGTTAGCGAAATGGTGAGGGAAGTACGCCAGCAGGAAATGACTAACTCATAACAGACACTTAAACTAAGGAACTCAAAACTAAGACTAGAAAGTTTATAAATTCTAAACAGTAATTAGGGCTCAGAGAGTGCAATAAACCTGAGCCTCAGTATTGCTAGAATGAAAACATATCACAACAGGAATCAAAATTCAGCCTACAAAACGCACAAATCAAACCTTCAAAGACCAGAATAGCTTTAGAAAAACCTAAACAGACACCCAACTCAGATGTTTTGACTAAGGATTCAAAACTCAAGAGCAGCACAAAGCCTATGAAACCCTTTAAAAAATCTGAAACAATACCTAAAACAGCTAATTGCACAGAGAGAGAGAAATACAAACATAGGAAGTGACTTAACACTAGCTGTTTATCCACAAAATCTAAACCTTAATTGGTGCAGACAGCAGAGAAATCCTCCGTAGGTGGAGAGGAGGTATTTAATGTAATTTGCTCATACGGAAATGTGCTCTAATTCTCATCTGGTCCATCGACACTCCTCAGTAGGAGCTACAAACTTTACTACTGACCCCATTAACTCTGGGATGACATGAAAGGAGAAAAAGAGGAGAAAAAAGTAAGCTGAGCCAAAGAGAAAGGCAAGAGCGAGGAAGAAAGAAAGAGGGGAACGAGTAGTGCACAGTCAACTCTTCAACCCCGAGTGTTTGGTCGCCCACGTCGTGTCTGTGGCCAGGTTACCGTAGTAACAGAGCATTATGGGACGTCATTATGGTGAGTTGGGTGTGGAGAGCGAGCGAGGGGGTCTATCTGGCTCTTTCTCTTTGTCAGCCACTCCTTCCCAGTGTACGTCTTCACAAAAAGAAGTTTTTTTGTATGAGGGTGTTTTCAAAGAAAGAGTAACATTCAAAACTTTGGAATAACTATCCATCCCTCGTTTTCTGCGTGTGCTTCAGAGGGGGGAGACAGCACTCCACATGGCAGCGAGGGCGGGACAGTCCAATGTGGTCCGGTATCTGATTCAGAATGGAGCACGAGTCGACGCCAAGGCCAAGGTAGAGCATCACTCTCAATCAGTAACGATTATCTGGTGTTTATATGCGCCTGGGCATTAGAGCTACTAAATGTGAGCACAAGTGTGTGTTTGTATGCTTATGTAATGTGTCTTTGCACATGTTTAATTACTGAAAAGTTACAGTCATGGGTCAAAATTATTCAGAAAAACTTTCTGTCAGCTTAATTTATTAAGTAACGCTACCTGGTGTGCATTTCATACATAATAATATCAAGCGAGTCTGGTTTTTTATGTGTTGCAGTTCTTTTATGTAAGCAGCTGCAATACTCAACAAATTAGAAAATAATGTTGCCTTATGCTTCACCTGCACACTCTTCATAAATCATTTTTCTTGTTTGTCCTTTTATGCATTTTTTGGATACAAATAGGAGTAAAAATTCTAGTTACACGAGGCTGTTATTCACAAGGATCTACAATCTACTCAGAGCTACAAAAGAGCAGTCATGATAAACAGAGTTGCTATTATGTGAGTGTGACTTTGACTCAGCAAATGTGTTGCTAAAGTTATCTGGTTATTTACTGGGAAATGTCTTATACAATATATTGAAAGATAATAAGGTTTTGTGAGAATCACAGGCAGTAAGTGCATGTTGAACTGGGTGATTTCCAGCATTGTGGTTCAGTTTACAGTAATGGACTGTGCTGGACTGGTGCAGAAAAGACTGTGGTATCTGTGGTCACTGTGAGCTTAAGTCAAAAGGAGAAGTCATCAGTTCCCAAAATCCACCTTTAAACTGGCCAGCAGATGGAAAGCAGCCATATTAGCGCATACCACATCTGCTCATGTAGTAGAATTCAGTTTAGTAAATCCAAAAAGAGCAAAAAAACCTCCAGCAGAGCCAGCAGCAACAACACAGGTCAGCTGATCAGAGCCTGTACACAAAGAACAACCTCCTGGAGCTCACAGGACAAATAATGTGACTTCTAATAAGTTATTCATGTCCCTGTCCTGCACTGCTATGAAAAGTAATAGGGTTCCCTGTACCTGTAACAATATGATGATGATGAAATAAATTCTTTCCAATAGATCCCAACTGATATATTCCTTGGATAATATTATTAGCCAATATGAGCCTGCTGCAAATATGTAACATGTTGCATGTTATCCAGCATGAGCCAATAATAATGGTTGAGTTTCTAACATAATTTGTTCACTAGAGCAGCTTCAGATGCTTTGTTTGCAGTCTATCACATATTTAGTCGAATATACATTACTCCTAAGGGGATGTGGAGGTGAGCAGTGTGTTGCATTTAAAATGCCCAATAGCTTGTGAAGTACATTGCATTAAATTTAAAAATGATATATTCCAATATATTTGTGCAAATATTTCTTCAATGAAATTCCTGTATCAGTTTGGTTCTATTATCATACGTATGCTATTGTTCAAGACCAATACAATGCAAAAACAGTCCCATATATTACATCAGAGAAATGTCTGTGTCAAATATGCTTCAGTATTTTCAATGGATGGCTTCAGGGGAGAATAAGTGTTACGCGAAGCACAGAAGCTCATTCTGAATTTACTCTGTTTATACGCTGCCATTTAAAATAAATAATGTGAAAATATAAGAGGGGTCACTGAAGAGGCTTCAGCTGTGAATCTGTCTCCTTGTTTGCTTTCTCTTGCTTTATGGCAAATTCATTGTCTTGCTGTTTAAGTTGCAAATGTGTTTTTCTTTTTCTTTTTTGAATGTCACTGCAAAACAACAAAAATGCAGTTGGCGCGATTAGCAGATGGAGCCAGAGATTTTCCACAGGAGTGTGGAGATACCAAAAACATTTGTTAAGTGGGCTGCATCTTGTCCAGAAACATGGCTCCAAATGTTGGTCCTTTTTAATAATAAAAGGTGTTTTTTGCTGGATTTTTCTATCAGGATGACCAGACTCCTCTGCACATCTCAAGCCGTCTTGGTAAGCAAGATATTGTGCAGCAGCTCCTGGCGAACGGAGCATACTCAGATGCCACGACCAACTCTGGATACACCCCCCTACACCTAGCCGCCAGGGAGGGGCACAGAGATATAGCTGCAACGCTGCTGGACCATGGAGCTAGTCTGGGCATTACTACTAAGGTAAATATGAAACTTGCACATAAACAAAATTATTATTCAAACCCACAGATGCACACAAACATATTGTGCAGGCAAACTAGTTAATCAGTACTCACACAGACACTGATGGCTTATGTGCTTATACTCATAAACTAGTCCAAAAACTTTAATTCAATCTGCTGAAGACAGAGAGGAGGTTTTATCCTGTTGCAGATCAGCTAGATTTGCATCCTTGCAGCTGGTAACATGATGGTTGTCCTGTCTCATCCTGGAAAAGCTTGAAAAATGTTAATGCATGAATTCTACAGGGATTTTGCAACATTTGGACTGAGTGGAGTTACATGATTGTGGAATACCAGTTATAGTTGACAGTCTGCCAGTGGAAAAGATGTGTCATAATAAGGTTGTGGACAAAGTAAGAGCATAGAGTCTGAAAATGAAATGCTGTTGCTGGAGAAGCCTTTGTCGACTTTTGGCTCAGTTTTCCATGTCAGTTACTCATTTCAAAAGCATCAATTTACGTTTCAGCAGAGCATTTTATGGCCACGTATTTTTAACTCTTTAAAGACAGACCAGGTAATTTTTAGCAATGTCTGGATGAATCAGAAAATTTAGCAACAGGTTTCAGATGTCCGCTTTGTTTTTAAGTTGCTCCACCCATTAGAAAGTCCACTAAATTCACAACAGCTTTAAAGACTGTGATGCAATTGTAAAACCAGAAGTGTAAGACTTTCTTCTTAGGTTATGTGCATAACATGGTTTTCAAATCTTACATTGTTTGGAGCTGCAGTAACTTGTACTCAATGTAAAAGACATATGACGCACACATACGTCCCAAATCCCAGTGAGGTTTAATTTAATCGAGTTGCAGTTAAACTCCCATCTCTACATCCCATTAGCTTCCTCCGTCTTTCCATACAAACTTCTACAGGCCCGCTTCTGAATCATGATCATGGTTTTTGAATCTGTTCCCTCAGAGCTAAAGAATCTAAATCAAGCACTAAGTTTCTCCACCCTGTGCTGATTTGTGTTTAAGGACCAAGGGGGCAGTTCTCCATGTTGTCATGACATAATCCTGAAAATTGCTCGCTTACTTTATGATTAAACACATGTGGTTCTGTTGGGCTGCCATGTGTAGAAAATGAGTCATGGGAGAAGAAGTAACTGTATTAAATTAGGTGTAATGTTCCTTTGTGTTTCTGCAGAAGGGCTTCACTCCTTTGCACGTCGCAGCAAAATATGGGAAAATCGAGGTGGCCAACCTGCTGCTGCAGAAGAACGCTCAGCCTGATGCTGCTGGAAAGGTAATGCATGTTTGTGCATCTGAGAGAGACTTATATTGATGTCGCACACATCAGTACCGCCTCAGCTGTCATCGTGGGTGTAGCTTTCACAATACTTTCCACGTCACCTCTGCTCCAGCTGCTCTCCACGACATGTACGATAAATCACCGTCTAACAATTGTTGTGTATGTGTGTTCAGAGTGGACTAACTCCACTGCATGTAGCAGCACACTATGATAACCAGAAGGTGGCGCTGCTCTTGCTCAACCAGGGAGCCTCACCGCACGCTGCTGCAAAGGTAAGAGTCAATTAAACTGTCAGTGGAGGTCAAATTGAATGTCCCTACAATGCACTAAAACCCCTCACTTTGGCTCAGGATGAGAGCACACTGACCTAGATTCATTCGGCCAATTACATGCAATTACACTGTGCTCCACATGCTGATTAGATTGCCCTTCCACGCTATCATCATATATTTTGGTAGAGCTCCTGCTGAAGTCAACAAGAGTCCAATATTTTCTGGTAGAACACTGAAGGGATGCATTTTTTTAATCCTTTAAGGCAAATATCTTCAGGTTCGGGACATAAATGAAGCTTAAAAATATTGCTCTTCACCACTAGGTAGATATTTAGAACCATATCGCATCTCCAACTTGGCTTCTGCCAACCGTGCTGGCCTGGAGAACCTCTCCACTGGGAATTGTATTGGTTGCAGACAAAAGTTACAAATAAGTTTCTTTACAAATGAAGCAAATCCTCTAAAACTACCGAATATCCATCACTCATGCCCAGTTTCCTTGCTGCATAAGAACAAGGATCAATACAAGTGGTTCCTTTTTCCTCTGGTATATATACATGCTACTTTCTCTTCAGTTTGGAAGAGGGAAATAAATAAGATTCTCAGTCTCCTTTTTTGTCTCCCCCCTGTCATCTTTTTTCTTGTACAGTTAGCATTGTAATTATTACAATTACCAGCCAGCATCATGAAGGGTCAAGAGTGCTACATTAATTCTGTGGAACATTGAACCAGGGTTAGGGTTACAGAGTTTTTGTCTTCTGCAAAGACAAAATGTGACTTATCTCAATTATAAAAGAAAAACGGTAAATTTTCCCGTTCTCTGCTTTCCAGAATGGTTACACTCCACTACATATTGCAGCTAAGAAGAATCAGATGGAGATAACGACCACCTTACTGGAATACAGCGCCTCTACCAACTCTGTAACGCGGCAGGGCATCACTCCCCTGCACCTTGCAGCGCAGGAAGGAAACGTGGACATTGTGACGCTGCTGCTGGCTCGGGACGCTCCTATTCACATGGGCAATAAGGTGTTTTCCCTTTATTAGTGTGTAGATCTCTGGCTGACATGCAATGACAGAAGATTAATGTTTGCAGTGTATTTGTGTCTGTGTACCATCGACACGTATCAAACAGGCAGGGCCTTGATTTTACTTACACAAATAATATTTGTTTATCCAGAACTCTGTTATTTTGATGGTTATTTCTTTTGTCATTTTTCTGTCATTTGTGCTTCATTACCGTGATGTGCAAACCTGTCATTGTGTCTTAAACGGCTTCATTTCAAGCTGTCTCAGTCAAACTACTGTGTTCAGCACTCTTCTGTCATTTGTGTATTTGACTGTATTTCTCTATTTCTTTGTTTCTGTACCTTCAGTCTGGTTTGACTCCACTTCACCTGGCTGCCCAGGAGGATAAAGTCAATGTTGCTGAGGTCTTGTGCAATCAAGGAGCCTTCATAGATCCAGAGACCAAGGTAATGATAGCCTCCTCATGTCTTTGGATTAAAGTTATTAAGGCATTTGCAAAGTGGATTTGCGTATCTTGCCACTTCACCGCTGTAAATTAAGTATCATTTGGGGTTTGGGCTTTGGTCTGTGCCAGTGCTCTCACTTTTTGTATTTTTGACAAGGCAGGTTCCCACAAAAGTGACACATTTCTAGTTTTAATAGGATAATTGAATAATTAAACACATGCCTTGTAATTTTTAAAAAAGACATGATTTTAAAATGCCATCAAGAAGCGCAAAAAGTCCTGCCAGAACTTATTTAGACATTAACAGCTGCTGAATCATGTCCAGCCTTTGAGTCTTTTACAGAACTCACACAAAAATAAACGATATCGTTCTTTTATAGCTGCCCTTAAAGGCGCATAAGCACTGTGGGATTTCAGCAGTCTTTAAAGTTAATTGCAGTCCACCCTGTCTAATATTGTTGTTTTATAAATATAAGATTGGTAATTGCGGGCTATGCTGATCACAGCTGGAATACCTCTGCTATGTGTTTCCATGTCATGACCTCCTTGGCTCGGAAATGGCAACAGCTGGAGGACGCATCATACAAACAAAGCTTCTGCTGCTGCAAATTAACTAAATTTCCTTCTTTGTAGGAATTCAGACATTGAATTTTGCCTATTTTTCCTCTCTCCCTTCCATTTGCCTTTATTTTGGAAATATAGCTTTTACTTTGTGAGACAGTCAACTTGAATTTCAGATCTTATGAAACAGTGTTAGAGTGTCAACTTCAAACTGCACGGCAGAACAACTGTTTTGGTTTGCATTGGACATGTTTCACGTGCAGCTGCTTAAATGTTCACAGTTTACACTCAGCTTAATTTTCAGACAAAATAAATGAGCTCTTGTCTCAAAATGTGGGTGCTGAAGCAGTCTGAACATTAAGTTGTCACAGGGCAAAAATCCTCATAGGCCATACAGAAATCAGTTATCCTCACCAGTTTCTCATGTGGTCTTATTGTTTTATAAAGGGACTTGGGAAGACTGTTAATTCACATAGGCCACAATCAGCCTACAGCTCATCTGCTGCTACCTCTGCAAGCCTCTTTCCAACCCACCTCTACCCCAAGTTTTCCATCTTATGTCATATGTGGTATTTTTGATTTGAGTGTCGTATCTGTTGTCATTTAGGGGGGTCTTGCACCTGCTCTCCCTGCCTTTTGGCTTCAGTGTATGAATACATGCCTTATTGTAGCCACAGTGGTGCTAACAGAAGTTACATTTCTTTTTCATCAGCTTGGATACACTCCACTTCATGTGGCCTGTCACTATGGCAACGTGAAGATGGTTAACTTTCTGCTGAAAAATCAGGCGAAGGTCAACGCCAAGACAAAGGTAACTGTTATTTTTGTGTATATTCACCATACGTCACTGATTTTCTGTCTCTGTGAACATCTTCTAATGCTCTCTCTCATCCCTCCCCCGCAGAACGGCTACACACCTCTCCATCAGGCTGCACAGCAGGGACACACACACATCATCAACTTGCTGTTACACCATGGAGCATCGCCCAATGAACTCACTAATGTCAGTACGCTCAGAAATCTGAAATATTTATTCATTTATTTTTAGTTTCAACACCAATTCTCATCATTTTTATTACTTGTCCAGAATGGAAACAGCGCTCTGTCCATTGCAAGGAGGCTCGGCTATATCTCTGTTGTGGACACGCTCAAGGTGGTCACAGAGGAGACTCTGACCACTCAGGTGTGTATGTGTTTAAAAGAGTGTTCAAATGTGATGTATGGTTTAATATGGCTTCTCAATGGTTTACTTGTATCTAACTGTATAGATACAGTTATACTTAAACTTAGTAGTAGTTATACTTAAATCTGAATCCTAGAGGCAGTTCCTGCCGCTTAGCAGCTATCTTGAAATGCCTCGGGCATTAACAGTGAAGTAACAGGCAGTTACTTCACAAAAACAGAAGCATTGAAGGCACTGGCCTAAGATAGTGTTTAAAAAACTTAATTCTATGGAGCTTGGAAAGAAAAGCGTCTGGACTTCTTTAAGTTCTATAAGAACTTAAAGAAGCTCTTTAAGAAGTCCAGACGCTTTTCTTTCCAAGCTCCATAGACTACGATGACCTGGATGACTGAGAGCCTTCACAGACATAAAAAAATATATCTATATAAAAGCTACTGTCAAAGGCTTTCTAGAACATTTTGAATTATTATTTGCGCACATAAGTTTGTATTGCTACATTAAAAAAATAACATGAAAGAAAAGACCTACATAAACATAGAAATGCAAAGTTACTGGAACATTGTCACAGTAAACAGTGCAGGAATAGAGATGCTGTTGTACTGGGATAGAAATCTGGATTACGTGTACTTTGGTAAAGTTACTGTCATGATATTAAGAGCGTGTTTCTGTTCAACAGACTGTAATCGAGAAGCACAAAATGAATGTCCCCGAGACCATGAACGAGGTGCTGGACATGTCCGATGATGAAGGTAAAGTTTTGCTTAACAGCATTTTTAAAGTAATTCTATTGATGTATAAATATCAAGGCAAGACTTGTCTTTGCAACCTGAAGAGAGACAAATTCTTTAAAATATCAGCTTGGGTCACATTTGCTTTTGTGGCTGGAATAAGTGAATATTTCAGCACTGTACTGTCATTGTTAGATTTCCCTCTATTTTTTTTTATTGTCAATGAAAGATTTTGTGTTGCTTCTACTTCTTCTGAGTAATTCAGAAGAAAAAACCTGCTGTTGTTCTTCAACCAGTATGTTTATTTGTTTATTTTTTATTTGCTAATTGAAAGGTTTGTTTCCGCCACTGTAACCCCCCAAAGCAACACATATTTTTTCCATTACTAAGTCAAAATTTCAGGTTACTATCTAAAATCTATGAGTTTCATATCTCAAATATAACTCTAACTTCTAAATTTGAGTCCAAATTGTGACTTGACATACAATCGTGTGCATGATTGGAAACTTTATTTTGATATTTTCAATGTAACAAATGGAACTAAAACATTTAATAATAATAATCACGTTTATTTTCAGTTCTTCCTTTTCCTATGATTTTGATGTGAATATGATTTCTCCATCTATTTTTGGTTCTTTTTTTGTCTTTCCTTCATTCAAACACACAGTGTATAAAGCCAATATCCCCGAAATGATCACAGAGGACTATTTTTCTGATGTGGAAGAAGGTATTTTATTTTTTTAATCTTTCTACATTTTTTGTTCTTTAAAGCATTTCCTTTTACAACCCTTCTCTAACGCGTCATTCATTTGTTCTAACTATTTCCAGTCTCTTGCTTTTCTTGTGTCACAGTGGAATCACGATTCATTCAAAATAAATAATAACTCACATGTAAAACAGCCTATATTATGCTACAGATTAATAATGCTAATTGAGGAAAAATGTTTCGATACTGCAGATCTTTTTTTCACCAAAGCACCTTTATTTGTCTGTCAAAATGCACAAAGGTGTCTTTGTCATTTATGTCTGCTTGCAAAAGACTAATAAATGTCTAAAAGTTGCAATATGATGGGATGCACTTGAAATCAAATTAACCTTGAAGGAGATAGAGGTGGATACTAGCAATAGAATTGGCAAAAAAAGTGCCACAAAACACTCATCTATGCTTACATGTTTAACATGTTTTGTCTCGTAATGTCAGTTTCAGGCTACTATATTTCGTTAAGGTTAAGCAGGTAACAAGACAGAATTTTTTTTTTAAATAATCATCAATTAGTTGTATTAATGTGCCATGTTTTTACCTCCTCCAGATTGATTTTTGGAGTATTTCATATATCTGGTTGCTAGCAAAAAGCTCCGATGTCAACCATATTAGAAAAAAATTATGTTTGTTTTATTGTGAATATAGTGAAGTCACAGCACTGTGGATGTCTTAAACTTATGATGTGATGAGGGTGATTTATTGACGTGACACTAGAAGCAGTGTTTTCAATTACTGAGAATCACTAACTTTGGCATGGCTTTAAAATGGCACTACTCTCTTCTTCATTGTTTTCCCAAGTATTTTTCCAAAACTTTTGTTCTTCATTCATGCATGTGTGAGACACCATGCTGTACTTGAGTACTTTCCCCTGCTGCCTTCCCCCTTCCACACGCACACACTGCATTTTTGTGAAACCTCCTGTACTTTTGTGCAACCAAATGCAGGGGATATGCCTTTCTGCCGGTTGCCATGCCAACTGTCTGGATATGGAGCGTCGGGAAGTGTGTAACAGATTTCTTTTCACACCGCGGAGTAGAATACACATACACTTGATCCTTTGTCTTCGTGGGCTTGTCAGTGATGCTTTCATTGTAGTTTCACACGTTCAGGCCAAAGCAAACACACTGAAGCAGCTGCTGCAGTGTGTGTGTGTGTTTACTCTTTTCTACTCTTTTTTTAGACTCCTGTATGGCTCAAAAGGATCTGAACTTGAGCTCTTGACCACCAGTGCCCAATGACAAACAGACAGGGAATTAATGATCAGTAGATTTCTTTTTTTTTTTTTAGGGGGGGAGCTTGGCTCGTCCTCCCCCCTGTGGTGTTTTCCCAATGATAGGCTTTCATTTTTAGCTTGTCACACGCTTCATGGTTTCTGTAGTTTACAGTGGATAAATATGAGCAACTTGCAGAAATGTAATCTACTTTTAACAGTTCACTTTCCTGCAGTAGTGTGAATATATCACAAAATTACTAGAAAACCTCTGCTGATGTCAAATACAGTGTACTTAATGAAATGTAAATACAGTATAGCTCTATGTCTCGATATTCTGGTGACCTCACAGTGAGTTTTACTGGTCCAAGTTTGCATTAGAAATTTGAATTTTTTGAGGGAAAATAGGATAAAAAAAAAGAGATGAGATGGCAACTGATAAAAACGAAGGCTGGAGTAATGTGATCATACACAAATCTCGCCTCCGCCTTCTAGCTTTTTGAAATAGGATGTGACAAGTAAAGTGTGGCTCTGACTTGAGATTGACAAGTCATTACCCAGTGAGCATACCCTAGTTAATCCTCCTCTTAATAATGACCATAATTTACATAATGAACTACATCTTTCATTTACTTTGTCCCAAAAACTAGCAAATTAGTTTATTACATAATACCGAGGTCCAAAGTAAGGGAGCTAAGGGCAATTTTCCTGTTTAGTTTTTGCAGACACGTGCCTGCTAACCATGTGATACTAAATTTTCTGCCATTTTTGATGTGTAATACTCCTGGTGACAGTGTAAGTTAGTGTGAGACCAGTCTGAAACCACTGGTTGTGAGAGGAAAAAATGTGCATTTCCTGAACGGATGCCAAAAACCTTGTTGGGATTGCTTTGGTTGCTTGCAGATTGCCAAGGTTGTCCATAGATTATTTGGAGGACACCAACTTCTCTGCAGACACTCAGCTACTCTTCAGATGGTAGTGAAACTCCACAAGCAAAAAACGGAGACCGTCAAGTTTTACTACAAAGTGTATGCAGACGAGTTGGCATCTTCCGTGCAAACTACAGACGACTTTGGCAATATACTAGAAATGAAAGCAATTGCAAGAACATTGTCATTGCGCCAGTCTTTGAGACTGATTTCACCTAGCTACAACCAGGAACCCCAGGAACCCCTTGCCAACCAGTCTGGAAATGCACATGTTTTTAGGACGGACAAGTTTTGAGAAAGGTGCACATGATGTTACACAGCAAACCTCTGCAGACTTGTATAACCAAAAGTGTTTTTTTCAAGGAAAAGAGTCATCCCCCTACTGGTCATGAAATAGTTTCCTCTTTTGAGAGCTGGAAGCTAGGTCCATCTTTTACACTGTGTGTTTCCAAATGTAGACAGAAATGGTCAAATGTGATTCTGCTTGTGTTTAAACAGAAATGGATGTTGGAAATATCTGCATCAGCTATTCCTGTAAGTCAAACGAAAGTGATCTTGTTGTAACTAACTCTAATACCCAGCGTGAACTGGCACAGCTGAACTGATGCAACTAAACACTGTGTGTGATTTTGTTGGTATTAAAAAAAAAAAAAAAGATTTCATACATATGTGCATGACTTGCCTTCACGCTGACTTTGTGCAGTGCTTGTTTTGATTGTAGAGCTTCAGCAGTGTGTCCGTGTTTAATTTTTGATCTAAAAATATAACGAGGGCAACTCAACGCGCACAAATATACACTCTCAAGCTCGCATACCAGTGGAGGAATGGTGTTTAACATCTCCAGTAACACACTCAATCCATGATCTAAATCAGGAGACCCCTGTGCAATTTGTAAACTTTGCCTTCGTGAGAGATTTTCCAGACCAGTAAAGTCAGTTAAAGTTGGTTAAAGGATTTAAAGGGTAAAACATACACACGGCATGTCGGTATTCAGTTTATGACCAATAACCAATGTAGTGACTGATTTTAATGTCTTTTTTCCATCTTTGGCCCTTTATTCCTGTCTGAAGTTTTGCCGATTCACATTGTAAATATAGCTAAATATAGCAACCTGTCATTTAAGGAGGACAACCTGTTCATTTATGTAATAGAACTGATTAATAGGCTGCAAATAAGAACCTTCTTTCAGACATGGGCTGCCCAACAATGCTGGTGTTATCACTGTATTCAGGGGATGGCATTCTGTCATTGTGATGAGTCACTTGCATTATTGATCTCCTCCCAGTTTCACTCAAATGTTCCCAGAACAGTAACAGAAAGAGTCAGTGTTTCCGAGTTTTTAGGTACTAAAACTCATGAGATCAGAGTTTCCTTTACAGCTGTTTTCTTTATAGTACCTTTGAGAATTTGAGAAGGCTATAACAAGTAATTATGGGAAGCCATCCAAGCAGTCTTTAGTAAACTTTAGAAAAAAAAGAATCAAACTTTTACCAAACTGCAGGTTATAAATCGCCCCTGAAGTGAGCTACAAGTGTGTGTGCAGCTCTCATGCTTTGGTGAAGCTTGCAAACAGACTGTGGCTTTCTAGTACTTCTATATATGTAATAAGTATGTAATAAACTCAAAAGAAAACTTACATAAACAGCTGGAACCAACAAACAAGAAGTAGCTTTTCAGCTGTTTTTAAATATACTTGTTTTGTTTTTAAAATTGGGTAGTCTTGTTAGGTGGTTACCATAAAGTTGTTATCAACTTTTCAATATGGGTGAAAGCCACTATGTGAAAGGTGTTTTTGTGGTTTTGGAAAGTTCTGTGTTCACTAACCCTCGATATTTAATTATCTGGGGGCTTCAAGTTTTTAATACAGCCTTAGATAGAAAGTGTTTGGACATGTGGCACATAAATGGTCAGCATGAACAGATTTGCTTCTTGGCTTTAAAATGCATTACAGAAACTTGATGCTTTTCTTAATAGCCAAGGGCCCTAAAGTTTGAAAACAGTCTCTAGTGATTTTCCAAAGTCAGATTCTGTTTACTGCCTAAATGTTACCTCAAATGAACCCTTCCACATCTATTACGGGCAGAAAATGCAAATTTGAAATTGAATTAATTTGGAGGTTCAAGAATCAGGCGTTGGTGTATCAGTGGGCCGGTGTTATTGGCCAGCATTAGCTATTTAACAGTCTTTCTGTACCAACATTTAAACTAGCTGATAAATGAACATTTAAAAAGTAAAGACTGGAGAAACACCCTTCAATTAATTTACATATAACAGAGCAATACCTGTTTATGTTTTGTAGCTGAATAAAAAAAGGGCTGATATATCAGAATACTGGCTTTTACAAAATGATATGATAAAATCTGTGTCAGTATTGATCTTAAAAATCCATCAGGCTCTAGCCAGAACATTGACTGTCAGCCTTGTGGATAATATAACACTTACAAAAAAAGACAGGAAGGTTGGAGGTAAAATAAAAAAGATAATGTTTTTAAAACAGTACACTGTCCTTTTGAAAATTAACAGTGCAGTCCATAGAAGTGCAAACAGGCATGTCAGCAGAATACTTTGAAAAATAATGGGATAATGTAGAAAGAAAACATGTTCATGAAAATAACATGTTGAATTGCAACTACTGCAGATACACTGAGTATTGGTTTTGTTGACTAGAATCTAAAAAAGTGTGTATACAAGTGAAGAATTTGCATTATCCACATTATCCATGACAATGTACAACATCGGTTTGTTGCACAGATAAATACATGCCTGTATTTCCCTCGTGTCTCTCGATGCTTCGGTGTCAGTGCCAACCGGTATAATCTGCATTGCTTCATCCTTTGTTTTCATGTGGGTTGTGGCAGAAGTCACATTGTTAGAATCTTAAGCTAAATTTGGCGAAGGTTGCTTTTAGTCACCAAAGCTCACTCTGCCCATACTGCAGTCTAGAACCTCTGCATTATTATCAGCACATTTTGCTGGACTTGGAATGGCTTTTCAATTTTCTACCAAGCTGCAAGTTCCAGTTCTTTATTAGATATTTGCATAATATCTGATTCAGGAAAGACGTGGCAAAGTTACAACTTTCTGACATGCAAAGCAGCTGAATGAGTGAGGTCATTTGTGACTGACACCAAAGAATTTACATGGAGAAGCAAGAGAGATAAAAAAAAAAGGGGGGGGGGCAGACAGAGTCAGCCGTGCTTTGGAAATTAAAGAGACATACAATATGATATGTAAACAAACCAGTGCACGAATAGAAATCACAAGATTGAGAACTGGAAGTTAAGGAAAACAGAGTTTGTGCATTCCACTCTATGTGTACATCCAGTTTCAGTGTTAGTCTAAGTCACACACCCACTTACTATTTCTGTCTTGCAGTGAGCTCTAGGTGTCTGTTCGGAAACACACACACACACACTCACACACACACACTGGATAATCCTGGAGTGGGTAGGCGGGAGAAAGCCGATCTGTTTGTGTGAGTGCCGGGCTGTGAAAGAAAGATAGACAGTGTGTGCAGGAGAGAGCGACAGAGAGCTAAAGGGAGGTTACAAGTCGAGGAAAAGTTAGTTCAGGGCAAAATCCTCCAAACTGGACTTGTGGCTGAATGAAGTGCTTTAAAGCAGGAGGTGAGTTTGTGGCTAAATGAGAAGGGGGTTTCTGCTCATGTTGAAGCTAAAATGAGAAGGGTTCCCGGAGAATGGGTTGGAATGTGGCCAGATGGGGTCTGTAAAATGTTTGTGAATATGTGTGTGTGCAAGAAAGAGAGAGAAAGTTTAGGGGGAGGGGTGGTGTACCAGCAGGGGGTGAGGGGACACGAGAAGGAGAGGGGGGGTCTCTGTTGCTTTGTGGTTGTTGGAATGCCTTCCTTTTCTTTCCCCTCATTTTTCCGCCTGCATGCACTTGCTCTCCTCCCCTCGCTTTTTTAACTCTGCAGTCACAGGTTCATCAGTAGGATAGGAACTACTGTACCTCTGAGGGGAATAGCATGCTCCTACCTGTTTTCTTGCGACACCTGTAACGTATGTTTCTAACCACTTCTTTGCAACATACTTGCAATGATGTCCTGGGGCTCGGCTGTAGAGAAAGCATTTTCTTCTTGTGGTCAGTTAAACCTGCTGAAAACTTACCTTTATTTTGATATAAAAGTTAGTTTTGTAGGCCCTGATAGTGGAATTATTTGCTGTTTCCAAGCTTCACTTGTTACTGTTAACCATTTTTTTGTCACCAGGAGACAGAGACAAAAAGCTTTCAGTGACAGCAGGACTTTTGTTTGTGTTTGTTGAACCAAAACTGGACTGGAAAACAGCCTGTAGGCAGAAGCTGCATTGATCTGTCTAAAAGAGCCAGTGTGTGTGTGTGTGTGTGTATGTGTGTACATTTGTGTTTTGGTCTGCATGAATGATAAAAAACAGGGCCAACTGACTGGGCAGCACAGATTTGTGTTAAAGATCTAACTTGCTAAAAGAAACCCAGAAAGCAGTTATTGATTGAAGAGACTGTGACCTTAAAGTTTTGGCATTACCTTCTGCAGACGAGAGTAAAAATGTATGCAGAACCTTTTTTGTAAAGTTAACGCTCTCTGTGTTTTAAACCACCAGGTGACGATGCGATGACGGGGGACACGGACAAATATATGGCCCCCCAGGATCTGCGGGAACTGGGCGACGACTCACTCCCTCAGGACGGCTACATGGGCTTCAGCATTGGGGCACGATCTCAGAGGTAACATGCTATAACATGCAGCAATTTGCGTTTGTGCTGTGTCTGTTCCTAGCTTTTGTATGTTTTCTACATGTAGCATTGTAACATCAGTTGTTATGACATACATAACATTGCAGCTGCCGACTGTGAGAAATGTGGAGGTTTACAAAAATATAAAATTTCCATGGCTAAAAAAAATTACCACGGTTGTAGTTTTGTTTCAGCATTTTCCCAGAAGCAGTATTTATAGATCCACGACTCTTATAGATCCAGGCATAGCTTCTGGGTTTAAAATGTGAAGACAACTATCTTAAACGTGCAATCTTGCTGAAGGCCAGCAAGGTGCAACTCTTCTGTTTGTAAAAAGATTAAGAAACTGACCTTAATTCTGACTTAAATTATGACCTCACTAAACCTTTTCATGATGATTTTATGGTCTCCTCTGGAAGTTTAGGTCTATTAACTTGGTGATGGTGGCATTTAGAATAAAATAGATGATAAAGGGTGTAGCTATGTTGCGATTTATTTAGACAAGTCACTGTGTCAGGCAGAATCACCTTTGTCTCTTTATACAGCCTAATATCTGACATGGGAACAGACAAATAGTAGAGTATTTGCAAAAGAATGAAGGTTTAAAGACTAGTTAAAGGTGAAAAAATCTTGTGAAGAAAGCGATTACCAACCTAACCGACTTAGCCCCTTGATTAGCCCTTTATTGATTTAAACAGAGCTTCCTTGCAAGCAGTCAGGTGGCTGCAAGCTATCACTACGTCACCAATCTTCTCATACCACATATTTTACAAAGATCTGCAGATAACGTGTGCTGTGGAACTTTTTCAGCAAAGACCTAAAAGAAAAAACATGGGCGTAGCATAGGTCAAATGGTTTTAAAATAAAACCTCTAAAGTACAAAACAAGAAACTGCTCTTTCACACGAGTTTATGGATTTTTATGGAAAAATAGTTGGGCAGATGCTTGTCTTCATTTGTGGTCATCTATTCTTTTGTAGTGCATTTTATCTTTATTTAATGGGTCTTTTTCAGACACAGTTACTGCTTGACTAGATACTGCAGTGTTAATCAGAACAGAGTTCATGAACTACTTTTAACAGCACAAGAAATCTTGTGATACCTCATGATCTAAAAATACAGTTTGCACACAGAAAATGGATAAACTCACAGAGCTGCAGGTTTTTAAGTTGAAATGATCTTGTTTGTATGTCAGAAGATTTTAAATAACAATGTAGCTTTCCATTATTCTGATCCCTACATGTCACACACACAAACACACCCAGAGGTTACAGTTTGCACCCTGCAACTGCTGAACTTTATGCTTGTATGAAAATATTGACACTTGTGCAACTGGCTGAAGAGGGAGGGGTTATTGAATATCTAAAGCGTGACACACATGCACGCTGAGCCACAGGAAATTAGAAGCACGTTCGATTGCATGGCCTTGAGTGCTGGGTTAGATCAACACACACTGTTTGAGGGGTGATGTCTGTGCGTGCGTGTGTGTGTGTGTTTGACCAATCTAGCTTAGAGATAGTTTAACAAACTGGTTTCTCATGCAGTAATTGGTTCAAATAACTTCCAGTGCAGTCCATCTAGAAGATAATAAATTTTAATAAAAATGTTATAAAAATAAAAAAGTTTTAGAAAGTGCCTTCCAGGTTTTCCTCATAATATTAACAGCAGAACATGAGTATCCTGCATAATTTATGATACTAGAGGTTGATGTAATACAAATTCTGATCCCCAATTTCAACTTAGCAATCTTTTTTTGTTAGAAAGAATAGAATAAAATAGCCTTCTATTGTCATTTTACATGTACAATGAAAATAGTGGAAGTTTGTTGTAAGAATAGATCAGATTTAAAGTCTTATTCAATGTGATGAGATGGAGAATTATCATCTGTGTGCAGTTCATCTCAGCTCTAGAATGTTTGGAGTTTTACAAACATCTGATTTGGTTCCATGGCCTGAAACACGGGCTATTTGGTTTCAGTCTTTTTGTTCTCCCCCTTTTTTTATAGCTACAACAGATAAAACTCAAATAAAACTAAGTGCTTCATACCCGCAGAGCAACAAAAAGCAGGCAAACCATAGCTAACTGATGAGAATGGTGGCGCATTTAGCAGCTATCGAGGCACATGTTTCTCCTCAGAGATTAAGGGTCATTCAGATCTCAGAGCTGGAATACTCTAACACCTCCCTATTTGCAACTCCTCCCTCATGCACAAAGTTTCAGGCAGCTGGTTAGGCAGTCAGCCATTTGTCATCATTGTACCAACCTGCATCTGTGCTCTGGCTTCTCGTCTTTCTGTCCACTCCTCTGTTTGTTCATGATGTTTTATTCTCTCCTCATGTCCGTTGTTAACGTTAGTCCGAAAGTCAGGTAAGACTCAAGGCATGACGAGGCCTCGCTATACCTCCCCCATCTCACCCCTTCCCCACTCCCTTAAACCCCAGTTGCTATCAGTATCATGACTCTGTGGTTCAGTGTAATGCATATTGACCATATTTGTTTAACACATTTGACTACTAACGCAATGATCTTGACCAGTTTTGTTAACTCTGTGGCACTGTGTGTTTGCTGTGGTTCACCTGTGTGATCTCTGTCTGATTTCTTACTTTCAGTTGAAAAGCGCTCAGCTGGCTATAGAGAATAGTGGTGTTTATTTTTCTGTTTGACTGTATCTTGGTCTTTGTGGGTTTTCCACAAAGGTGGAGCTTTGCATAATTTTGATTTCTCCATCAAGCTTCCAGGGACCTGAACTGATATCTGTAGGCAATGAGGATGCTATTGCCTTCATCAGTTTAGGCTCAAATAGTTTATCCCTGAATACTTTCAGAGAATATATACTGAACACTCAGTAATAAAGATATCAAATGTGATTTCATGTGGATAAGTAGTTCCAAAATCAAATCGCAATGTGAAATTGCAATGTTATTGTGGAAGAAACAAATCCATGCCAAGTGACATTTTTGTCATCTCATAACATTGCAAGCATAGTCTGTAAAAGAAAAATCCTTTTGTTGTATCGAGGTCTGTCTAAAGCCAGCATTCACGTCCATTTTTCCGACCTCAGTAAACACTTTCCTGCTGATTTTATGGGCTCAGCTGCAAGTTTCAAGCCTGCTGCATAACATATAAAATTATTATCATAGCACTATGACCATTATCAGAATGAGAGAAGGAGGATTATCTATCATCTAAAGATATATTAACACGCTGTTAATCAATTCTGTGTCATAGTTAGATCTCCCCTTAAATCCCCTTTGCCCCTGGCTTATCAGGTCCAATTTTAAACCATCAACCTGGCGAAGGTGAAAAAAATGATTCTTGCAGATCTCTGGGACTTCACCTCTGTGGTTGATGTCACAGAGACACAGCTGAAAAAGCTGGAAAAACAAACAAACCAAAATAAATAAATCCCTGCAAACAGGTTGAGTAGCACTTTATTACTATAGTAACTATAGTTGTTATAGTTATTTTCCCTGATTTCCAAAGCTGTGACAGCATAAATTTGGTCAGTTGCAGTGATAGTCCCAGAGCAACATTAATGAGAAATTGCTAGAAGTAGAATTACTTGTAAAAGTATTCAAATTTTAAGTTGGAGCTGTACAAATGAATTTAATGTTATTTAGATTGTTGTTTGGACAGGACAAGTGAACCTCTTTCAGTACTGAATAGCTTCACAACACAAGACTGACTTTAACTACGGGCTGTAACAGAAGTCAGATATCGTCCAGTCTTTTTTTAAATCATATCTTTGGCTTTTTATAGAAAATCAAGACTGCTAATTATGCCCTCATTAAGATCATTAAACATTTTTGTTCTGCAGTTTCCTTTAGTTTAACTAGTACACAGTTTCATGCAATATACATTTATCTCTGCGATCGTGGCTCAAGAGTTGGCAGTTCGTCTTGTAGCCGGAAGGTTGCCGGTTCGAGCCCCGGCTCGGACGTTGTGTCCTTGGGCAAGACATTTCACCTACCACCTACTGGTGATGGCCAGAGGGGTCGATGGCGCAATATGGCAGCCTCGCTTCTGTCAGTCTGCCTCAGGGCAGCTGTGGCTACAACTGTAGCTTGCCTCCACCAGTGTGTGAATGTGAGAGTGAATGAATAGTGGAATTGTAAAGCGCTATATAAATGCAATCCATTATTAACATCCCCCCGAAATTATTCCACCAATTTGAAATAAAACTTTTTTTTTCTTCTTCAGGAATAATATATGTTGAGGACATAACTTTTGAGTCCTGGAGACACTAATCAATTGAATGGAATGAATGGAAAAAGGACTCCCAGCTATAAATGTAAAATCTTTGGATAATTGTATGAAAAAATAAATCTGTTGCAGCCACATCTGCTCTTGGTTTCCACAGCCTTGTGATTTTAGCACTTAGAGTTGTGCTGTAGAGCACTTCCTGCCATTGATAGTTAATTGGTTCACAATAGTTTACTTGCATAAAGCTAATGGCACTGATGTAATTGCTGTTGGGATGTTGCAGGCAAACATTCGTCATGTCATCGCTCAGGAATGCTTTTTATTTGCCTCATAAAAGTTTCAAAGCTCCCATCACAAACAACATTACAGCCTGCACAAGCTGACAGATGTATACAAAGACATGAGGAGTCAAAATAGTGCCAGCTGATTATCAACAAAGTTGTCATTATTATGGGTAAATACCAGTACTGTACACTGATCGCCCCAGAAGTACAATCTCATCTGCATCTGAAATTTTTTATTTCGATTTTTAATCACTTCAGCGAAATTACACATCAGTCATTTCTCTCAGCTTTTAATCTGTTTTCTTGTGGTTGTTGTTGTCTCTGGTGCCATACAGTCAGGTTCCTGGAAGCTGCATGCATTTAATGTGTTTGTGTTTGTTTTTTTTGTTTTGTTTTTTCTGTTCACTTTCATACCCCTTTACCCTCTGCCCCCCCCCCTCCCCCCTACCACCACCACCTCCTCCTCCTCCTCTTCCTCACCTCCCCTTTCCATCACTGTGACTGTTGTCTTGGTAATCTACTACGACAACCACACCAAGCCTTCGTTCCTTCAGTTCTGATAGGTCCAACATGCTGAACCGGAGCTCGTTTACACGGGACAGCATGATGATAGAGGAGATACTGGCGCCGAGTAAGGAGATGGTACGTACACTGACTGGACCTTCGGGTCTTAAAAGTGGACTTATTGTGCTTTTTCTTATTTCCTGTCACATGAATCATGTTACAATGTTTAATCTCTAACATAACCAGGGCCAACGTGTCAAATAATGAGGTCAGTGTATTTACAAATAATCCAGACTGCTCTAAACTCTGTTTCACAAAGTCCCTAATATGGACATCACACATAAAAGTCACATCCAGCTGCTGTTCAAATCTTCTGTTTGCAAGGAGCAGCCAATCACAATAAAGTTGGCTTAAAGGAGGGGTGATGGGCTCTGAATCAGCTAGTTTCAGATTTTGGATGAAGTGAGAGGCTGCTCATATAATAAGGATTATTATGAATTGCAAATCATGCAAAGCTACTCTAGTGGGAGCAAAAAATCAGTTTGAAGCTGCTCGTGCTATGCTTCATACCTCTTGCTGGCTGCTCCCTTAGTTTAATTCTCTCAGCCGGTAATCCGCTGGTCATTAACTTTACAAGTGACACACTTCTGTCTCCAAATGTACCAAGGTGTCTTGGTGCTGTGCCAGAGGCTATGCAATACACCAATCCTCTTACACTTGTGTTGCCACTGACATAAAGACGATCAATCAAGTTACAATTTACTGAAAGAGGAAATGAGATTAGTGCTACCTGCTGCTATCTAAGAGGGATTATTGTGATGTCCCACTTACTTGAAAGATGCAAGAAAATAGCATTTAAGGTTAAGAAGAAGAAGAAGAAGTTCAAGTAAAACTTGTTCATAGAATACCCATGAGTTCAATGACAGCGCGGATAAAGATTATGCTTGCCTGTGAAGTGACAGGTAAAGTCTTTCTTGCATAAGCAGTGGCAAATGTGCATCTCTGTTTCTTAAAATGTAAAATTGGCACCAAACATGACTCATTGAACTACTTGGTTTGCTATCCACAAAAAAGCTGAAACCTGCTGAAAACTGCTAAACAGTTTTGCTTTTTTCTTTTCTTTTCTTTGGGAATTACTTCAGCCAGAACATGGTACAAAATCTTTATATGTCAGCTAGCTATCGTGTTGCTATTGCATAATTTAATTCTGCATTGAATCTGCGTAGAGCCTCTAATGTAGCTGACACAACAGGCCTACGCCTTTTCCATCATGTATAATATCAGTGGAGGTTATCCATCCTCCTCCAGTCGATTTAAAAATCCCACTGAACACCACTCAACCTCTTCAAACCTTTATTTTTTTAGTTAATGCTTGACTGTAACACAACTGACCATTTTACTAGATTTACACAAAAAAACAGATAATTTTTTTAAAAATAATTTGGACTTTTGTTTGAAACTCTGACTGGTTCTTTTATATTTGATTGCTTTTGCAAGCTGAAGGGGCATTTGGACCCAGAACTGGATAATATGGTTTAACTCTGAATTAAAAACTTTGCTCCTTTGCACAAAGAGTGGTCAAAAACTCTGTGGGGTCTATTTAACTGAAATTTTTTAAAAAAAACCTACATCTGAGACTATCTGCAAATTTATGACACTGGGACATATGATTGTGTAACTGGAGAGTAAAGATGTACTAGTTATTGAATAATTGAATAACCACTTGTTTCCTCTAACGCTCCTCCAGATGCTTCGTAAGGAAAAGTCTTTCATTGTAGAGCAACACAATAAGGTAGATGTAGAAGTCATTATGCACTCTTCGTGTCAGTGGGTTTCCACATGTTGGTATCATTTAGTTGTGTAAAGCATTGTTAACTTTTCTTTTTTTATATCACTTATTTCATCAGTTGGATTCAGTTGTTACCGTACTGCGTGTATTTACAGTGTTTTAGTAGAGCCTCCGTTTTACTATCCATGCCTGATAAGTAAAACCAAACTTTGTGTCTTTGTCACTCCCCGTTTTTCTGTAGCAATTTGGAGATTAATATAATACTCCAAGTATTTTTTCCTCATTAAATGTGAGCGAGTTTTCAGAAGTACTCTAAAATCTTAGCTTTAATTTCCTGTTTGAAGCATGGCCTTCAACTTGACATGTCATATTGGTGCACATCTGGAATATAAATAGTGAATCTGAATCTTTCAAGAGCATCCTCAGACTGATGACACAACGGGCCTGGTGTCAGTGCATCTGTCTGTCTGTAAACATTTTTAGTCGCTTGTTTTCTGCCATCTGATGTCTGTTTTTTCTTTTGATCCTTAATGTGGTGATTTTTCATTTGCATTTTACTCCGAGCTTCGTTTTGAATGTCATCAAGATGTTTTTGACAGCTTGTGTTCTAATGAAATGTAACATCTCCTGATTTTTTTTTTTACGCTAAGCGACATCTGCTGTTGTCTTTCTCGTGAAGAAATTATTTTATGACTCATTCATAAATTTGCAAGAAATATCTACAAAACTAGTGATCCCCGTCTAAACTTTGACATTAAATAAGGAATATTGAAAAATCTGTAGCCTCCACACTATTAGCCTTGCATGTGCAAAAGCAAGTCTTTACATTAAAAGGAGAAGTTAGCTTAGATTTTCACACACTCGTGAATTGCACTGACTCTGTTGTCTTCTCCACAGCATTTGGCAGCGGCTAAGGACTTTGACAGCGACTCTCTGAGGAGGTACAGCTGGACTGCAGATGCACTGGATAATGTCAACCTAGTGTCCTCACCAATACACTCTGGGTAAGCATGTTTGAAAATGTGAATGGATAAGAACAGGAGGAAAGAGTGGGGGGAGTAAAAAGGGAAAATATCTGACTTAATCACAAAGATGGAGTGAAAAAGTGGAAGGAGAAGAAGGAAAACGGCTTACTAGTTTTATACCCTTTAGAGGAAAGGATGAAGTGACTGTCATCATCTCCTTCTGCTTATTGTGTGTTTTCTGTTTGTTCTTCTTGCTGAGTCTCATTTTCTTTCCCTCTGACAAGGCAGCTCATACATGCAGCATTTTTTCTTCACCCTTTTTAAGTCTTTAAAGCTAATACTTCGAGGAGTTTCTGTAATTTAAAAAAAATCAAACATTAATAACAAACAGGTGTAACTAGAAACTGCTGTTAAAAAGAAACTTTTAGTCACAACAAAGTAAAGCTGGAAAGTTGGCTCCTCCTCACCTTGATTTGAAGGTCACATAACTCATTGTCTCTCGCAGCAGCTGTAACAGGTAATCTTGACCTCTTGGTTAATTGCCCATTAAGGGACTCGTTTGAAAGTTACGTACACTGCCCGGCCAAAAAAAATTATAGTTGCATTAATTTTTTATCAAAACTTCGCCTTGTTTATGTGAAAATCAGACCACTGCGTAAAGCACATCCCAAGTTTCTAAGGCCTGGACTGAACCACTCTTTTACAATTTGTTATCTTAGAATATGCCATCAGAGAAGAAACAATGCACTGTTTAAAAAATGTGGTCATTCAGTATATACAGGTATTCAGCTGACCTCATTTCTGGGGTATATAACATATATTAAACCAGATATCACCAACTAAAGCAACCCTAGATTATAACACAGCAAGCACAAGGCATGATGGGTATATCGCTTCATCAACTACTCCTGGTGCCTGAGGCCCCCATCACTCTGGAGCAGGGTAAACTGGACTCATCCTGTCCACATTTACCACATAGATTTATTTACAGAGTCCAATCTTTATACTCCTTATTAAACTGAAGCCTTTAATTCTGATTAGCCTCACTGATAGGACTACAGTTTGTTTGACTCTTCTGAAACATGTCTTACAATGTGTTTGCATGAGAAATGAGAAGCTACTCACTGCATCACTTAGAGATAATTAACCTGTTTCCAATCTAAACATATTATGGAAGACTCTTACGTATTTGCTTGGTTAAACGCAGGTGGTGAGTGTTTTTGGTCAGGCAGCGTATAGCTTCATCAGGCATTACTTTTTCTCTACTTGTCTTTAATGGATAAACTGTTAAGTTAGGATTACTTAAATTATATCTGTTACTTAAGTAAAGGAAGATAAAGCAATATTTTAAACAAAGTTTTATTTGACATGTTTGGTAATGGTGGAAATTTGCCTTTCAAGGGTAGATTTAGAGAAGAAGACTGGGGGGGGAAATGAAGCCACTGCCAGCAGCTGGTTATCTTTAGATTAGTGCAAAGATGGGAGAGAGGGAAACTGCTACACTGGCTCTGTCCAGTGGAAAATCCACCTACAGGCAGCTCTAAAGCTTGATTATCAACATGTTATATCACCTATGTTAAAGCCGTATAAAGACAAAAATACAGTTCTTTTGCCTGTGTGATGTAATTGGCTGCTGGCTGTTTAACGAATAAAGAAGACAATCTCCTCATTCTAATCTCCACAAAACAGCAATTAAGACTATTTCCCACAGTTTTCCCTCAAATTCTTCCCTTAACTTGGGGTTCATTAATAATGATCTTCTCAGCTGTATTTCCGATTACAAAGCTCTGTGGTTGACCTGTCACTCCTGCGTTGCTTTGTCGTCCATCCTGCAGTTTTTCCTCTCCGCTCCCGCAGTACGACAGCAGGTGATTGACTGTGATTGGTTGCCTTCTTTTTATCACCACCACTACCTTTTTTTATTTTATTTTATTTCCCGATGACATTGCACCTTCCCTTTTATATTCACTCATAACATCTGTGTTTGCTGTTCTCACCCTGTGTTGTTACAGACTTGACGTAAAGTGTTTCGGACTGTTATCCCTGTATTTATTCCTTCCTGTTTGTTAGGAGAAAATCTTTGAGTTTCTAACTGATCTGAAAGAGTCTGTGTTGCCAGATCTGACCGAATGTGACTTTTAAATTTAATGTTGCTGACATATGCTTTAGCCATGTGTTATGGTTTTTGCATTCTCCAGCAGCAAGCCTCTACTGTCTTGACAATCACAGGATTAGCTTTAAATAGTCAGTAAAAACATGGCAGATATGTCATTGTAGATCAAAATGTTAAAACTGAAACTCAGTAAAAGCGTCAGTTTGGTTTATAATGTGACAGTGAACCCAGCTCAGTATTTTATTCTTGGACTCTGCTAGAATAGTTTTGCATGAATCTTACGCTGGCTCTCTGTGGAGTCTCTCCCTCTCCATTTAAGCATTCTCTCTTTGATTGGCTGCCAATTGTTAGCAGGGGATTTTAACAGCAGGTGGGCGGGGCTTTATTCACATACACGCCCCTCTTTATGGCGTCATGCAGGGCCAAGAGTAGAAAAAACTGACTGAAACGTTTCTTGAAACTTTGGCTGTGTTTAATATGAGTATAGATGACAGTTGGAGTGTATGTATGACAGAAAATAAGGAAGCACATAACAGATCCCCTTCAAGCATATTGTTAAAGCAACAATTCATGTGCTGTTTGTTAAATAACATAAAAACTAACACCACATTTTAGCTACAGTATTGCATGGTGTGCGTCTGTGTGTGTGACTTATAAGTTCCTTGATTGAGTTAAATGAGCTGCACACAGAGGTACGCTACCTTCTAATGTGGGTAAAAAGGCAAGACACACTGGAGGTTCCTGTGTTGGTGTCCTGGCTGTCGAATTTATATATCATTACAAAAAAACCCCAATAAAACATTTAATCTGACATCCTATGGAATCGACTAGTTTTTACATAATTCAAAAACATTCACTTTCTGTAAATGGATTTACCAAATTTGCAACATCTACACGCCAAAGCTGTTTTTGTTCTTATTTTATTTTTTCAACTTCAGTCATAGCCAGCACAGAAACCTCTGTACATTTTTGTTTTTTCTTCTTTGTTCACCTCTCTTTCTCCCTTTTACTCACACTTACTTTGTCAGTGTTTTGAAGATCACAGCATGGGACCTCGACTAAAGCTCCTCTCTGGTCATCAGTACAGCTGATAAACCAACATTTGTTTTTCTTCTTATTCCATTTCTTTTCTTTACCCTTTACTTGCCCTCTCTGGTTATCTCTTTTTCTCTTCACTTTGTTTTATCTCTTATCTTTGCACACTCCGTTTCCCTTCTTCTCTCTCTCCTGTCACTCTACGTCTCTCCCCCTCTTTTTCCGGCTCTTCCTACTTTTTACTTTCCGTCAGGTTCCTGGTCAGCTTCATGGTCGACGCCAGGGGTGGTTCCATGAGAGGAAGCCGTCACAACGGCATGAGAATCATCATCCCGCCCAGAAAGTGCACAGCACCCACCCGGATCACGTGTCGACTGGTGAAGAGGCACAAATTGGCGTCGCCTCCCCCGATGGTGGAAGGAGAAGGCCTGGCCAGCAGACTTGTTGAGGTCGGTCCCGCAGGAGCGCAGTTCCTTGGGTAAGACCTTCTTTTTAAACATCGCTGAGATTGTTTTTGCTGTTGCTTAACGGCTTATTTTTGTGCACCTTTGTTCTGTATCTTGACATTTCCTTCCTTCTGCTTCTTGCCATTGCCATTTCCAGCCACCTGCGTTTATATTGGAAAGTGTGAATGTGTATATGTGCATGTTAGGGGTAATATTTGCAGTACAAGTCTTATTGTTGTAGTCTGCTCACCCCCAAGTAAGCAGTGTTTCCCCTTTGGCAAAGTAAAGGCAACATTAGTAATGACTGCAACATGTTTAAGAGTAAATATTGTAATGTAAATATGTAGCCATAATTTGGTTTTAATGTATAGCTGTATTGCATGTGAGGAGTTTTTTAAATTCAGCAGTTACAGTTTTAGTATGATTTTAAAAAAATGACTGCCTGTTTGATAAAGACGGCTAACAGCTGTGTATCTTGGTCCAAACTGCAAGACAACTCAAATATTCTGAAAGAATACTGCTGAATATGATGGGATTTCAATAGAGCATATATCAAGATATTTGTTTAGGATGACGCCAAACGCACAAATAGGATCACAAGTTGGAGTTCATAAAACCAGACACAAGGCACAGAACATGGCTCTCCCCGAACTGTATTACCACCTTAACATCAAGGAATATGATTGAGAGCGCTTTAGGCAAGTGTATAGCTGTGCAATTTTGGGTTGTTCCACATAATCAGCATGGGAAAAACTGAAAATTATTATTATTTCTTAATTGCTCCAAAACGGTGGTCTTATGCTGGTTTAAAGTCAACATGTAGCGTTAAGCCATGCAGCATTAAAAGATGATTAACTCGTTAGAAGCGCTTCTCAAAATCACACGGAAGAGATGGAAGTAATAAGTTCAAAACTAAATGTTTGGAAGTTCAACAAAGAATTGAATCCATTTGATTTATGGCAGTCGAAGCTTTGTTTGCATGATGTGTTTCCCAGTTGTTATAACAGCCACAAAATGGCACCAAAGTGCAGGGAAATAACAGCTGTGTATCTGGGTCCCAACTGAGTAGGTTTTCCATAAACCTGATGCTCTACACAAGTTAATTAGACAGATGTAAAATGAAAACGGGCATTACATTGATTAAAGTCTGGGGGGCCTTGTGGTTAGTCCACAGAATCAGTGACGAACACACAATTACACCACTGGACTTATGATTTTTCTAGCAGAATTGTTTGCCAAACCAGTCCTCTACAGCCCGGTTCAAGTTTTAACAGTGCAACCTCTTCTTGCAATTTGTATTATCTCAGAAACTTTATCAATAATTTAAAAAATAGTAAACTTAGCAACTGTTTTTAAACACTTTTAAACCAGTTGAGGATATATATAAACGAATCCTTATGGTGCACGTGGCAGTACTGAGTCAATAATAGCTTGGCCACACTAGTGTTAAAACCTGCGGTTGCCTGGTGATGATTTTCTTTTTCGGCCTGACTCGTTTGCAGTAGGGGACTGAACTCAGCTGGTTGCCAATTCTGGTTATATTTTATACAAATGTGAAAATTGGGGGCACTTGTTTTTTATTTTGCAGTTAATTTATAATTCTGCAACAACTGTGTAACTATTTGTGGAGACATTTCAGGATTTTTGTTGTAGATCTCTGAATGTAAGCATTCGATGTGAATTTCTATGTATGTAGACGGCAACAGATTTGCAATGAAAGGCAACAGATTTGAAATTTGCTTTGGTTTTTCACAGTTAATTATTGCGTTATCCTAAACAGAATGCATGTGCAGTGATTGCCAGCTTGACCTCATTCGATTGCAAACCGATGGCAGGCTGGCTACACTTTATTGCCATTTTATTGCTGTCTTGATGCACCAATGTGGCTTTGAAGACAGTAACTAACTAGGTCCATGTCTTTGAAGCAACAATCTCGAAGGCAACAAGTTCATTTCGCACTCTCACAGTAATTTTGGTTGTACTGCGGTCTGTAACAACTTGTGTAATATGGTTTAAGAGGCTGAAATGTTTAATTTCCATGTATTATAAAACAGAAAGTAGCAGCATTTGTTCCCATTGAGAAGCTGTCACCAGGAATTCGTTGCTATTTTTGCTTGAAAAATTTCTAATTATTGCCCCATCTGCTACTCATATTACTGCATAACTCATGAGATATGGTTAAAATAAAGAAATCTGTGATGTACAGGCAACAAATATTGCCTCTGTCGCTTGTTGCCATTACTGATGCCACTAATTGTACCTGTAACAATAAATAAGATGTTGTTACTGATAAAAGAGCTTATTACTGATACGGAAATAGAAGTCGGTGGTGTGTGTGTGTGTTTTTACTGACTTTGCGAGTGTGTGTTTTGTGTGTATGTGTGTTTCATTATTTTGCGGACACAGTAAACTACATCTCCCCAGAAAGCTGCCAGCCCTTAATGAAGGCGAGAGCCTGGTTTGTCCCGTGCTACAGCTGGGACCCAGAGGAACTAGATTTATTGGGTAGGAACCAAACATAGCACCCCTTTCCCTCCTCCCTGCTCCCCTTTCTCCTGTATTTCCCACCTCCCCAAAGGAAACAACATGACCGAGGCTGATTCATGCTGATGGTTTATTTTACCCATCTCTGTTGACTTTGATTTGATAGGTTACAGCATCAGTATGGGTGCCATGTAGTTTTGGGAAGAAATAATCAATATAGTTGGAAGATGGGTCAACCAGCAGCTGATTTGTAATAGCCTCAATGACTTAACAGGCAGAAATTAGTTTTTGCATACAAATTCTTCCTAAAACTACACAGTTTAACTGTGAACTCCATTACAGTTAATTTTCTGCCACTTTCATTTATATATCATTGTATTTTTTTTTAATTTCAGAAGCTCTCAGTGGGCCTCTGACGTCACTGAATGTAAAGGTTTTGATTGGCTGCTTGGACTGGACTGCGCTTGTTGGGCATGAGCCTTTTTTTCCCTGAAGCCAAGCATCATTCTGCTTCTCATGACTACTGTTATCAGTTTTATGTCATCTCACGATAATTTTATATAATTAATGTCAAAAGCTCTCAGTAGAAAGTGTTATACTGATGACATTTTTATGTGAGCAGGGTTAAGATCCTAAAGCGGTGCCTCAACATTCAATTTTGACTCTGTATGTCCAACAGTACATTTGAGTTAAGCTCAATGAACAAATGAAGCCAAACGAAGACCCAACCAGACTTTCAGGATTAGTTAAAGGGCCTGATCAAAGTATTACTTCAACCATGGGGGAACTAAATCCAGTTTAATGCACAGTTGTGTGCTGTACGTGTTTTATGTCTTCAAAAATTAATCAGGTGTCTTATCTAGACTTAAATCCAAGTGTGACATTTGAAGCTTTATATGCAAGTAAAAAAGGACAAATTTGAGCTGCCAAAACAAAAAACAGTGAGCTCGGCAGCATAAAAAGGCCTGAACATCCAGAGAAGACAAGTTTTGTGGATGATCACAGGATCCTTTCTATGGTTAAGAAAAAAACCCTTTTCAACATCCACTGAGGTAGGCAGTAATAGAATGTAATCTACCATAAAAAGAAAGACTTTACCAAAGAAAATACACCAGAAAGTGCAAATTATTCATCAGCCCTAAAAGGGAAATGAAGAATGGTCATAATGAAAAGCATACAAACCTAGTGAAGGAGCTGTATTGCATGGTTTCAGGGACAGTATCCAATAGCAGTGGATCAATAGTATCCACTTGTATCAAGTCAACTTTACTATGTAGAAAAACTCTTTCTTCCGATGACCATGATAGCCAGCAGTAACCTTGCATGTTTTGTCTTTTATGGCACAAGAAACAAAGCATGCAAAGTTTCCCTAGAAGTGCCAACAGCTTTGAACCCGGGACTTTCTTGCTGTGACACCATCATACTCCTAGTTTTTATTAGTATTTTGTGTTTATTTTATTGCTTTTTTGGTGCTTTTATCAGCACAGCGTTATAGAGCTTTATGAACGTAAAATTGAAGCCACGCACAGTAGTTAAAGCACATGATTTCACCTTTACAAAAGTTTCTTTTTCTCAAAATTGAAGCAGTCCTGTTAGTTTTCTGGGACAGGTGACTTATCGTACCTACAGTGCGCTGAGGTGCGACTGCAATAATTGCTCCTTGTGTCTTTCAACTAGCTCAGTTTGTCTCTAATGCTGGCTCAAATTTATGAAAGTGAATTCTTTCTTCTTTGATTGAGAAAACAGGACATTCAAAAAAAAAAAAAACCTTTTCTATTTCATTTTTAATGTATATACTTACTCAGACAGCTTCACTTTAAACTTACTCTTCAGTTCTACTGCCTACTCTGAGAGTAGTGCATATTCATGTGTCTCTCTTGTGTTGCTATCATGCCTTGTTTAAGTAAGGGCTGTGCAGCTTTCTCCTCCCTCCCCTCATTACATCATGACATCATCTGTCTCGTCAAGTCGTGCAAATTCACTCTGAACGTCCCATCGACCCTGCAGCATGGCCGCCGCAGTGATTATGACGCTTCACTCTCATCAGCAGAACCACATTTCATTCACGACTGTATGTTATTAAAATCAGTGTCTCCACACTTTGTATTTTGTGTAAATTTGGTAATACTTTTTATTTGAATACCATGAATACTGTAGTATCTTCTTAAAGAGTTGTCATTTGAAAACTCTGTCATCGTTTGTCGTTCAGGTTTAGATTTAAATTAATCTAGCACAAACTTCCCTCACCATTCTTATAAGAGAGGACTACACTGTCTGCTCTCCCAGCTGCTCCGATAAAGGCCCTCATTTAAAAAAAATGTGGAACGTCTTTCCTGAGGGCTTGTCATTTGATTCATGAATGACTTTGAGCATAAAAAATAACTTTGCCTAAGTGGGTTCTAAGAATCACATTTGTAACATAAGCATCTGAAATCAGTGATTATAATCAGCAATCTAAATGAATGTGCAATTTCTCCACAAACAGGTGTTGGTTAAGGAATGGAAAAGCAGACTGAAGCCAGGCATCTTGTGTTATTTTATGGATCAAATCGTGAATTGACAAAAAACAAACATGAAAGAGTTTGGACAGAAGCAGAGATGTATAAAGTTCAGAACACTTATGTGCCTTGAACTGCAATAGCCCAACATGATTTTTAAGAAACCCCTTTACATCAAGTTAGAGAAAATTTGCTCATCAGCCTTACATTTCAAGTTACTACTGAAATGTGTGGTTTTTGTGTTTACTTTAGATTTTTACTATGACTTTACTATCAGTCCATTTTAGAAAAGAGGCCCCAGCTCCTAAAAACAAATGGTAGAGTGGTATCTTTCGTTTTGGCTTACATACTTACTTGTCATGCCAATCAGTCAAAGTCAAACAATGATATTTCCTCGACATATACCTTACCAGGCCTGTGATAGTGGAGATCCCTCATTTTGGCTCGATGCGGGGCCAGGAGAGAGAGCTGATCCTGCTGCGCAGTGAGAACGGAGAAACCTGGAAGGAGCATCTGTACGACTGCAAGACTGACGACCTCAATCAGCTCCTCAATGGCATGGACGAAGGTGAAAAAAGTGTTCTAACTTTGTTTCGCTATGCTAGCATCTGCAGCACTAAACACCTAAACCACAAGTACTTCAGTTTCTGTTTTAGAGCAAGCTGTGGTAAAAGTTAGCGCATTAATGAGCAAACACTGAAATAAACTGAAGCAACACCCTGATGATAACTGGCTCAAGCTGATTGGAGCGCGTGTAAAATATGTATGACAAACAGGTTGATTTCTGTGCCGAATAATGAGATACTTGGCTTAATTTGGAGGAAACCCAAAAATAATTCACATGGAGTAAATGACCTGATTAAATTGCATAGAAATCAGATAAAACATCAAACGAGCTTGATCACAGACTACTTCTAGTACAGCGAACATACATTGGCAAATATTTCAAGATTTTAAGATCATTCTGGGATTTAATCTGAAAAATGCCTGTAAGTGTTTGTAAGTCTGTAAGTGCACATTTTTGTGATTACAGAATGTGATACTGAGGGACTGCGCTTGTGTTTGTAGTCAGTGAAATAACTAAAGATTTTAAAGTTTACTCCATGAGGTCGTTTTTTTCCCCTTTTTTCCCCCATTTCATTTATTTGATTTCTTTTCATTCCCTGTAGAACTGGACAGTCCCAACGAGCTGGAGAGGAAGAGAATCTGCCGCATTATCACCAAGGATTTCCCGCAATACTTTGCAGTAGTGTCTCGTATCAGACAAGAGACGCACCAGATGGGACCAGAGGGCGGGACTCTGTGCAGTCGCAGCGTCCCATTGGTTCAGGCTTCCTTTCCAGAGGGAGCACTAACCAAGAAAATCAAGGTTGGATTGCAGGTGAGTTTGAGAGATGTAAACATTTGCTTTTTCAGTTTAACTGCAAGAGTTTATGATGTATAGACAAAATCACACACAGTACTATATATGTACAGTAAGGCTACAAAAATAAAACAACAAAATCCTCCTTCCCTGTTGGCTCTGCTATCCCAGGCTCAGCCAGTACCTGATGAGGCCGTGAAGAAAATCCTTGGTAATCGAGCAACCTTCAGCCCCATTGTTACTGTGGAGCCAAGAAGAAGGAAGTTCCATAAACCAATCACCATGACAATCCCAGTCCCGCCCCTCTCAGGGGAGGGGCTTACAAATGGCTACAAAGGAGACTATACTCCCTCCCTGCGCCTTCTCTGTAGCATCACAGGTATATGTGTTTTTTAGATGCCAAGAGAAGAAATATTTGAAAGTAACAACATTTGGGCCAGTCAGCATTTCTCCTGAAATAATGTTTCTTTATTGTTAATGAGAATTATTACACAAAATCGTGTCTTTGTTGTTTGAATTAGATATTTCCATTTAGAAACATTGTAGAACAGGACATTGCTTCATTACTTTACATTCTTGTCGATTAAAATTAGTGTAATAATTCTGGTCTGTGACCTGTTTTAAGTAAGTAAGGCCCATTCCTTCCTTCCTTACTACTTTTAACATGAAAATGCTACACAATGCTTAAACTTGGTGACAACCGCCCTTTTAAATTCTGACCTAACTAGCAAAGCCACTTGTGCTAACTGTAACTCTGAAATATCTCAGCCATGAACAACCCGTGGTAGATGTTTAGTCGGTGGCTGCTAGAGCAAACAAGACTCTCCGATCTGATATTTGTAATATTAGATATGCAAATGTATATTTGTAATATAAGTGCAATGTAAAACTCACAGTGAGAATGAACATTTCTGTGAAATGTTAAACTTTTGAGATCAACATCATATTTCACATTTTTCTAACAAAAAGTGAATGAATAGCATTTAGGTAATTATCCAATACTTTAATAACATTTGCATCTTACATGTCTTAAAGCATGTCAAGTTGAAAGTGGAATAGACATAAAGAAGAGCCTGATTTTTCCTAAACTTTATCTGGATAATTATCTGCCAGGTGGTACATCACCAGCACAGTGGGAAGACATCACAGGCACAACTCCTCTCACCTTTGTGAATGACTGTGTCTCCTTCACCACTAATGTTTCTGCCAGGTGAGATCAATTTTTCAAGTCATACGTTTATATTTATGCATATATTAATCTCTGTCTTAAACACTGATCACTTTACTTGCTTCTTGTGCAGGTTCTGGTTAGCAGACTGCCACCAGATACCAGAGACGGTGGGCCTGGCCACACAGCTCTACAGGGAGCTGATCTGTGTGCCCTACATGGCCAAGTTTGTGGTGTTTGCTAAGATGAATGACTCAGTGGAGTCCAGCCTGAGGTGCTTCTGTATGACGGATGACAAGGTGGATAAAACCCTGGAGCAGCAGGAGAACTTTGAGGAGGTGGCCAGAAGCAAAGACATAGAGGTATGAGGGTTAAGTGAAGTAAATACAACTGATGTTACTTTTACTTTCATTATTCCCCAAGTCCTATCAAGTATAACTCGTAGTACAGTTTAATCTATTATGGAATATTTTGTCATCTGTAAATGTATACTTTTTGGAACGTATCAATGATTATGATGAAAGCATTATAATTATTCTGTGAGGTTATTATAATGCTCTGGATCTACACACATGTCTAGAGCATTAGGAAAATTAGAAAGAAAATGGAAAATGCTGCTGAGGGTGGTGATAAGGACAACATAATCGAATAAAAGAAAATGAATAAAGTTAAGAAATGAAGGAATTTAATAGTTTGATCAACTGGAAGAAAATAAGATTTAATTTTGCACTCCTTAGTTAACTAAAATAAATGTATATTTATTGCTGCATTAGGTTTTTGAAACGTCTGACAGTGTGCAATCAGTTTCAGTGCTTAACACTTTATCACAGAAACATTTCTTTATCTCTATTCTTGTAAATTTGTTTTATATTTTTATGTTAACTATGAATGCTGTTTGTTTTATTCAGGTTCTGGAGGGCCGGCCTATATATGTGGATTGTTATGGGAACTTGGCTCCCCTGACCAAAGCTGGTCAGCAGTTAGTTCTTAACTTCTACGCCTTCAAGGAGAACCGTCTGCCTTTCTGTGTCAAGGTACCTTAACATGTGCTCCAGCACCACCAGCACCTTTTGGCTAGGCTAGAATACAATGTTGGCTTAGTGCAGTCCAAATACAGGGTAAAAGCTGCAGTAATGGTTAAGTTAGTTCTATTGTTGTTTACTGCCTTTACTGCTCTTATTCATATTCAAAACCCAGTTCCTATTCTCTGGCTAAAGTCGTTAAATTAATCATTCTTCTTGTGTCATTTTGCACATCATTAATGTTAAAACTACACTTCTGTGTTAATTATTTTACCACATCACTGTAACAAAAATGAATAGTACTAAAGCAGAAAAGTGTGACTATTTTTTATGTTACACTCAATTTCTTAGCATCTTTCCTCCATCTGATGTAACATGGTTTCAATCGGTGGTGTAGATGAAGCAGGTGGACAGGTGAACAAAGGTGATGCGACCATGATAAGGTGGAGATAAAGGTCACATGAATGAATGAGTTGAAAGCAGAATGACAGATGAGCACTGAGATTTAAAGGGCACAAACTGAGGCGGATTGGCTCATAAAAAGCAGATGTAAAAATAAAAATTGAGAAACAAAATTGTTGGAAAGTTGAAGCGAAGCCCAAACACCCAGGAATAGTGAATACAAATATTTTTTTACTGAATTTATGAATAAGCTTTCATGAGTTTGGTTAAAATTTCTTGTGTTGGCATATCCATTAGACTTCCAGGGGTCAATCCTGGCTACTGGTGAACCTTTTTTCCTCTTATAAAAGCACCATAACAGATGAGAATTTGGTCAGGTGGAAGTATATTGACCAAATGTTGATTACATATAAAGTCTATGGAAAGATGCAAATCAAGGAAAATTCACATGAATTTGCACCAGTTGACACAAAAAGAGATTCCCCCACAGACCATGGACCATCCCGATCCCCATTTCTACTCCTCCTCCCATTGGATGTGAACATTTTGTGTATTTAATTACGTGTTTTTGTGAAAATAAAATGATAAGATTCCTTTATAAGGTGTTCTAGGTGCATACAAGGTAAAAATGGGCAATTTTGGCCTGTTTGTAGATAGTTTCTAGGCATAAAGGCAAATAAAGTATATACCACTAATACCCTAGTGCTGATAAAAAAAAATGTATATATATTTATATTAAAGTAAATCTGCAGTAACTACCACATTGTAAAAGTAAGGAGTTCAAAAAGAACCATTTTCTCACTGTAGGTCAGAGATCCCAGTCAAGAGCCGTGTGGTCGTCTCACTTTCCTGAAAGAATGTAAGATCATGAAAGGCCTTCCACAAACTGCCGTGTGCAACCTGAACATCACGCTTCCCGCAGTGAAAAAGGTAAGGTAGCATACACCCACCATTCTCTGTTGTCACATCCATAACCATATTCATGGTTAGGGTAGTTTCAGCCCCAGATAGATGAAAGACTGGAAGACTTTGGCCAAATTGCCGCCACTGTGTCTTTTATCTGTTTAAAGCTTCTCTCTGTGTATATCGGTTCCATCTACAGTGGATTCTTGTCATTGGCTGTTTCATTTTGTTCCTACTCGCCTTTTGATTTGGATGCTTTTTGGCTGAGGGCTTGTGTGCAATGGTTTTTAGTTATCAGGCTGGCTTTTCGTGGCTTCATTTTGCTGCTGAATGTTGGCGCTTTATGCTCTTTTTTTTTTTTTTTTTTTGGTCTGTTTTTATTTTTTGGGTTTTTGCTTTTTCCTTTGCTTAAGTGGCTCTCTTCTGAGTTGGAGCTTCTGTCAATCACTCCTTTTTCACCCCCTGTTTCTTTTCCCCCTGCTTTCCATTATGTTACTCCCCCTGTTCCTGCAATGCATCTTGGGAACCAGGAAACGGAGTCAGATGCCGAGGATGAGGTAAACCACACCCTCCCCACCCTGTGTTGTCCTCTGCGCTAGACCTATAGTGGCCCTGCTCTGCTCTCATAGCCTTATTTTTTCCACTCCTATAAGGGCATTACAGGCTTCTTCAAAGCAACTTTTAGCTGCTCAGTTTTGCATGATATATGGTAGAAATGAAAAACTACTTGTCTTGTGTCCACTCCTTATCCCTTGCGTTCTATAGTATGTGATACAAATGGCTCTAGAGTTTACTTGTTCTTAAGATTTAGCATGTATTAACACTAGCTCCAAACTCATTATTTTCATTTTTAAGTACATGCAGTAGATAGTTTGTAGGCTTAGCTTGACAAACTCAAGCTAAAAGACTAGCTTGGCACATTTAATCTAAATAGTATTAGCACTTCCTAAATAGAAGATTAAAACCTCTTGAATACTCTTTAAGGAGTTGTTGGTGGTGCCATATTTTGCAGTCATATATGGGCTTTGTATTTAATGTCAGTGCAGACTGAAGGGTTTGCTTTAATTTGACATTGCAAGGTCCAGTTGTTGCTCATTTGGCAGCAATAGTCAATGTAGGGTGACCTAGAACTGATAGGTTTTTGTGTTGTTTGCTATTGTTGCAGACTGAAAAGCCAGATCGACAACGTCATACCTTTGCATCCCTAGCCTTACGTAAGCGCTACAGCTATCTGGCCGAGCCTGCACTGAGTGAGTTTGACATCTTCACTAACAAACCCTGTAATGAATTTAATTATGCCAAGTTTCGTGGATAAGTTAGTTAATTAACAGCTTTAATTAACCTGTAAAATACGTAATCGATATGTAGATCGGTGTGACTTATTTAATGTGCAAATGCATTATTTCTCATCCTACATGACACGCACTGTCCACATGCTTGTTTACAAAGTGGTATATATTTTTGCATGGGTCAGTAAGTGGTTTTGAGTTTCTGTGCCATGCTTGCCCACATTGTGAGTTGTTGTTCTTCTGGGTTGATTTCCACTGCTGTGTTATACAAGTCAAATTTTTTCTTTGACTTACCAGCACCATGGTAATAGGCATTTTGGATGGAGGTCAAAGTAAAAAATTTTCTGTATTTCTTTTGTCCCCTCTGAGTTTAAAGCTCTTTTTGGCTTTGTGATGAAGTAGCAGTTTTGTGTGGGACAAAAATGCATGTCAGAGGTCTTGAGTTTGGCTTTCTTTCAGGTGTTTATTTTAAGTTTTACCACAGTCTTTGCTTGTCACCAATTTGATGCTGCATGACAAAATGGGCCAAAACTTTAGTCTTGGAAAACACATTTTGTCATATTTGTTTTAAGAGAAAATGAAAATGGAACCTTCAACAGCCATTGGCTCTGTTGGATCACAGTTTCTAAATTGTCTGAGGAATCTGTCATCATGTACTTTTTGGACCAAACAGATAAAAGGCACTTAAAAAAGCGGATTGAAATTAGAGCCAGTACCCAAATGTTGATATTAGAGTTTCTAAAGTCCAAAGAGAGAAGTTGTTTTTGTGCTTATCCTGGTGCATTTGTCTTGCCATTTTTTCTGTTGTCAGTTGTTGGTCTACGCCATTGTCTTTGGAAATTTACTTTGCTGCTGTGTGTGCTCTCTTCTGTTTATTTCTTCTGTTGTTTTTGCTGTTTTTTGATTCATCTGCCAAACAGAAATCACACAGGAACACAACTGTTTGTTTTTTTTACGCCATCTTTAGTCTGTAATTAAATTTCTTACCTCATGTAACTGTTATTGTTCCTTATTTAATACTAGGACTGTTTTACTGACCAACTCTTCCTCCTCTGATCTCCTCTTCTTTCACATTTTTTTCTCCTTTACCTTCCCCAACATGATTTTCTGTTTATCTTTACTGTTCTGCATTTTTGTTGTTATTTTTTTGCCATTCCTTCTTCATCATTGTTTCTATGAATTCACCTGAAGAAACAGCAGTTGAACGAAGCGCAGCAACAAGAGCATTGCCTGCTGGTTACCCTCACAAACCTATCTTTCCAACCAGACCTTGCCCACCATGGTCGACTGCTCCTATTACCGTCCCTGGCCAAACAAGGCCCGTCGGAATGGGGGGTGCCCTCATCTCTACCGATTCACCGGCAGCCTCACCAGCTGCTTCTCCACTGAAATCTACTTGGCCCCTCTCAGCCCCATCAGCTGCATGTCCCACAACTATAAAAGTTCCACCAGCGCTTACCCTGTCATCCCCAGTCAAATCTGCCAGTGACATAGCGTCCTCATCCCCCATCCGTTCTTACAGGACTATGCCCTCACCCATTAAAACTGTAGTCCAGCAGGGTCAGTACCCTGTCCAGGGATCTACCAGCCTTGTGTCCTCTGGAAGTCCATGCAAACCTGCCACTGATCCAGCTTCTATCAAAAGTCTTGCTTCAGCATATACATCAAGGACTTCTCCACTTCACTCAATGCCCAATGGTTATATACCAGAAAGGTCTCCAGCTCCTGTTCCTTCTACAGCATCACCAAAGACATCGTACAGCATGTACAGTTCTAATCTACCTTTTAAAACTGCCCTTGGGTCCACAGTTGTGACAGATGCAGGGGCGCATACCCTGTCTTCTGTTAAAAGCATCTCCAGTCTGTCCTCTTTGAAAACCTCTGTAGACTCAACACTCTCATCCCGTGGAGGGAGGACATCCATCTCATCTCTCTCTTCCACTGGCCAAACAACCATTGCTTCTTCAGAATTGTCCATGATGAATGGATCTGTCTCACCTGTAAAATATCCATCCTCTTCGTCCACTCCATCCTCCCCTTCTTCACGCCTTATTTCAGAGAGAAGTAGCAGCCTTCAAGAGAGGATCCAGGCCACCACCCAGGCAGCAACCTCTGGTGTCAGCGCAGCCATAAATGAGGCTATAGACTCGTACTCTGTCTCAGGCTACGGTACTCTTAAGTCACTGTCGTCCTCGCGTAGATCTGCAACAGCAAGCTCTGCTTATGGTTCTCTGAGATCTGTAGCTGCCTCCCCAAACACGGCAGTTTCGTCTAATACAATGACTGTGCCTGTCTATTCACTGGTTAATGTCATCCCAGAGACCCCTGCCAAACCAGGACCTGGGTCTCTTAAGATGGCTCTTCCCGACTCCTCTCGCACCTCATCATCTCTATCTTCCTCTTTGTCTTCCTGTGTTACTACAACAAAAATAAATTCCCAGTTAAAATCCCCTCCATTTATCACACCACCCATCATCCACCCGACTGCAGCTTCTAACCAGGAGATATTGAAAGATGTAGCAGACATGAAACAAGATCTGATTAGGATGACAGCTATTCTGCAGACAGACACACAGACTGCAGCTAAAACTGTCCAAACTTCACATACTGGCACTCCCAAAGAGACTAAGTTAGAGGAAGAGGAGCCATATACTCTGGTGGAGAAAGTAAAAGAAGATTTAGTCAAAGTCAGTGAGATATTACAGAAAGATATCATTAGTGAAGCTAAAGAAAGAGCCTCAGAGGACGAATGGGAAGAATTTTCCAAAGATGAGATTGAAGAGGCACAAAGAAGTGCCATCTCAGACTATTACCCTCCTTTTGATGAACACACACTTTTACTTAAGCACCAGTCAAGCAAAGAGTTAGACTTGGCTAAAGTAGTAGACTTTTTAACAAATGATATCGGTGCTAGCTCTCTCTCAAAAATGGCAGAGCTGAAATGTAAGTATGAGGAAGAGGCAAAAAGAGATGGGGAAGAGAAACAGAAACGTGTTCTCAAGCCATCCATGTCAATACAGGAGCACAAACTCAAAATGCCTCCACCAGTTTCAGGCATGCTCAGATCTCCCTCAGAGAAGGACCTAAGCAAACTTGCTGAGTCATATCAAGGGTCGGACACTATATTGGAATCGCCAGAGGATCTGTCTCATGAGCAGGATAAGAGTCCTCTGTCAGACAGTGGGTTTGAGACCAGGAGTGAAAAGACACCCTCTGCTCCCCAAAGTGCAGAGAGCACAGGACCTAAGCCTTTATTCACAGATTCCCCTATCCCCCCCTGCGTAACAGAGACCAGGACTGAAGTAGTCCATATTAGGAGCTATGAGCAGCCTGATGAGCTTTGTGAGCCTGGACTAATGGAAGAGGCTGCAACTGCTCTCCCTGCCATAGAACCACCTGAAGCAATTTCAGCAAGCTCCAGCAAAGCCCTACAGATGAAAATGCCCGAAGATGACTCAATGAAAAGCATGTGTCTTAAAGAGGAAACCCACATTACTACTACTACCAGAATGGTTTATCATAAGCCCCAACTGACTGATGGTGCAGAGATGATAGAGGAGGCAATGTCAGTTAGAGATATCATGAAAGCTTTCCAGTCAGGTAGGGATCCATCTAAAGATTTCGCAGGTCTTTTTGAACACAAAGCTAGCCAGGATTCTGTCAAAGGTGATGAGCTCACTCCTAGATTTCTTGACAGAGATGTTAAATCCAAACCCAAAGTTGAAAGGATAATTGAGGTTCATATTGAGAAGGGCCACAGCACTGCAGAACCGACTGAGGTCATTATCAGGGAAACCAAGAAACACCCCGAGCTTTATGTTTACAAAGGTGATCGGGGGATAAAGGAACTGACTGATTATGATGAAGCCCAACAAGAAGAAGAGGAGCTTGCTGTTGAAGAATCCCTGCCCACCTTTCTGGAAACATCTCGTGTTAATACGCCGGTGTCACAGGAAGAAGACAGTCGTCCGAGTTCTGCTCAACTCATAGCAGATGATTCATATAAAGCACTTAAATTGTTGAGCCAGCAGTCCATAGAATACTGTGATGATGAGCTATCAGAGATCCGAGGCGAGTCGTACAGGTTTGCTGAGAAAATGCTTCTCTCTGAAAAACTTGATGCGGCATCACTGAGCCACTCTGACACAGAGGATTCAGCACTGGTTTGTGACAAAATCCGCCACCTGGGTACTGAAGAAAGTAGTAGCCGTAGCACTGAGGGTGCAAGTCAACAGCAAGGAAGCCCCAAAAGAGAGTTTGTCTCAAAGTCATCAAAAGATGGGTCTCCTAAATCTGCTAAATTCCTGCACAGGGATGATCCATCTCAGTTTGATAAGGTAACAGTGCTCCATTACTCCACAGAACAGGGCAGCCCTAAACATGCAGTTTGGATGCGTTTTACAGAGGATAAACATGACAGGAGCAGGGATAAGTTACTTTATGAGGATAGGGTGGACCAAACTGTAAAGGAAGCTGAAGAAAAACTCAGTGAGGTCTCACAGTTCTTCCGTGATAAAACGGAAAAGCTCAATGATGAGCTTCAGTCTCCTGAGAAAAAGCCTATAAAGCGAGAGCTCAAGGATCCCAGGTCCTGGCCTAGCTCACCCAGCAGCAGTCCAGAGAAAACCCAGCAGAAACCCAAAGCAGAAGAGGTGTTCAGTAAAAGCAAACTCAGGGAGCCTTCAGTTGGTAAAATGTTTGGCAGCACCACAGCAGCTGAAAAGAAAAGCTCTAGTCTACCAAGCAGCCCACAGAAAACTGTTCTCTCTCATACTAGTGAGGATAAAATCAAACAACAGACAAAGTCCTGTGTGTCTGAACCCTCCTCTCCTGCTCATGTAAAATCAACATCCAAAGTGAGTGAAGTGAGAAAGAAGTTTGAATCGGAGGCTCAAAAAGTTAGTCAAAGTCAGTCTAGTCCAGCCAAAATTCCTCCTCCAGTACAGCCAAAACCGTCAATAAAGAAATTGCAGGAGAGCAAACTTCCCGTTTATCAGTTTTTTGCAGGAGGAAAAGTGTCTAAAGCATCTGAAACTTCAGAAGAAGTAAGCCCAAAAAAGGATGCTGAGAAGGACACAAATGGAAGTAAACCTGGTTTGATATCAGCATGCCCAAAAGTCCCCAAACTAGACAAGCCACCTAACAAAAACATCCCAGATGCCTCTGTACAAATCATTGAAACAAAGACAGACAAAGTAGGCACTAAAGGGAAGGCTAGTCCATCCAGTGCAACTCAGGCAATTAAAGAAAGCAATAAAAGTCAGAAAGCTCAATCACCTATAATTCCTGACAGTGCTAAAATTCCAGAAAAAGCCACTGACAGTAAAAAATACCAACAAGTTACAAAAAGTGAAAGTGCTTCCAAAGAAATTATAACTGAGCTATTCAAAAAGGAAGCAGAGGAAACACTAAATAAAAATCTTAGAAAAAAGACAGAATCTCAAATTCCTGTTAGAAATACATCCCTCTCTTTAGATAATGACCTCACTAAGAAACCAACAATAACTAGACCCTCACAGATACCAACACTACCTAAAACCAAAGTACAAAGTCATGAGACAGTCCCAGCCAAAACAGATCTAACCTTTGAAATTCTTGATAATGCACCCAAAGATTCAAATTCCAATAACCTTCCTAGCCCCATAGAAATGTTGGAGAAAGCCATTACACCTCCAGCTGCTACAACAACCAGAGAGAACTTCAAAGGCATAAAAACATTACCTGTTTATGTTGGCGTTCAGGTGGGTAGACAGGCAGAGAGGGAAGCTAAAGGAGCACTGTACAATGTCAAACAAAAATCAAACTTAGCCCTAAGCCCCATAAGCCCAGATGATGACACACTAGAGCAGGTTTCTTTCATTGACAGCTCGGGAAAAAGTCCCATTACACCAGAGACTCCCAGCTCGGAGGAGGTCAGCTATGATCTCACATGCAGGACCCCTGATGGCTTTATGGGATTCTTGCCAGGGAAACCAAGCCCCATCATGGAGGTATCTGAGGAATCAGAGGGAGATGACCAGGGCAAGGTTTTCTCTTTTAAAGAGGCCCTACCAGAAAGTAAAACCAGTATTTACTCTACCCAAGCAGACATAGCTAATGCCAATAAGGAAGAAATAAAAACTGATAATCAACACGAGTTGAGCGTCAGCAATTTAAACCAACATGAAAGAGTCACTGGCATGCATGACGAAATAACAGGACAGGAGAAGCAACAAGCATCAAAAGACAAAGGTATTGCATATATTGAGTTCCCTCCCCCTCCTCCTCTGGACTCAAGTTCAGAAATGTCAGACCCAGAGAGAAAAGGTTCCTGTGCTTCTTCCGAGACCGAGACGGAAATGATGGAGGTGAATTTGCAGGAAGAACATGACAAGCATTTCCTGATCGAGCCAATTATACGAATACAGCCCCCATCCCCAGTGCCCCCTGGGGCAGATGACAGTCAGTCAAATGCTGATGAAGAGGATGATGAATCAATCTTCCAACCCATTCCTTGCAAGAAATTCACTTCTAAAGTTTCTGAGGAGGAGGACAAAAAGAAAGAGAAGGAAAAGGCATCTAAATCCAAAAAACATGACAAAAATGGAAATGGGCCCAATGGTGGCACCAATGGCACTAATGGTTCTAGTAATGGTTCAAAAGTTTCAAATGGCAAAGGAGAGGACTATGAATGTGAACAAAATGGAAATGACCAGTCAATTACAGACTGTTCAATTGCTACCACGGCTGAATTTTCTCATGACACTGATGCGACAGAAATAGACTCCCTCGATGGATATGAACTCCAAGATGAGGATGATGGCCTGTGTGAGCAGGCAGACTTACGGCTGTTTGGTCTTCCAGACAGCCGGAGAGATGTCTGGGCAACAGATACATTTAGGTCCTCTGATCGCTCTTTTCCCCAGACTAAACTGGAGGTTATTGAAGAGGAAAAAACCCCAGAGGAATGTCAAAAGGATATTATTGGCAAAGAGATACCCTCAAATGGTGGAAAGACTGATGGTGTTAGTAAAGATGGAGCTACAAGTCAGGAACAAAAACATTCAGATAAAGAGGGGTTTTCAGACACTTACTTTAGTTATAAGATAGAAGAGGAGTTTAATTCTCCTTTTAAGACTGTTGCCACCAAAGGGCTGGACTTTGACCCTTGGCCCAGTAAAGGTGGAGAAGAAGTCGTTGATATGGGAGGGACACGGGGAAACAATGGTGAGCCTAAGCCTTTTGGACTGGCAGTTGACGACCAGTCCCAGGCCACAACACCAGACACTACCCCAGCCCGAACTCCAACGGATGATAGCACGCCGACGAGCGAGCCAAATCCATTCCCCTTCCATGAAGGGAAGATGTTTGAGATGACACGCAGTGGCGCGATTGACATGAGCAAGAGGGACATGGTGGAGGAGAGGCTCCAGTTTTTTCAGATTGGTGAGCATTATTACGCAGCGGGCAGGTACAGGGTCAGGGACACTGAAGTAGATGGGAGGGAGCAGTTTTATATTCAGGAACCCACAAATACCTTCTCAGTCCCCCATGTACCCATTCAGACTACTACTGTCCAACTAGAAATATCAAATCAGGCTAGCAGTTATAGCACATGCACAAACTCATCCTGTAACACCAAGCCTAAATTCTCCACTTTTAGAACTGAATTCAACCTGTCATCTGATAAAACATCCAGTGCCTCAAATAGCACTGCTAAAAGTGGAACACCAAGCACCTTTGATCATTGTAAAGACAAAACCTCAGGGGCAAATGTAGATAGTTTTTACCATGTAACATCAAATTACACAGATTATTTTAATTTTTGTGCATCAAACATTACTCCAGATAAGTCGAAACAGACGGATAATTTGGCATGTACCTCGGAGTTTCAAAACACAGTTTACCAAAGCACAGATTATTCTTCTGCACCTTCGCAACAGATTAGAAGTTTGCAAACATCGAGCGACAATATCAGTAGCAATATCCCCGAGTACCATTCAGATGTCTTTCAGACTGGCAGTGTCATGTACAATGTGTTGTCGTCTTTAAGATCCACTCTGCAAGAGGTCAGCAGGATCGAAGCTTCCTTCAGCCAGTTAGATGAAAGCAGAAGTGAAGGCAGGGGTTTTTCTAATGTAGCAATAATAAACACTGAAGCCAAAAAGGTCAAAAGCCAGATATTCAAGTCCAGGTTACCGCTGAGGGTACCCTGCCAAAAACTATGCAGTCATAGTCAGCCAGTGACGAAAGACAAGTCACAAAAAAATGATAAAGTCCTACTTAGGAAACATGGACTACTTAAAATCAGGGAACGATTAGATCCTTTTAAGACTTTATTACCAAGGTCGAAAATTCCAGTATTAAAAGCCATTAAATACCCTTCTTATTTGCAAGAGCAGAAGCAGGTCAGTACTAAATCTACAGTTAGGGGTAGGAGCAATAACTCTGCCAGGGATGGTAAGCAGCTAACTAAAAGCAAACCCATTTTGATAAAAACCGCCAGTAGAAGTACAACAAAAGAGATGGGGAAAAAGAACAGCTCAGTGTCAAAATGTTTTAAAGCAAAGTCTGTCAGTAGCCAGATAGTCAAGTCTTTGGTCAAAACCATTTCCAAGGAGGCTGAAGCAAAGTTAGAGGGGAAAACACTGCCCACTGAGGACGAAGAGAGCTGCAGCCTCAGCATTACCAGGAACACTTCCTTGTCACAACCATCTAGAGCTTCTAGAAGTTCCTGCCCTTCACGCACCTCTACCTCCACCTCCACCAGCACCACTACATCAACATCATCTCCTATAGATGTGAGAGCTGAGGTTGAGCAGGCCAGCAGTGAGAGGATGAGGAGGAGCATGAGGAAAAGTAGGCGGACACTTGGAGGGAAGGAGCAAGAGCAGAAGGAGGAAGGGAGTCAGGTTGATCAACCAATCCCCGCTCCTGTCACGGAGAACGAGACTAGTTTGTAAACTCTTTCTAAAAACTTGTTATACTTTACCCTTCTCTCTATGAGATGCATGCAGCTGTTGTGGGTGCTTGTGATGTGACTTTGTAATGTAGCCGTCATTTCTTCTTCCTGTCATTCTTTTTATGTGTCCTGTGCTGTCTGATTTGTTCAGATAGAGGCTACAACATGGAGAATCTGTCGGTAGAGCAGAAGACTTTCACATAATTTAAGGTTTTAGTTATTTTAGGAAACAGGATATCACTTAATAACATCATAGAAGTACTGTTCTGGTGGACAGAGCTTTATAAAAGCAAGGTCTTTGGATAGAAACCGGTACAAGCGATTAAATTTCAGTATCAGGAAGCACCTTTTAGTTGTCATAAATGGTTGCAAAAGCACTTCTGGGAGGCTAAGTTTGTGAGTGTACATTTCTTTCACAATAAGACAAAGTTAGCTTTCCACCTACCCACATGACACAACACCACAGCACTCACCTCCACTCTAGATGTGTCTGAGATCGAGAATGTTTTGGGGAAATATGAAGGTGTGTTTGTTTTGATCTGCTTGCCTGGTTTGTAGATATGTTTGGTGGTACTTTTGCTCTGTGAAATCACTGTGAAAACAATACATCGGCTGAACTTGACAATCACTTGAATGACAGCTACACAAGGGCATGTCAGTGTAGTCAGCCACTGGCACTTTGTCGTAGCTAGATTGCTTTTGATTTCAAGTTTAAGCTATGAATTGTTTTTATCAGTGAGTGGGAATGTTGCTTGATGGTAGATTGTTTGTGGTTAGTTATGTGATACTCTGAACTCTAATTACAGAAACTAATACTACTAAATATCAAACTTATTAGTGTAAAAATGTCATTGACGATTTTTCTGGCCTCACAGATTCTCAAATCTTTGATTCCCCTTGATGTTATCAGCCACCCGTAAGCCTAAAAGTAGTTAATATAATGATTCCGTTACATTAAGACCTAATATTTAGCACACTGAACTAAAGAAAATAGATTTAATATAAAAGAACAGGTCTGCAAAGTATTGTCAGTGTGGAAGGGCTTGACACCTGCATTCCTTCTAATGGCCAGCAAGGAGCGTCTTCTGTCCTCGCAAAAAGAAATTTGATTGGTTCAAAGTTGAATTTGCCTCAATGCACTTTGCATAGTAAGGTAAAGACTCTACAGCAATACAGAGAAAATCCCAACAATCAGCCGACCCCCTATGAAAAAGCATTTGGCAACAGTGGGAAGGTAAAACTCCCTTTTGCCAGAAAGAAACCTCAGAGTAGAAGCAGGCTCAGTGAGGAGGAGCCATCTGCCACGACGGGTTGGAATGAAGGGTGCATCTAATTGGTCAGTTGTCATATTTTAAAGAACTGATCAAAATGTAATCAATTAATGCTTCATTATAGTTGTACGTTTTAATACTTCTTTTTAAATGTAGATATCATTAGAGTTACTTCTTTTAATGGTTGCATAATCAAAACTGTGCAAATGTTTCCCATCCCTGGGTACAGATGATGTGGAGGCCCACACAAGGTCTGGAAATGAAATGAAAAAGCTGTAGAATATAGCCCTTAAAACATCTCATTGGAGAGCTTCAGCAATTGTGGTAGGTTTTGTGTTAAGCTAAGTAAACCATGGACTTTGAGTAAATTAATACCAAACAGACAGATAGTATTGGATTCCTTCTCATCCAGTTTTCATCAAAAGAACAGAAAAAATCCTAAATAAGCATTTAGTTTCTTAACAGAACGTTGAGGTTTGTCAGGCCAGAACATCTCTTTTTTTCTTATAAGTGGGACATGGGACAGTGAGCTAAAGTTGGTCTTTCTTTGTTTGGTTTAATATAAACACTGCATTAAAAACAAATGTTCATTAAGTAGTTATTTAGCAGGTTACATCAAGGTGAAAGGTCCAAAACAGACAAACTTAAAGTTCACAATCCCAATCTGTTTCTTTCATTACATTCTCTGAGTCTCTGTGTGTGTCTCTCACTGAGAACCACATGTGATTCATTTGGAAATTTCTGTCATTACATAACACTAACTGTTTGTACCCTACCCTTCCTTGCTTCCTCGCACAGGCCCTCACAGTCCCTGTGAGAGAACAGACCTCCGCATGGCGATAGTAGCTGACCACCTTGGACTCAGTTGGACTGGTGAGTTTGAACACATCTCCGTTTTTTGTTTGTTTGTTTGTTTGTTTACTTTCACATTGTGTAAAAATTAAGCCAAACAGAACCACAAAGTGATGTAAGAAAAATGATTATCATAAAATGTGAGAATTTTTAAGGCTGAAGGAATGATCTGGACTGAAACGGACTCTTATGTGTCAGTTTTTAAGGGTTTGTTGCCACCTGGTGGACGTATACTGTAAAAATGTCTCAACTGAGCAGTACTGCAGTGATATTTATAGCCACATAATACTACAGCATCATCGGTACATAGCATATAACAAAAAATAACTAAAAAACTTCTCATGTTTGGATGTTTTTCAAATTTTGAAGATACTTAACTGCTGAATACATGTAGGAGATACTAGGATTTGAAACGGTGAAGAAAATATATAAAGCAATAAAAGCTTCATTGATTTTAAGGAGCATAAAGCTTTGATACATCTTTATATTTGAGTGTATCTTTAGAGGAATAGCAGGTGTATATTTTACTTGAGCAGCGATTAGGGCGTGGCCCCTGCGGCCGCCTGCACTGCAGCACTTTCCCCACGCCTACCAGCATTTGTACGACTGGCTGTGAATGCACTGCAAACGTATGTCCGCTGAATGAGTGCCCAGCTGAGAGAAGGAATCTAATCCATATTTAATGTGTGTTCCAATTGCAGAGCTGCAGTGAACCATCAGACCTGCTGAACATTAGTTTCTCGTGGGTTTAGATTTAGAGTCGTGATTCTAGTCCTTCATTAGCTGCAGACTGTGTCTGACACATTGTTTGGCAGTAATTCATTTCGGTGCTGCAGTTTAATCAGTGCATCAGCACATCCCTCACCTCCTGCTTTGTAGGCAATCAAGTGTAACCTGTAACATGGGCCCAGATCAGATGTAAGTGGTGCAAACATGAAAACTAATTCAAAATGCCACTTTCGCCACACGCATTTTCTAGCTAAATACTGTTGCTGCATTTGTTTTTGCATTTCTACACATTTCCCTTTGTTAGGCATGATACTGTCAGATTTATCAACTGGAGAGCAATCTCTATAAACAGATATCTTCATATGAACATGCCAGATCTGGAAGCTAGGGACACGTTTTCTGTCTGCTTTCTGTTTGTAGTATGAGTTCCAGTCACGTTTGAGCAGGCTTTGGCATGCATGCCAGTAAATAGTGATAAAGTGAAATGATCAGCTATTGTCTCACAATGATTTAACTTTACAAAAAAGAAGGAAGCGATGCATGGCACTGATGGCATCAGGTGCAGCAAAACTGCAGAGCAACAGAAGCACACCACCCACATTCATACCACAGGTGTAAATGCTGGGAATGGCAGTGGCATCATGCTTGCAGGCAGTTCTCCAGAAAGCCAACAACACGTTGTGTCAGCTTGACATGGATGATGTTGTGCATAGCTTGAATGCTGACTGGTTAAAAAGAGAGAACAAGAAAGAGAGCAATAGCTCAATTTAAAAAATATATATATAATTAATGGCACTCAACATCCTCAACATGTTTGAATTTCTCTCATGGGAATGGATGGCTGAAAGATCAGATAAAACAAAACATGTAACTTTGGTGGTCAATAATGGTGCTGCAGAAATGTCCTGTTGTGGAACTCCAGCCCTGCAATTCAGCTATCTATATGCTGCTGTTACAGAGCTGGCCAGGGAGCTGGATTTCTCTGTGGATGAGATCAACTTGATCAGAGTGGAAAACCCCAATTCCCTGACGGCACAGAGCTTCATGCTCCTAAAGAAATGGGTGCACAGGGACGGTAAAAATGCCACAAGTAAGTACAGAAGTAGATATGGCTGCTGTATTTCATACTCATATATATTTCAGTTGCTGGTTTATGATAAAACGAATCAATAAAAGGACATTATCAATGTTTGCGATGCCACAACATCACCTTATGAATCAATTCCTGTCTCTCTCCTCCCCAGCGGATGCTTTAACCGCGGTGCTGACTAAGATCAATCGGTTGGATATTGTGACTTTGCTGGAAGGGCCCATATTTGACTACGGTAACATTTCAGGCACACGCTGCTTTGCCGATGATAACGCAGTATTCCCGGATCAGTCCGATGGTAAAGTGTAGCCCACCCTAGCTGAACTCAGTCTATCTCTCAGTCTATCCCTTCACCCTTCTTCACCACCTCTCTCAGCCAGAGGCAGTCGGACATGACTGCGTAAATAAATATTGAACCAATCAGGCTTGACTAAACTGTGGAAGTTAATGACCAAAGTGAATGAACGCTCCAGCAGGTTCATTGAGTTCATGTCAGATAATGGACCGTCAGGTAGTAAACGCACTGGAGCCGTGTTTATTGAGCAGTCAGCTTGTTCGTTCACCAACACAGGCCAGTGCAATTCGTTCATAGCACTCAGTCTTTGGAACTGTAATGACAAGTGACAGATTGATAGAAATTCGTTCCCATATTATTGATTTTAATTAAGCGCAGGAAACTCTGTACCATTTTTGGGTGCATGAAACTTTTAGTATGTTTCATTGTTTTTGTCAGATGTACAAAAGCATGATGAAGGAAATGAATGCCGCCTCTGTCCCCGCTGATAAATGCATTTTCTTGAAATCTTGAAATGATTTTTTCAGATGGGGCAGGGCACTGCTTTGTAATTTGGTTTAACAATAGTTATGTTTATGTGTGTTTTTATTAATTAAACACAGCCATGACATGAGAAAACATGAAAACATAATCATAACAACCAATTTTTAACAATGGCATGCTTGCTTTAAGCACTATGGCAGACCCTTTTCTCTCCCTCTTCTGTATTTCTCTCTTTCCTCTTGTATGAAAATGAAGTATGGCAGCAGTTTGTGACTCTGACAGACACATTGAAGGCCATTTCAGAACTTTTACCACAATGTGCTGTTTCCCTCCTCACATTGCAGATATGTTCTCAAATACATTTCAAATGAAAATGCTTTATTTTTTATATAAATTTGACTGTTTTCCACAGTTAAAACACACTGTTAATATATCTTTAGATAACTAAATTTCAATAAGGAGAGATTACTTGGAAGAATTTAACATGATTTATTGAGATGGAGAAATTCATGTATTTGGTGATTAGACTCTGATGACCCATCATAGCAGAAGAAAATCCCAGCGGTGATGGATTTAGGACAGGACCCCCTGGAGTCTAGACACTGATGGTAGTGAAGATGAAGACTAAGGCTTAAATAGAGCTCTGACTGCGGTGGAGATGGGGAGGAGGTGGGTTGCATGAAAGAGAGTCTAAAAGGTAGGATGACAAGAAAATGATCGAACTAGAGAAATGATGTCAGTACTGAGATTGACAGTGTGGGAAAGCGTAAACATGTAAACAGAAAAAAAGCTGAACACCCAGGAATGCAGATGAGTGATTACAGATCTTCCTTATTGAACCTAAGCATAAGCTTCATAAAACAGGGGTAGAGTCAAGGGATGGATACGGGGAGCAGCACTGCAGGCTCAAGACACCCAATCCGTTTGACAACTCAACAACCGCCACATAGTATCAAAGGACTGAAAAGAGAAGCATGTAAAAGTCAATAACAATATTAAACAGCACAATTATATTCAGCAGTAATAATGCTTTTTTATTTCTCTAGCCTGTCTTTTGTCCCTGGCTATTACTGCAGCTCTATTAACCGACTGCCAGTTTTTATTTAAGGAACATGAGTAATGATGACTAATTATTAACTTCTGCCGCCAAATCCAATGCCAACTTTTTACCATGGATTTTACAGAACCATTGCTATGAATGGAATAAAATTAATCTTTCCACTACTGTTCTTTACTTCTTCAAGAAAAAAAGCAGATAACACGCACTAAGTAAAGCCAAATAAGCTCTTCTCTGGATTCAGTAGACGAGTTTAGAGTCTGCTTTGGCACTTTAAAACAAAATTCTGAAATGGTCTCATTTCCAGTCTGTCTAATTAGGTTTTCTTGAAGTCATCTTAACACAAGGATCGGCTGTTACCTTGAATAACAACAGAGCTGAGGTGATCTTTTTGCAAAGATGATTTCTTGGGGAACCGACTTAAGTAGATTAACAAAATGCATGGCTATGGCTTTGTGTGAAGGGCTGCCTGCTGTGTTGTTGTTGACTCACATTAATACACTTCTAACACTCTTTAAATGGGCGAAGCCTTTTCAACACATCCAGAAGTGTTTTGTTTTTTTTTTTGATGACTTGCACATTTTGATCTGGATGTGCTCTGTTCCACACGGCACTCACAGATGAGTTGAAAATGAAACGCCTTTTTTCAAAGTGTACAGTGTATACTAATGCTTCTGTGTCACTGCTGTTAGCTATGTGTGATACCTGTCATCTCCTGGTTCCTCCGAGCCTCCAGCCTCTACGCTCCACTGTAGCTTCCTCTGCTTTGAGACCAGCAGACTCCCTGCCTCTTCATCCTCCTCTTCCTCTTGCTTCTGAGTGACTAATTTCCACAGCAAATGCCCTTGTCTACTGAGCAGCACTAATCAGCTACTTCCCACCAATGGCTACCTTTTGCTAACCTCAGCAGCTTCAGGATCCAGTCATAGCTTCTGCTCCCACCCTTGCAGTTGAGTAGAATAAGACTAGAACAGCACAGTCTGTCATTACTAACAGCTTTCTACAGGTTGTGGAGGAACATAGCAATCTTACAGCTCTTTGGTGAGAGTTTAAGATCGCTCTTGTCAGCCTCTGCGCAAGCTGGATGACACTGAGAGCTAATTGCTGTCAAGGCCCATTTCAGACGCTCTTATCCATGGCATAGAAGTGCTCCAGGGGAGTCTCTTAACAGTAAAGCTCATTTAACCCAGTGTACATTTGCCAAACCAAACCTTAAAGACTATCAAGTCTTAAAAAATCACTGTAAGGTGGAGAAGTTATTGTTTGGTTTGGCAAATGTGAATCATGGCCTTTCTTCTGAACTTTTCGATGTGAAACATTCAGGATCTTTTTCCATGAAACAGTCTAAACATTGTGTAATTTCCTTTTAGTAAGAAATCTGATGTGAGGTGTTATCAGGTTCTGCAACTTTGTCCAGAAACCATACTTGATCTGAATTTAATCAGATTTCGACATCCCGTCCTTGTGCACCACCAGACCGCTTTCAACTGGCTGCCATTTTTAGATCGCTCCATGAAAGTCGTTCTGACCGCTGACTGTGATTTCAGCATGAACCTCAAACTTGCAGATTGAGCCTACATGACCTTTTGAGTTTAACATCATTGGTGATGAGAGTTTTTCACCAACAATCTAGAGACAAAAGAGCAGGTATGAATGTACAAAGAACAGGAAAAACTTGAGTAGCTAATGTATTTGCCTCCCCCCAAAAATATGACACAACCACAAGGTAATTAAGACATACTGCACCACGCACACGCATAAATGCTGGCAATGCGTCGGCCGCTCACATTAAAAGATTCACCACAGATGTGAGATTGATCCTGGGGAACAGGATCAGGCATCCTTTAGATGTCTTAGAAGGATGACGAGTTCTGATGGGGGAACTTCGAGGAAGCCATGTTTCACCAGCAAATAGTGGATTAAAAAGGAAGAAATAACAAAATCACCATCTCTCCTCATCTGATTTGGTGAGGAGAGATGCAACTTTAGTCATTTTGCCTAAATGATTTGAGATAGACTCATTTTTATGATAGACTGGAGGAGATTCAGTGCGCATCACAGAGGCACAAGTGCACATGGTAAGGATGGGACTTTCATGGAGCGATCTACAGAACAGCACATGCAGGTTTTATGGACAGGGTCACAAAACCGCATACTTTAGTATTAGAACTTGGAATTTATAGAGTCTAGACTTTTAGTATTTCCAAGCATTTGCCCTTACTCTTTTCATAAACATCTCCTCCTCTTTAAACCTAGACTGTAAAATCTCAGTTTTCCAGCAAAAAAATGATAAAATTATTGAAATTATTTGACTACCCTGGGGTGAAGGGTCCAAAGAGATGATACTCCTGCTGACTATGGTGCCTCTTCTTGCTTATCAGCTGAGATGAGCAACCCGATGAGTCCTACGCTCAATCTCTTCGCTTCTGCAGCTTCGTAGATTTTAAGCCTTCATCAGTCACATTTTCACTTCATTGTCAGTGTGTTTGACCTGTTTTATTTTTACATGCCTTGTTCTGTCTTCTAACCAGTTTTTGTCTAACATTTGTTCTGTGCCTTTTGTTCTGTCTTGTGAACCTTGCTAATTGCAACAGCTCCAAAACGTCTTAGAAGTCCTCAAATGCCTCAGCCTTCCCCTCTGCACACCACCTCCCTTTCTTCTTCCGCTCCACCCGTTCAAACCACACATATCAACACTTTCTCTTCCTCCTCTGTCTTTTTCTTCCCATCTCCCCCTTCCACACCTCCTGTTTACCTCCTGCCTGTGGCCCCTGTTCTCCCTCACTTCTTCACTCTGCCTTATTCCCCTCCTCTTCCCTCCTCCCCTCAAAGTCCTTTTAGCTGCCCTTCTTTCTTCTCTCCTCACTTTCCGCCCTCGGCCCTCTCCAAGCCCCTTCCTCCTCTTTCTTCCTCACTCCCAACTCTTCACCTTTTACCGCCTCCTCATTCTGCCTCTCCTACATCTGCTGAGTCTTCTCTCCCTTGTGCCTCTCCTCGCACCTTATCAGCTACTACTGTCCCTTCTTCTCCTTCCCCATCTTTAATATGTGCTTCCTCTCCACCTTTACTTCCTCCCTCTTCTACACCTCCTCTCTGTCCTTGCTCTTCATCCTCTTCTCCACCTCAAAATCGCCATCCTCTATCTCCACCTCCCCCATCTCCCCCATCCTCTCCCCTCCCTCCTGGTGTTCCTCCTTACTTCAGGCAAGATCGTTCAGTTCCTGAGGTTTACATTTAGAGGCCTGTGTGCTTCTCACTGCCTTTTGTTTGAACCAGCACAACTAAGCTACCTGAACTCTTCTCAAGCTTTTGCTCATAAACTGACCTAATTACTGAAAATGAAGTCCAGCTTGTTTTAAAGTCTCCTGCCTCACTAACTTCACTAATGTTGCATTTATTTGAGTGAGGCTGGGTCTAAGGCTACGTAGGTTTAAAAAGAAAACTCAAGTGCCAATTTTAGGCTACATAAACAGTATATGCCAGGTTTTTGGTTTTATTTTTATATTTTGTGTATTTCTGTTTCCACCACTTTTTGATGTGGTCATGTCTACTCGGTAGGGCTGGTTCAAAAGTCATTTAAAAGTACTTGAAATTATTGATTATTTTTCTACTTCTAGAGGCGGCAGAACAAAATTTAAACACAACAATTCTGATGTTCGTATATATTACAGATCGAGTACAACTGGAATAGCGTTATCATTTATCCACAGGAATAAATTCCAGAGTCTGGTTTGAACTCTGGTTTGTTCTGCAAGAAGCAATCCAGTACTGGCACAACACATTCGGAGAGAAATGCAGCCAGAGCCACAAAAGTGTAGAAATATCTGTCTTAGATGGCATGATGTACAAAGCAGGAGAGATGTTTCCTCTAAGTGAAGAAGTAGATTAATGAACTCACTCTGGACACCAATTGTGCAAACTATCCTCAACACATCGTGCATTTAAAGTAGCTGAACACCTGATGAATGGCCTGTTTTTTTTTCAGAAGAGACATGAAGGGCAGGCCTCTCTTAACAACAATGTGGGTGTTTATCCTTTTTATTTCCAAACTGTATGTCCTAATTAAATTCGTAGTTGTAAAATTATGTCGCAAGAAATCAGCTGAAAGCACACTGTGACCTTTGTAGATGTGTATAGGTGTGTGTAGCATCTAAAGAGCCAGATGTGTTTCTGAGCAGTTCACAAAGATTAAATTATAGCTTAAAGGAGCAGCGGCTCCCATTCAGCCGGCAAATTCCACTGTAAATATTGCTCCATGTCTGCTCTATGTGTATGTGATTTGAGATTAAATACGGATGTAATACTTTGCCTCCATAGTCTTTAAAGGTAATGGCATTACGTATTTTTTTTCTTATTTCAATTTAATATATTTCTGAATACTAAAATTCACCCACCAAATGCACAAATACCACAAGCAGAATCTAGAGGTGCAGTTCCCAGGAAGTTACCACTGGGTGTAAACCGACAAATAACTTTATAATATGTAAAGTTGTGTTTACATCTTATTCTGCTCCTTAATCACTTACACTTGTGACTTTTGAACAGATGCTACCCTTAAATGTTTCAAATGTTTCTCATTTCATCACCTCCATCACTTTACTTCTCCTTCCCTCCCTCTTCCAACCCCTTTTTTTTTTTTATCTTTACCCCCTCTTCAATCCTCGTATCCTCTAATCCTGTACTCCTACAATCCACCCAGGCTACGACAATATAGATCTGGAGCTCCAAACCCCCTCAGACCTCAACTACGTGCCCCCAACCCCACTGCGCTCAGACGACTTCTTTAGCGAGGGCGATCCTTTAGTAGAGTCCCATAACAAGTCCATGCTTACTAGACCTAGCGACCTCTCTCTCACTCAGACCACCAGCACCTCCAGCAGCGACCCCCTCACAGTGGCCCCGGGTCCAGGCTCCACTGCCACAGAGCTACCTATTGCTGGGCCTGAAGATACAGAAACTGAGATGTTTACTGAAGAAAAAACAGGATTGGTGTGTGTAGAGAGGCCAGATAATGACAGACGGTTGGTAGAGCAATCAGGAAAGGAGACAGAAGAAGTAAAAGCAGGAGACCATCTTGTTTTGGAGAGTCAGGGAGGGGCCGTAAAAGAGAAGGCTACCGCAGACACTGGTCTTGGAAATGGAGTGGAGGAAGAAGAGGAGGAGGAAATGACGCAGGAGAGGTTGCAGAGTCTGCTGGAGGATTTAAAGCTGGAAGAGGGCATGGAGGAAGAGGAGGTGTCAGAGGAGCTTGTGAATGCCATCCTTGAACAAGTACGGAAAGCAGAAAAAGACATTTATTCAGTTCCAGGCAGGAGCAGTGAGACGTCTGGCGCAATCGGGGAGTCAGCAGCCCCTGGCCCCAGCCCGGGCTCTGAGAAGGGCAGGTAGGACTTGATTTTATTTGAAATTCATTGTCACGTCTTTCTGCTCCCAGGTGTATTGTCCTAAATCTCTTTAACTCGTCCAGCCCCGACAGTCTAGCTGATTCGCTAGAGGAGCCCCAGGTTCAGACCAACAAACAGAATGGAGGTCAGACTGAAGCAGCCAGGGAAGGGATGGAAAAGGTGCCCAGGAGGAAGGAATCCCAGGAGGACAGCAGCACAGCGGGACCAAGCAGAGGAGACAAGGACGGAGGCAACAGGTCCCAGCACAAAGTCCAGGTGGGAATCGGTCCTTCACAGAGAATCTTGTCTTGAAGCCTTGAAAAAGTCTTTAACTGTATATTATATTATTCTCCTTCTGTTGTTATGTGGGCTTAAAATATTTAACCTCTGAGATTAGCCCAATTCTTCTGTCATATGTTAACTTTCCATATGAATCCCACACACTCTGGCCTCGTTGACATTACTCTGCTGCTGGGCTGCCTTCATCAGGAGAGTGTTAGAGAGAAGGAGTCCGACTCTGATGAGGAGACCACTGTCACTACCAGGGTGATACGCAGACGGGTTGTACTCAAGGTCTGTTAGGCCTGGTGTGCAGAGACATGTTGAAGCAGAGTGCAGTGGACCGATAGCGTGTGAAGAAGAGTGATACCAGAGAGACTGAACAGAAGCTATTTGCTATGTGTGCTGAGCATGACAGTAGCAGTGTTTTTGTGCAAGTTTGTTAACATGGAGTGGAATGTGTGTGCAGCTATAGTAACTTTAAAAGATAACTGGAGACGGGATATGTGCGAGGAAACAAAGAGACATTTTTTTAGATTAACATATGACCCAAAGAGGAGTTCTAAATTTTCTCTAAATTGAAATAGAAACTTGACTACAGCTGTTTATACGTTTAGCTTTGCTATAGTATTAAGTTCTAATTGCTTGCTTGCCTTGCTTGTGCTCTTCTACCTGGCTGGTGGATTGTTGGTTGTGCTTTACCATATATATTTAATTTACCGAATAAAAGGAATGTGCCAAACTTCTTCTGAGGGGGGAAGAAAAGGTGGCCTTTGATTTAAGCTTCTTTTCAGCTAGAAGCAACTAATAGATATTTTAATTATTGATGCTAAGTGCTAAGTGTTTCCAGGGAGTCATCAGTTAATTGCTTAGTGTAAAAAAAATAAAATAAAAATCAGAAAATAGATTCATAAAGCCCTAAGTGAAGCTTTGATACAAATTAACAAGATTAAAGCAGCATATATTTACTTAGGATAGCTGAAATTAAATAAACTGTGGCGATTTTTGCCTAATTGAAACGCTGCCCATGTTGGAACACATTTCCAAAGTGGAAAAAGTCTGCTTGAAGATCTTATAAATTTAATAGGAATAAAAAAACTAAACTAAAGCAAGAATATAACATGTACAGTATTCACAGACTTTGCTGTGACAATGAAAATTGAGCTCTGGTGCATCCTGTTTCCACTGAAAGTACTCCAGCCATCATTCAGCATTCAACACAACCTCTTCACACCCTCCACAAAAGGCCGAACTGGCTCGACACCAGTAGATACCAGTTATATTCTATATTCTTTATTGTTTTGTTACAATCTCTGGCTCTATCAAGGTTCATTTTGAGGTGATAATAAGATGCATTTGTATGGTTTTTGAACGGGGTTTCGCCTGAACTTTTATTTTTCCATCTATGGACATATCCTTCTGAAGCTTTGTTTAAAAGAAACACTTTTATTGTATTCTTTCCGTATTTCTATATTATAAATGTCTTTTAAACAGCATTTGGTGTTTCCAGTGCTTTTGCTGCGGTTTTGAAGTTTGGACGTGTTGCGACAGCAGGATGCAGTATTACATTACATTATTTAATAAACCTGCCGATCTAAATACTCACCTTTCCACTTTATATGATAAATATGTTCTAGGGCAAATACCCTGGTTTTGCATCCATTGTGATTTGTGGGCTGTTTGGAAATGCTTCTTTATTTATTTGATGAATAACAGTCTTGGAGCTAACCCTACCTGCACCTTTACCTTCCTCATTTCTTTCTCACTTTTCCATCCAAATAAAAACTTTCACCCCAGGGAGAGGAGGCCAGAAACATTCCTGGAGACTCTGTGACAGAGGAGCAGTTCATAGATGAAGATGGGAATCTGGTCACCAGAAAAGTAACCAGTCTTTCTCCTCCATTGCTTTTCTTGTCTTACACCACATGTATATGCCATGTACAGCCACAGTAAAATTTAATAGGGAAAACGATGAACCATGGAAGGCACAAATCTGTTATGTGAGCTCGATTTGTTTCCCCTTTGGCCATACAATTTGTGATTGATTGGTTATCTCACCCTCCAGTTTGCTGTCCATGTACAGACTAGAGGGATTAGATGACCAGTACCCTTCAAAACTGAGGGTTTGGGCCAAGGAGGGGAATTCAGATTGGACCTCATTGTCACAATGATGCCGACAACCTCTTAGATGCATGAACCAAACCTATCACATACCATCCCATTGACTTTTACACGACACCTCTACATATCTCCCTCATCCTTTTTTGCATCACTTCTCTCAACTCCCCCACCCTCCTCCTGCTAACATGCTTCTTCCCCTGCAGGTGATCAGAAAGGTTGTACGCAGAGTGTTCAGCTCAGAGGAAAGGAGGCAAAGTGAAGGCGAATTTATTGCAGCAGAAGAACCTGCTGCTGCTGCTGGTGGGGGAGGTGTTGGTGGTGGTGTAGCCTCAGGTGGAGCTGACACTGCTTCTTCATCAGGAGCGGCAGCAAGAGCCACGGGGGGGAAGGGCAAGAAGAAGGGGAAGCGATCCCGACACGGCCACAAGGAGGAGCCTCAAAGAGTGAAAGCTGAGGTTGCTGTCGAAACTGCCTGACTTAGTGAGCTGAGGTGTCTGCATGAAGCTGTAGCTTTGTGTAAACTCTTAATCAATCAATGTAAACTCTTAATCACCTTTTAGATGAGCAGAGGACACACATTCTGACAGCATTAAGGCAGCCATAAACCAAAGTAAACTGCATTCCAGTGAGGGGAGGTGTACTACAAAGCGCGATTAATGGGTTAGTGAGGTATGTTTAGCCTGGCTAGATCACCATGGCAACTTCTGCTGAACAGATAACATGGTCCAGAGTGGTTAATGTTCAGGGTTTTGTTGTAAAATTGTCTAGAAGCATCAGCATAAGTTTTAGTTCAGGTTCAAGGCCCTTCTTGCCCCAAGTGTCCTATGAGTTGAACCTGAAGCACAGTTGATCTGCGATTAAGACCAGAAAAGCGTTTGTGATTTAAAAAAAAAAAAAAAAAAAACAGCACTTAAAAGTCCAGCTAAAATTTGGGCAAAGCAGGTTGGTCAGGAGAAGCAAGAGGCAGGTGAGCAAAGATAAAATGCCATGGCCACATCGTCACTGGGGACCTCAAGTAGATTTATAAATACACATCAGTTTACGCATGTAAAAACAGAAGATGAAGATCTTGGCTAAGATTGGTTTATCCATACAAAATGGTAAAATGACAGAAGTGTCAAATGTAATGACTAAATTGTGATGTTCATGCAACTTAAACTTTATTTTGACATTCAGGTTTTGTTTGCTGTTTCCTGTTTGAAAAATTGAGTGTGAGTTTATGAAATGCTGTGCAGTTTAGAACAATTTCATAACAGCAACCTTACTGTCTGAATACAGTTTGCAGTGGTTGCAGTGTGTGTTTCCTCAGTAGCAGCTACAGCCTCTAGGTTGAGACTAGACCGAGTCTGAGAACTACTAATATCAAGTGATTCAACTAATATAGAATGTCGTTATTCTCTCTATTAAGCATGTGTGCTTTCATTTGCAAATGTACAGATGTAGTAATTTTAACATTTTTTCACTCCTTAAACTCATCTTTCCTCCAGCATGCTGCCTGATGTAGAAGATGAACCAAACTGTGCTTCATTAACACTCACCGATAATGCCTTGCCTGAGTTTAGTACTGATATTTCCTTTGTCTCTCTCTCTCTTTTTGTTTTGCTTTTTTTTTTGTTCCTGTCTTGTGCTGAATCTCGCTGCTTTTCTTAATCTCCTTCTGCCAAGCCTGGAGACGGTGCCAACAAGAAACCAGGGAGGAAGAGTCATTCTTAACAGTAGAGCTCTCAACTACAACTGGTAAGAGGCCACTCATAAAGACACTAAAAACTCCCATAAGTTACCAAATATTCACCTATAGACCATAAAGATTAATTATGTGTGTTTTCTGTAAATACAATAAGAATATACTATTTTTTGCTTAATATAAAGTATGGTATATAAAGACATGTTTAGCTGAAGACTTTAATTCTGAAATTTAGAGTTAAGACTACTCAGATGTCTGTATGCTGAGTATGAAGCCATCTACCTTTTAACTCTGATGTAATCAGGAAGACAACTGAGTTTTTCAACTGGAATAAAATTGTCAGTGCTGTTGTACTCCCAGGCATTACAGTCAAGCGCACCATGCAGATCCTTATTAACAAGAATATTTGCAAGGATTTAAAAGCTAGCAATAATTTAAGTTGCTAGTTGACATCTAAATGTGAGTTTTATGTTCTAGTTAGTATTTAAAAAAATATCACCTTATGTTGTATGTAAACAAAGATGAAAACGAATCACTTGCGAGGTTTTGTAGGACACTTTCTGTTACGTTCCAGAGTTAACTAAAGCTATCAAAATGATATGAACAAACAATTGTTTATGACTTCATGTCCAAAATCTCTTTGTACTGTGTTGAACAGATACTGGAGATGAACTAGTGTCAGGTGGTACTTTCATGTAATTCCAATTTGTACCACAAGGTGGTGCAGTGAATAAATAAAACATATAAACAGGAGAATTAATTAAAAACACAATTACAATCGAGGCCAAGAAAGACAAAAAAAGATATTTAAAACTGCAATCCTAAAGCAGAAAAGTACTTTTTTTATACAACAACCAATCTGAAGTATAAATTTTCCTTTACACTCAGGTCCATGGACATCCACCTGTGACCCCCACACATGACCCTGGGAGGAAAAACAGACCGGGGCCAATGAAACCGGGAGCCAACACGTGTCTGAAGCTTTCGCTTTACAACGCATGGTTTTCAGCAAGACAACACGTTACTTTTCTTTGATTTCGCATGAGCATGTCACCAAACTCACTCACTGTTGGAAAACAACACCGAAGGACACGCATGGACGTGAGCTGGAAACTTCTTTAATCTTTGGCAAATGAAAGGCGTCTGTGACCAAAGACGGCACAAACAGCGAGGGAAAAGACTTCACTCTCTCAGACACTCGCCTTGTATGGCTTTATTTTTTCCTCCTGCACTCACGGTATTGGGGTGCACCATGTGGTTCTTTTATAAAACAAAACAAAGGAGATATAATAGTACCTGGGTGTTTTTGTTGTACATAAATGACACTGTATAAAATCTTTAAAAAAAAAAAGAATTGGTAGCTTCACAGATTGTTTATGCACTGATTTGAGTTGATGAAGCTTTGCAGAGCCAGTGCATTTGTATTGAGAGGTCGACACTTTTCGTGCAGCCTGGAGTGTGTCTTCTGACGTGCTCTTCCCAAATATAAAAAGGAACAAAAAAAGCTGTATGTGAATGAAACGAATGGAGAAAAAAAAATGATGCTTGATTTTCAACAGAGGACATTTTCTTTAAAGACAACAGCTACTCTGCTCTGTCCGAGGGACATTCTTCAGAGAAATGATATTTTGCTGCATGTTATGTCACTTTATTTTTAACGCTTTCCTTTCTTTCTCTTAATTCAAAGCACTGTAATACAACTTAGAGAGGGTGTGATGGTACTTCTGTCTGTGTGAGCACTCATAGTAACCCAAACATCTGTCATCTATAACTGTTTTGTTTTTTAATTTCCTTTTCTTTTCTTTTTTTTTTACAAATGAAATGACACTCCACATCCTAGTGGCGAGATAGTACAGCATCCTTCTTATGCAACAGGAAAGTACTGACACTGTCCAATGCATCTTTCAGACTAGCACATTGTTAGCTCTAGACCGCTAGCAACGCTGTGTGTGTGTGCGTTTGTCTGTGTGTGCGCGTGTGTGTTTAACATTAAGAAAAAAAATCCATGCATACTAGAAGTGTATATTTAAACCTTTAGTTCTACTGTGGTTTTTAAAAGGGGACTTTTACGTTGATGATTTTTATCCTGTTTATTTGCTTCTATTTACATGAGAACAGAGAATCTCATTTTTAGCCCCATCACTCAAATCGAAATCTTTGTAATCACATACAAATCACTGTCAGTTATTAAAAATGTGACTTTCTGTTCATGTGTAAATTGAATTTCTGTTTGTTTTTTTTTCATATGAATCCACCCTAAGCATCCATTGTTGATAATAAATCTGGTACCGACATGTATGACAAACCAACATAGCCTACACTGGATGATCCAAGTAATTATTTAAGCAGAAAAATAAATTGTGTTTAAACTGAACCTCTGCTAGTCAGTCTGATTTCTCTTTCTGGTTGCACAGGCCCAATGAAATACTGGCATGAATCATACCGATGTCTTTAAGACGTCAAGAAACCTCATGGAAACTAAAAGACAATAAAAGACCTGAAGATGTAGGCTGAAGAGCTTTGTGTATCACAACATACTTGCCTCACATGCTAGTGTCCACCAGTAAATAATGCCAAATAAATGAAATACAGTCACTAAACATGTGGCCCATTCTCCTTGTAAAGGCAGTATTACACACTACATTACATTACACAATATAAATAGTTAAAAATAATAATTGTATACACGTCTTAAACCAAATGCAGAATAAGGGTATTTAGGGGGCTATATGTCCATGCTTCCATGCCACTTGTGACCTACAATGGCCCAGTCATGATCTTAACTAAACACTGGTTATGTGACCCCGTACATTCTGCATCTAACAAATTTTACATAAAAATATATATTTAAAAAATTATTGTACGTATAAAAAAAGACCTTTGCAACTTTTTCAGTTATATGTCAACATCTGGCATAAATTAAACATGCAGATCATCAAGAATGTGATTTCCATACTGGATTGGTCAGGGTTAACAGGGTGCCGGTGGAAACTGTGCTACTGTTAGCTAAAGACAAATGAAGAGGAGAAGGGGAAGGCATGATAGAACCATCATTGGTAAAGAGAAAGAGCTGATGGGACATGCAGAGGGTTGGTGTAACAGAGGAGGACGCTAATGATGGGGTGAGTTGAAGGTGATCTGTTGTGGTGACCCCAAAACTGAGTAGAGAAGAAGAAAAAGAGGAATTTGACCAATAAAATCGCTGAAAAATATCATTCTGTGTTTCGCAGACTACCATGTTTCAACCGCTTGGTACAGTGAAAACCAAAGAACATCCAAGAATTCCAAATATGTAAATACAGCATTTCTTTTTGGAAAAATTAGACCAACTATACTTTTTTATCAAAATTATTGGAGATTTGTTTTTTTAATAATGTTTCAACAATAAAAAACTACTGATCGATCTATCTATAAATGAAATATACATTTATATCTGTAATTTTCATTTATAGTGACTCTGAAAAGATAAGATATGAAGCTCTATATAAGAAGGTATTAATTGTGAAATCATACAGAGCTGTTTTTATAATTAAAAGACATACAATGATGCTGGATAAAAGAAATATCTTAATATTTTACACAAATTTTGCATATGACTTCTTAATATTTCCAGTAATTGCCCCACAATCTAGCTAGGATTCAAACAATTGGTTCATGAAAACAGTAAAATTTGGACTGAACCATCAGAGTGCTGCAAAGCTCTCAAAATATAATAAGTTCAAAATAACCCATATCTTATACTGGGAATTGGTGCAGCTCTTCTGTTAACTTCTTATCTGAAACAAGACATTTTAGCTGTCTTTCTGTCAACTTTATTCTGATTATAAAAGGTTTGGACTGCAGGTATGTGGATCTGCTCCATGACATCGTCCAATCTCAGTAGAAAAACTTTGTAAAATCCCAAGTCTGAGATTTTTGGCTAACGGGGCGTGCGTTTTGGTTTTCTCTTTGTAATATTGTTACATGTTGTTGTAACTTCTGCTGCCCTCTTGGACAGGTCTATCTTGAAAAAGAGATTTTAATCTCTTTTAAATGTATGTGAATTTTTCACCTGATTGGAATATTCAAAATGAAATCTTATAACAAAAAGGACTTTAAGCCCAAATTAAAAAAAAGACTGGATTTCAGAGTTAACATCATTTAATCTCTGAAACTGCGCATGTTTGCCTTGATGCTCAAATGAAATCTAACAGTAAGACCTGACTGATGTAACCTGCAAACACATGGTCTCTCCCCAGTGGGACCTCTCATATGCCCCATCAGATTTCCATTTTGAGTAAACGCTTTCCCGCAGACAGTGCAGACAAATGGTTTCTCTCCTGTGTGTGTTCTCATGTACAGCTCCGTGTGTTTGTGGCCTTCAAAATGTTTGCCGCAAACTTCACAGTCATTTATTTGGGGTAAGCTTACAAGCGAAGCTTCAAGGTTTCCTTGGTCTCAAAATGTTTCCCACACACGCCACACATATCTGCATCCTTCTTGCCTTCCTGCGCATGCTTCAAGAAAGAAAGACTTGCTAGAGAAATCCCTCTTCCTGTGTCCCTCAGACTTTGTTTTTTCTGTCCGTTTTATCACTCTGTTCACTTTTCTTCCAGTCCTCATCACTCTCACCCTCTGTACTCTCAGCATCAGAAAGGTCTGCCTCAGATGTTTTCCACAGACTTCACAAACATCTGCACTTTTTTTTCATGCGTCAGTGCACATTTCAGAAAAATGCATCTGTACTGGAAAAACTCTGCAACAACTGCATTCAGTATTTGGTTTTTGTTTGTTGTAGCTGTTCTCTGAGAACGATTTTTCATCTTTTTTGGAAAGATTTTCCATTCACTTTGTAAACATCCATACCTGGAGTTCCTGTCCGAGGTGTTCTTGGCTTTGATTTAAGTAGCTCATCGTTTATATCTTTATCTTGACTCCCACCTTTTGTATTTTTGTTGACAGTACCTTTAGGTTGGCAGGTGGCACACCTAGGTGCTCTCCTTCCTTCTCCATTTCCACTGTTGTTGAGGTCCCCTTTTCTGCTTGTTGGGTTTAGTAAAACTGTGAAGGCTTGCTGTTGATAAACTCAGAGTCTATCTCTGTATACTTGTCTTTAATCTGTCATAGGTCAGGCCTTGTCTCATCATGCATCTGCTACTCAGATGAAATGACTTGGACCCAAACAGTGATACTTTATCTAAAAGGAATATCAAAGAGGAAATCACAAAAAAAAAGAAGAAGTAGGAAGCGATTATATTTCTGACATGTATTAATTTGTGTTTCTGGATGTAAATTAAATAGTCCTACTTTTAAAAGGCAAAAAGGTCCCCCATTTAAAAGCTGGATGGGATGGGGGTGGTGTAAATAATGTCACACAGTGCAGTTAAAAACTCTCCAAATGTGTTAATGTGACTGCATTATTTATTTTCCCCAAAACTACTTACTACTACTTACGATTTAGACACTAAAAGCTACACAGAGTTATTTTTCATTCATTATCCTTAATTTATCCAGGTAAAAGTTTCATTAAAAATAAAGAAACCGGATGACATGAAGTAATTTTACTTTTCAAGATCAGTTCGCACTTTGCTGTGTAACCTGTGTGTAGGCAAAGGTATGACACAAAAGAGCACAGTCAAAAAGTAGTGAATGAAGCCTCCAGAGACCAAAAATTCAACCAAATACAGAACTGATCCGAAGCCTATAAAGCTCTTAAAAGTGTTTGCACCCAAACTCAATCTGGAAGGACTAATTAAGTTTTAAAAAATACAGAATCACAAAAATTAGGACAAAAGAAGAAATGGAAGGCCTAAAAATACCATCTCCAGCAGGTAAACAGTATCTGAAAGTCATGTCCTTAAGAAACAGGACAAAAATCCATCAAAGGACTTGATGCAGGACCTGAAAGATGCATCTGGCCTTTCAGTTGAGGCACCTGCTGTTCACTGAAGCCTCATTAGTGAAGGTCACTCTTACTTACAGAAGTTTCAATAATAAAAATGTCTCCACTTTTTGCTCAGTATGAACCATATAAAAACAAACTAGCTGAAGGCAGGTCACCCTGATAAATGTCACTACTGAAGCAGTCATTTCTTTTAAAAGGTGTCTTGTGTTTCCAAACCTGGAGTGTGCAGCATTTTCTCCGTTACGTCCTCCACAACTTCTGTCAGTCTCTCCGTGACCGGCCTCCATTTCACTCATAATGGAGCACAGAGGCATTTATTTCCATTTCTGAATATTTTTATAACTTCTACAGCTGCATAAACACTTTATCACACATGCAACAAACTAACAACTTGAAAGTCTGAACAAACTGAAAAGGAGCCATGTTGTTTCTGGTGTTTTCTTCATTTTCAAATTGAAGAAATACTTTTGGTCAATGGTGCAACACTGCCACCTTTTAATATGTGGTCACTGCACTGAGCAGGTAATACAGTATTACTGCTATACTTCATTGTATCTAAAAGTACAAGGAAATCGTTGTACATTTTACTATGACTAGATTTAATTCAGAGCTTTATTTAGCATATTTCTTGGCACACATTCAACAAGGTGCTGGAAACATTTCTCAGAGGTTTTTGACCATAATAACATGAAAGTGTCACACAAGTTGCTGCAGATTTGTCAGGTTTTAGTTGTATTCATTCTGTCACATTCTAATATAATTCTATAAAAGCATGTCAGTCTTTCAACTGCCATGCTCCACTACACAGCAGACAAGATTAAACAGCCAAAAATTTAACACAGACATGGCAATAACTGAACCTCTGCCCTGTGACAGGGCTAACACATCAGGCGTGCAAACAGGTAGGCAAATTCATTATAAAACCACAAAAATGCAACGGGACCCACACAGCAGTCAAGACTGACAAGAATTATCCAAATATGCATAATATTTTACCAGGCCCCAAATTGCATAGTATTAAACATAGTCAAGCACTCTTTCGCAGCAAAAGGAGTAGAGTGAAATTAATTAATGATAATATATGAGGAAGGTTTTTAACCATGTTTTTAATTGAAGTTGGAGAATGGTCACATGGATGAGGTACAGGTGGAAAACATTTTTTTCTTAGAGATTTTAGGATTATGAAGTTGCTCCTTAAACTTAATAATTTTACAATATAGTAGTTATTAAAAATACTGTGATGTAATTATATAAACTAATGATGGGTAGAAGCTGATAACTATTTCTGGCCACTGTAGATTATAATGCTTGATCATTATTTAAAGAATCTAAACCTTATTGTTTATCACAAATTAGAACAACAGGAATGTTGTGTGTTGGGGGCGGGGTTTGTTTGTTTTTTTGTTTGTTTTTTTAATTGGCAGGAGGTGCTGCGATGTCTTACTTGTGCGACAGAGGGTGCTGCAATACCCTCTAACAGTTGAACAAGT